TCAGGGAGAATTTGTCCCGGAATGGTTATCTCCTTCCCGGCCCTGAGGATAACTTCTTGCACCGTCTCTCCGTTCGACGAGGTGAGTATGTTTATTCTGTATGGTTCTATTTTTCTTACCGACATTCCAGGTGGCTTTTACATCGACCGGGGTTGTGCAAGCTCATCACGTCTGGCAAGGTATTATTACTTTCACTGAGTTTCCCAACGCATGCTGCTTACCAGCAACCAGATCACTGTCAAGTCCGGGCATGAGATTTCCCACTTTTCCCCTACAGGGATGGTATTCGACGATGGTTCGCGTGTGATGGCCGATCTTGTCATCTTCGCAACTGGGTATATCCTTCAAACTATCCGTCTGGTCGCACACTTCTGATGCATTATTTACAGGTACTCCAAAACTACGATCAAACAAGTCGCTGAGAGCCTTTTTGGGCCACAAGTCGCGGATGCCGTGCATGACCTTGGAGGATGGGATAGTGATTGTGAGCTCGCAGGTGTTTGGAGGCCGACTGGACGTCAGTATTCTGTTGATTTGATTGCGCGACTCGGGGATGCTGATGTTCTACTCCAGACGATGGACTCTGGTTTGCAGAAGGCGATCTCTTTGCAGCACGGTTCTACTCCAAGTCCTTGCGTTGCAGATAATGGCGAGGGAGATGGGATTGCTTAGTTCAGACCAGAGAACTTACGTCCAATGCTGATGTCTACGATCAGCTTCCAAGTTACCCTAGATCTTATGTACACGAGGTGTCCTTAGCTTCTGCCAATAACATGCCTCCAAAAAACTTCAGGTCATACCTGGAAATATTACAACAACCATGGAAAGTACTTTCGACTGCCATCATCTTCTTTCTATTTGGGTTACCTAGTCAAACACAGGCTCAGGGACGCCTACAGACCACAATTGGCATGAGTGGTGGACGATCGATATCTCGATGACTTTGAGCTGGTCCATTCTCAGATCCCCAGGCTGAACGACATCAGTATCAATATGACAGACTTTTTGGAGGAACCCACTGTGGGTAGTGCACTCACGGAAATCCAGTGAATGGAATCACTGGATTCCCATAGGGATGCCTACCAGAATTCAGCGTGTCGCTCACTAGAATCCAGCGATTTCTATATCACTGAAAGGACCAATTTGACATACAGAATTTTCAGCAGCGTCTTCATTGAAATTTGAGTGAACATATCATTAAAATATAGCGAGAGTATCACTTGAAAGAACTGAGGCTATCGCTGGAAAAGATTGATACCGTCACTGGAAAAGATTGATACCATCACTGAAAAAGATTGATACCGTCACTGGAACAGACTGAAGTCATCGCTGGAAGAAATTGAGACCATCACTGGAAAAGACTGAGGCCATCATTAGAATTGTCCAATCGTAATGCAGCATTAGGGCAGTGCTAATACGTTACAGGCAAATACAAATAGACATCTAATGCATAAACAGAAAGACACGAAGCAAAGTACAGCAGTTGCAATTGATCAGTGAGCTCGAAACGGCGAGCAGAGACAAAGGGCCGAAGATGAAGAGCCAAAGACAAAGAGCCAAAGACAAAGAGCCGAAGATGAAGGACCCAACAGCAGAGACAAAGGGCCGAAGACGAAGAGCCGAAGATGGAAGACCCAAGAGCAGAGACCACTTTGAAGAACAGAGACGAAGAGCAGAGATGAAGGGCTGAAGATGAAGGACCGAAGAGCAGACAAAGACCCGGTGGGGGCGGATGGCTCATCTGCATGACTGAAACAGACAAATCATCAGTGAGACAGCACGCATAGAAAAAACTTACCCTTCGCCTTGCTGGTCGTGCACGTGAAGGTTTAGGCCGTGGTACCGGGGTAACCTGGATGCTCTCGGGCTAAGCCACCTCAGGCATCAGTTCTCGGTGCCTATAAAGGGTCCAAGAGACCCGGTTTCTATGTTATGGGAAAGTGGTCTCTGAGACCCACCCTCCCCCCATCTATTAATAACACTTACTCCTAGCCCACCTCGCTTCCCTCGCGTCCCTCTAGCTCCACCCTCCCAGAACCCCTTCGCGCCTCTAAAATACCTAAAAACCCTCTCACGACACCTCTCGCAGACCTCTAGAAATATGACCCATACCTCCAGCGCATCCCTCACGTGCTTTCCACAAACTTAGCGTTGGAGCCTTGTTGATACTTCTTCATACTGGTATGTCCTTCTCTTATCTCCACAATGTCGTCCTCCACACCTCATCCCACTCGCAAATCTCAGCTCACATCTTCAGGGCTAGGCCACCACTTTGTGAGCCCGAGGAAAGCTCGAGACAAACGGAAAACACAAACATTGATCAAGATACCGGGTGCGGAGGCGAAGCGTCGCCGACTTCTAGCTGAAATGCAGCAACTTATGAAGCCGCGAGGTGAAAAATCAGACCCACAAGTACTTTCTGCTGACCTTGCTCACGCTGGGGACTGCAATGATACCGCCCAACACATAAACGTTGATGATGCCCACCCACTTCACTCCGAGGACGTCGGAATGTTAGAACCTCCAAGTCTTGACACCCCGGCAATTGACACGCCAGTCAAACGACGGATTTTGCCAGATAAATCAACCAACTCACTGTATTATTCCTGGACGGCACTTGTGCCAACCCTCGTCAACCATTTACTTCGCTATTTCGGACGAACCCAGGGCAAAACTCTAGAGATCATCCGCCCAGTCATATCTGCATGTGAGACAACGTCGTGCTCACCCAAACAGACCACATTGGTTTGTTTATTCTTCGATCGTAAGCCTATCATTATGCAACAAAGACTCGGAGGTGTGCGTTGACATTTGTGTAGGATTTGAATCTATAGATGTACTAAGTTGCGCGTGCTCCAGTCTCCCGCAGGTTCTGGTCCACCATGGTCTATTCCCAACCGCTCCATCACAGCCTCGGATGGCTGTGTCTGTGGATCTACTTTCATTCTATCGCACATTGTTTGAGCGTTCATGTGATGCAATTAATGCTCTCGCATCAGCATTAAAGACTCATTATTCTCGACGGGGATTTCAGATGACAGACGCACAAGTAAGTTTCAATTGTGTATTTAAATTACTACTAACATGCTTTGGAAGGGCGGACTTATCCAGGACCCGTTTCGCAGAGGTCTCGGCTATGCTGTCCAGTGGTTTGACATACTGCAAGTCCAAGTCGAACAACAACTCGAGACCCTTCTCCAACAAAGCCGGGACCGCATCATGACCTTGCAAGCAACATCTGACGTCCCTGAAATTCATTCTCCTACCCTACATCCAGGTCGATGCGCGCCCCTTCTGGTTCAAAGATGCCCTGCTTGTTTCGGGGGCATACTTTATGGTAGATCCCCAGACGATGGAGGCGATATTCATGTTGCAACGGATGGGAATTTCCATCACCGCCACCGACGCGCAGCTGGCGATTGTCCACCCTTCTATGACCCTACATACTTTATCCCAAAAACCTTCGTTGATGGTATCGGCCGCCGGATAGACGCCCTACATAAGCATCCTCCAAGAACTTATGCTTCCCTCATCCCTGACGAGGCTGTGGACCAATGTGAAACTTCTTATGAGGCTGCTGACGGCAAGAAGCAGAAGACCGCGATGGATAACTTCGATGACACAGGTATTATGGCATTAATTTGTCGCCATGATATCCCGTTGTTTTTCGCTAACATCGATTCTCCTGGAGAACAACAGAAATACTCTGTAGCCCTCCTCCAACACTTGTTTTCATTACTCCCGCACCAGGCAACAGTTGTTGCTTTATATGACGTTGGATGTGTTCTGGCGCGATCCCTCGCAAAAGTATGCTATCACTAACGTTTAGATTGCTCGCTCACACCTCTCCAGTATGATATCCTTCCTGAAAGTATCACCACACGACTTCGTTTTGCGACGACTGCAATGCATGCCTACGGCCATGAGTGGGCATGTCAGCTCATTTATAACCCACGAATGTGCGTTGGGCTTGGCCTGTCCGACGGGGAAGGGACCGAGCGTCTTTGGTCGCGCTTTGTTCGCCTGATTGGTATTGAGAGGACCTCTTCCGTGCGTCCCGCCTCAATTTCATTATAACCCTATTCACGCGAAACCTTCTTTAGCGTCAACGTCGCCTCTGGCTGATTGATCGGCAAGCCGCAGCCATAGGGTCCGAAATGCGCGCTGATCTCGGTGATTGGATCAAACGTCGCCTTAGACGTGGCATCAAAGAACAAGGGTCTGCAGCACAAGATGTACTAGACCGATGCGAAATCCCTATCGACGAGTTACGGTCTCAGTGGTCCCACCAACGGCATTCACAGTTATCCATACGTGCTCGTGAGTTCATTTTATTATAGTGCATTAGTATTGATAAACGGTCCTCCAAGACGCTCCATCTCGCCTCAAGAAAGAGCTGGACACCGTGTTGGCCCTCCAGGCAGATCTCGATGCATCGGACAGAGCACTACAGACTACCAGAGTAATGCTAGAAAAAGAATCGGCCTCTGACGATACATTCGAAGCTCTGCTGAGCCTGGAGAGGGGACATAGTCGGCTAATGGACAAAGTTGAGGCTCTTTACTCATCTCTAAACGTTCATGATCGGTTCCCTGAACTTCAAGGGGTCAATCTTGATTTTGTTCGTACCCTTTTAATGGCGCGGGACCTCAAAATTAATGTTCGCAAACATGCCGTTGCAAGCTTCTTCGAGTGGGACAAACTTGACCGCGCCGTTGGAGGCGCCCAACAAGCTCTAGGTGAGTTCGAACCCCATTGTTAATTACAGTGGTATACTTTGTTAATTACCTACAGGCACTAAGCTCCATCAGCATACGCGCAAAGCTATAGCAAAGCGCCAACCTGCCCTCATGACCGCTATTCGAAAATTCAACTCCTACTGTGAACGGTTAGCTTCCCTTTACGAACCGAGTTGGGGGATTCCCCTGCCTTCCCCTCTTCCAACGAAACTTACGAACTATGCAACGACCCTAAATTAATGGAAGATGTATGGATTACACCATCGGTAGGAGAAGTTCCCCGATGGTTGGAGGACTCACGCATCAGGGACGGTATACGTGCACTCCTCAAACGGGATCGATGTGAAGAAGAACATATCCGCCTCAGCATTGAGGCTGATAATCTTTGTCGTTTCTTTGGTGATGAGCTGGCAGCGCTCGAACTCGCTCTTCGGTTGCCAGAAAGGGAGTGGATTCTATTCTTCTAGCAACTTTTTGCTGATGTGTAATCTAACTTAGATGAACCGTTTGCTGTCCCATTACAGCAACGGCATGCTAATTTTGTCCGACTTCAATCTCGATGGTCCAATTCCTTAGCTTCTCCGGCATGCTTCGCTAGCCTAGTCAACAATGCACTGGAGGTAGCTACCACCCCTCTCGGGAACCTCGCGCAGCACGACACTTCTTGCCATCAATGCTGGCATACCTGCAGTGCCAGATCTCGAGGGTGGGGATGAATTTTCCATTGCTGATCCTGACCATCCTCCTCCCATTGATTCTGAACAAACAGCGCTTGCTGACGTTCTGGAGGGTCAGATAGGCACGGTAGAGTGGGATGATGATGATGATGACTCAACTGATCATGTGCGCGAAGCTACTGCCGTCATTCATTGGGAACTTCCTGAGGTGGGTTGACATTTACTGTCAGGAATACGGCACTGATGTATCATACTAGAATCTTCTTGCGGATGATTTTAATGTTCCATTGCGTGAGTGCGGCATTCTCATATCAGGCAAAATTGTCTCCCGAGTACAACCTAGCTCGGATGGAATCCCGTATCAGATATTTGACCCTAGGGACATCGGTTTCCTTAGTTCTCCTACAGCACGCCTGAATGATGTATGCATCAACAGTTGTGCCATACTTCTCTGGCACTCTCAACTCAGGACATCGGGTGCACAATGCGCCATCCTCTCAACCCACGATCTTCCCCGTATTCGTTACAATGCGCCAGACAATGTCATTTGGCGCAATACATCATGGGTTCGTTATTGGGAAAAGGATATATGGGTACTTCCTATTCATCGTCCGTCGGGCATTGGGCACTGGGTGCTATGTGTCATCCGGCTGTCCACAAAAGAACTTCATCTTTTTGATAGCCTAGGTGACAGGCAGCCTTGGCAAAAGGACGTCGAAGTGGGTTCAATTTAAATCATGCGTTTGCGTTTGACTGATCGGATCTTAATGAAAGGATATAATGAGATTAATTGTTCGGTTCCTTGCTATTGCGCGCCAACACGAATATCGTGTTAATATTGACCTTGAAGGCTGGGTTGCTCGACCTTTGAACGTGAGTTTCATCCTCCATTTTTCACAACTTTGCCGACCACTTCGTGTTGTTTTAGGTCCAACGTCTTCAGAACAATGATTTCGACTGTGGTGTATGGGTTTTGGCGACAATTTTTGCTATTGTACGCGGCAAACATATTACAGGAGTACGAGAGCAGGACATGGACGATCTACGATACTATCTGCGGACTATGGTTCTTGCATTACCAGTTTACAGGCATGATTCGAAGTAGAGTAGTACAATAACAGGTATTATGGACTAAGACAATATGGATTCTGCCCAGTAACTAGCAAATCAACCTCCCTCTGGTAAGTTAAGATCCTCCGCGCGACACCATGGCGGTAGCACTCAGCCATAAGCTTGTGTCTTCCACATACCTGTAGGTTGTTAGCGATACGAGCATTCAGGTCATCCCAGCCTGCAAGCAACCTCTTCTGTGCGTCTCGAAGCTCCTCCAAAACTTCAGACGCCCCTCCTGCATCATACACAGCTTGACGATGAGCGCGAGATTCCCTATCCACACGCAAATTATGTCCGTGCATCACGTCAAAGAGATTCTGTGTAAAACGCTGTTCTTCGGGTGAGTCGGGTGGAGGCAGAGAATTGTAAGGCGGGGCTTTATCCCACTGGGAGAGATCCGAAACATCGATCAAGTCAGAACCATGGAGCGATTGGTGAAAGAGAAATGATTTGGGAAGAGGAGGATTGGCAAACTGTGAGATTGAAGACGGTAGAGGGTTGTGCAGGGCCCTAGGAGTTGTATGAGGTCCGCGTCGACCATGACGTTTGGCGTAGGCACGAGCATTCTGAGCCTGTCGAATGATCTTGCCTCTGCCAAACATATCAACAACGTTGCAATAACAAGTCACTGAATGATACCTACCGTTTTGACTGTAAATATGATTCCGTATGGTTGACGAGCAGCTGCTAGTTTTTCTTCCGATGTGAGGTACTTAGCTCGGCGGCCCATGGTGAGGTTAGTGATTGGACAAATAGTCAAAGTCAACCAAAGTTGATATGAACATCTCGCTGCTGTACCACCTAGTTACCTGTTGAAATGTGATATGGCCATCCACAATGAAGTTCTTGTCAAAATCTTTGTATGAGCATGATGGGGCGTGTTGCTAGCGTCGACGAGGCTAGTCCAGACAGCGTGATAAGTGGTCAATGCCTCTACATATGTCTTTCAAGTTCAGCACTATTGGTATCTTCAATCTCATTGGCTCACAATTGCCTCATGTTTATGAAGGATCTTAGCACAGTTCAAACGTTCAATCTTCTTTATACCTCCATGTCTTAAACGACACCGCTCACAATGTACGTATCAAAATCCAAACAAGTGAGCAATGGCAAAAAGAAGATTCTAGCACTACATAACCCAAGCGTGACATCTCTCAGCCCCACTTTACTTCAAAGGGACGCCAGAAGCTCATCCACCTCTGCCTCGGCTTCATCTTCCCCACGAGCAGTCCCATCAGAACTCTGCGAACCTTGCCCAATGCAGGTTATCTGCGGAATGAGCTCCTGGACGCTACCTACCAGTGACAGGTCTCGTCCTGGATTGAAACTCGACCTCCAGGAGGGTGGGGGGAGTGGGACCTCAACGAACATCTTGAGTTTCTGCCGGTGACACATTGCGTGAGCCACTACAGGAGCGCGTGCACCAGATAGCGGCCCACGAGCAGGCCGGCACCATGCAAGAGATGATGCAGGATTTCGTCCACAAGACAATGGCCCAGGAGCTGGACATTGTGCAGAAGGTGGCTCAGGAGATGACCAGGAGATGTCTCAGGAGAGCTGTGGTGACTTTGAGGCGAGGAAGGACCCAGCCGATCACATCGACCATTCGCATACCAGCGCCACCCATGGGTGTGGTCGGAATGAGGTGCAGGTGCTTCCTCGATGATGACAACGGCTGCGGGAGGCCACAAGATTTGCGAGGGCACCTTGTTTGGTGATGGTCTTGATGGTGAGCAGGTTGTTCTTGAGGGCATCCGCAAAGACTCGATGCTCACGAAGCGAGAGGTCGTGGTACGCAACTATCGCAGATAAGATCATGCATGGCCTTCGATGATTAATCACAGATGCAGCATGCATGAGGCTGTTTGCGGGAGTAATTAAGTGAGGGCGCTGGGCGCTCGCCGCTGGCCAAATTTTTCACGCGGTCTGACCAAAAAGGAAAATTTGCTCGTCTGATTGCGTTGGTGGGATGACGGCTATTTGTAAGTAAGTTCGTTCAAACCACCGCACTCTCACCTACATCTTACCATTGTTTCCGCATCAGTTGGCAGTACGTTGGGTGGCTGTGAGTCTGTGACTCCATTAGTACGTTTCAAACTCAGTACTAGTTTTATTTTCAATCTGATTGAGTCTCGTTAACACCATTAGTGATTTGTACGGAACCCTCCTTGGAGCCTCGCCGCAAGAGGCACGATATTGTGAGTGTAGCTCTCTGACCCTCCACAGAGCCTTTGTAAAATCAATTCGTATCTCATATGTAGCCTCTCTATCAATGCTCATCTATCTCTTTTAGTCTTAATGAACCGATGGTCCTTCCACCAAGCAACGCTGTGGTTATGCGTCTTAAGTATGAGCCCTTGGGGTACGTTTTCTTTCGCCTCCAGTATTCCCCTCAATTTTATTTAGCATCTTGTACAATTCGCCCAAAAAACAGATCTCCTCAACGTTACCCTCGTTGAACGTCCCTCTGTTCTGGTAAGCAACATTCTTTCGTGTTACTACTTGGAATGATGCCTATGCGCATGCTGCCCTCAATTTTAGTATTTTACGCGATCCGCTCAACAGACAGACCACCTCGACGTTACCCTCGTTGAACATACCCCCGATCTGGTAAGCGACACCCTCTTGTGTCAGTATGATGTCTATACTTACGATGCGCTGGAGATCAGGTTTCAAACTTCTCACTTCCCCGATATATTCTCGCCATCGCCTGTTGTATATAGGTACGCAATGCCCACGTACCAAATATTGCTCTGTCATTGACATCTTAACCTGCAGACATGACGCAACAAAAGCCAGAAATGCCTTCTGGTGTCGACCAACAGCCATCTCCTGGTCCAAGCTACATGGGCTCATCCCCTGCATCCTTCGACTATGTTGAGGAACAGTTTGGCGGAGGTCGTCGATATGAAGCACCGCCTGCCGAGTTGACTCCCTCACGGCTGAGGACCAGACTCAAGGCCACAGTGGCGGGACCGTCGGTATTGTCAAGGACGCCTCTGCCCCGACGCCAGGCCTATCAAAAATACCTCTATACGACGTTCAGCTTTCCGTTGGTCCATTCCCACCACGTTGTGCAGGACGGTGCTTCAACTTCAACAAGCGATACGTCATCGCTTACGCTGAACGTGGCTTACAGTCGGCACAACTCACCCTTTCCTCCACTACAAGGTCCTGCACAACTGCAGGATTTGTTTTACGGCCCTATGGACCAGCAGTCTCCTTGGATGCAGCAAAACCCATCTGGTGATTTCGGAATGATGCAGCCTGATACTTTCACGGCTGGATTACTCGGAGATCAAGCTCTAGGCATGGGCTGGAGCGGGCGACAAGTCGCTGGTGGCCTGCAACCGTCCTGTGACCAACGGCAAGACGGTAAAACTACCAATGCGCAGAAACACAACCCACCTTGCACCTCTGCCTTCACACACGCCTTTTCATTTTCCCGCCAGTTCATATGGGTCAGCCTCTCATGTCTCGCGGATGTTCGCTGGATCCAGCAGGCCAACCGTCTTCGGGATTGATGCAGAACTCACCATTCACCCTGCATCCTGCACCATATGTACCCGCCTCAAGATCATGCCCATCCTATTCCAGCCCACAAAACATCATCCCGCCAACACCACTCAAGGATGGTGGCGGTAAGACTCCTGGTGCCTCTGCTTCCACTGATAATGCACCTCCTTGCCTCGACAAGAGATCCTAGTCCAAAGTTGGACCTAGGTCACTATTCTCCGGCCACCACCTACCGCGTTCGGTTCCCTGAAAGAGTGAGCCGAGAATGCACCAGGAGGATCAAGCGGTAACTGGGCCGCAGGTCAGCAGATATGAACGCAGCACTCGACACTAGGGTTTGTGGGCATTGAGCGTCACTTTCTTGAGCTTGCAGCGTCCACCGCCCTCCCCATGACTCAACTAATCAATTTATACCTGAAGTCTCGAGGACGCAGTGTGAACGGCACTAATTACTGGAATCTGTACGCCAATTACTTCACAGGACCACTTGCAGGAGGAGCTCGGCCGCTGTGAAAAAGAGAAATCAGAAGGCAGTGGGACACCTAGTAAGTTCATATGAAACTACGGCATGATGCTGCATGCTTATATTCTTCATAGGTGCAACATTGCGAAGAAAATGCTACGAGAAATTCAAGGACACCTTTCCCGACACCTATCAAGACATCCTATCGAAGCATGAGGAAGTAGCTCTCCTGAGCTCGTCTCCCCCAAACTATTGCCCAGCGCGGACAAGCATTCCAAAAACACTATCGGAGTGTGACGAGCATCGTGCGTAATCTCTGCCGAAGTGACAACATTGTCTAACATATTGTTATAGCTCGAGTCCGGCTCCGCTAGATTTGGATTTGAAGCAGCCGTTGTATTATGTGGTAAAGTGGTTAATGAAGACGGTTCGCTTTGGTCATTCTTACAACACACCTGGTGCTGGTGGGGTAAGCTCATTTTTCACCTTCAACGTCAACATGTACTCAGTAACTCGTAGTTCTGGGAAATGCGATGCCGTGCCAGCGATGACATGATCATCGGTCATTTAAAGGCCCACGTGTAGTAAGTACATTTATGTTCATGCTACATGATGCTTACATAGCCCTAACCAGTAACACCACATCGCTATCTGCAGTTGATGATGCCTTTCCAGAAACCGGGGACGATAGCCATCAAAAACAGACACCGACCGTTACCCCACGACATAGACCAGGCTTCTGATGTTGTGGAGGGAGGACGGGAGGATAACTTGAAATTCGTGAAGCAGGAAATCACCAGGCAAGCTGGTATGTGCGACCATTGCCACTCATCTTCATTTAGACTGATATATCCTGCATCGCACCAGCCAAATTTGGCTGCAAAATACACGGCGGAAAGATTTTCCCTTGGAAGCTCATGCCAGCCGCACTCGTGGAAGCCAATCTCAGCATCCAAGGATATCCTGGCACACAAGTGCCTATTTCCCGGTGAAGCTCACAGTAAACATGCATTAAACAAAGGCATTGGGGCGCTGATGTATAAGGAGATCGCTGCGCTTGTCGATTCGTTGAAGCAGGCACTATGCGCATCATCAAATTTCCCGACGACGATCGAGGTACGTATCATATTATGGGTAACAATGTCATACTTACACGATATATAGCAGCTGCAATAGCTTCAGAGAAGCCCATAATCGAGGGCGAGGCACCTCCTTCTGAATGGCCCCATCATGGCGCGCGACGGTTGTTCCTTGACGGCCATACTGATCACAATGGTCTTCGTCGCCTCAAGCCCAGCACAGCAACTACGAAGGTCAAGAAGGGTGTTAAAGCACCCAAGCACCCTATACCACCCTCCGAAGATGAACCCTCTGATGATGAATCATTGGAGGGTGTAAGTGTCAATGATGCAGTTGGAACTTCTGCGCTCGAGCCCCTACCTCAAGTGAACATGCGAAAGCCTAACTACAAAATGCGAGTCGAAGTTGTACCCTCCACCCTCACGCCCTTTCAAGGTTGTTCGACTTCCTTTACCACTGCCGCGTCCTTCCAAAGCCGTTCCCATGCCATCCTGGAACTCCGAGTGAGGTTATCGGAAGTTACGTCTACCGAAGAGAATCCTGTGGGAGAGCCCGACTCTGAGTATGAAGAAGCAGGACGTGGAAAGAAGAGGAAGCTCAAGTCCGCGAATACAATCGCGTGCGTCAAAGAAGATTGCCCCCGTCGATTGAAAAAGTACTAACGCTTCAAAAGTGGGGAAGAAAGTTGGGCGAGGTAAGAATAATGTGCAATCCAAGGCACCTCGCCTCCCTTGCCAACCTCAACTACTTTCCCTGCGAAAGGCGGTCCACTATCCCCATAAACAGTGGATCGTCGACCGATGGACCTCCATCACCAGAACATAGTGAGTACCATGTGCATCCGCCTTACTGTTTTGCTGAAAGCTTGATAGTTAATGCTGGTAAAGCAATGCGCCTTCGAGACGGACCTTCTGATGAGTCTAAAAAAAGGGTACATTTCATTCTTAACTTCATTGATTCAAGTGATTTAATTTACATGCTCTAGAACATGTTAAACCACGCCCAGTCACCAAGGGCTCTCGGGTGGTGATGAATCGTGGCCTGCGTATGGTGTACGGGAACTCGGACTCTGAGTCTGACGTCGACAACAGCGTGAAGGCTAATTCTGCAACCACAACGGGCGTCATCCCCGAAGCCACTGGTTCAGCTAACATCCAGTCTGATCCTTTGGAGGAGAAGTCTGCACAGACGAAGGATGAAGTAGTAGGAGATAAGGAAGAACTACCCCCAAACCGCCCCATTGAATGCAGCGGCCCCCAATATTCCCGACCAGCAGCCTCTTCGTGACTCCAACCACCCTCGTCCCCTCACTCCTCACAAGACTCAGGACGAGCGTCCACATGATAACCTCCCCCATGATGCCCCTCGTGACAGCCCACTGCGCAACGCTCTCCATGACCCTCCACGCGACCTTGTCCGTGACCCTCGAGATGATCATGACCCTCCACGGCGCTCCACGCGACCTTGTCCGTGACCCTCGAGATGATCACGACCCTCCACGCGACTTGTCCGTGACCCTCGAGATGATCATGAGCCTCTCCGTGACCCTCGAGATGGTCGTGAGCCTCCCCGTCACCCTCGAGATGGTCGTGAACCTCATGAAGATGCTCGAAGTGCTGTTCGCGACCCTACACCGCAACCATCATGAGGCCGTACGTGACCCTCGTGATGGCCTTCGCAATCCTTGGGATGTTGATCCTCGTTATCCTTACACCCGAGGGTACTCCATGAACCTGCGCGTGGCCTCGACCGTGGGCACTCTTCACCCCCGTGACGCATTCTACCATCGCAATCCCCGCTATGGTCCACCTCAAGATCCTTATGGATCTGGCGATATTCGTATGGAAAGTGACTTGAATACTCGAGACAGCTCACCTGTGTCCGATTTTCATGGTAACTATGGTCCTAGTGAGCGCGAACGTGCCTACCCGACCCGGTACGGTCCTGGGGGTGACTTAGGCTATACTCATGAAGGTGGATACAGGTCCCGGCACAATGACCTCGATGAGCGTGGGCAATCACTATCTCCCTATCATAGTCGTCGAGTTGGTGGAGGGAGTTACCGCGAGGAAGGATACCCTCAAGGCCCCGGTAGGAGATTTCAGGATTCGAGATGGGATGAAGGTGCTCATTTGGACTATGATGCTATACCACGAGCATTCCGTCGCGATCTGCCCAATCCCCCAAGGCCTCCTCCCGCTACTTAATGTCCTCCTTGCTCCTCAAGCGTTTTGTGATGTTTGTCGTTGATTTTCTCTTTTCACCTCATGTGCCGCTCATGCCTACATTCGCTGCTCAAGTGTTTTTGGACGTTTTTAGTTGATCTGCTCTTTTCGCATCATGTGTCGCTCGTGCCTGCATTCGTCGTCTGTTTAGTCTCATTGGCCCTGTCTCGTACCCGCGTGTTATTACCCTACCCCACCTACATTGATATCTTTGTAACTCGTTTTTGTCAATATCAGTATAGCGGCTCCTCCAAGCCTGCTGTTGCCTCCGAGATCATTAATATGCTTGCCCGGATCTGATGTTTCCGTTAATCAGAACATCACAACAAGTAGATTAAAACATGAAGAAAGTACGAGATAATTGAAATAACATATGACTTGAATAAAAATAACATAGTAGGCACCAAAGGATCAAATAACATAAGGAATGTCAGAGACTGTCAGAGACCCTCGACGAAAGCTAGAGGCCTCCCGAACCTCCCGAACTTCACACATGACCCTCCATTGCAATGTAAGACAGCCCTCCAACCAGTATGGAGGTCTTCATTGCGAGGGTCCTGGAGGATACTCTGAAACCTCTGGCGGAATAGAGTGGGAGACCCTCTGGAGAGGGTGGTCTCACAGACTGCTTTCCCATCACATAGAAAGCGGGTCTAACAGACCGCGGGAACACGAGCATAGTGCTGCCAAGGGTGGGCTAAGCGAGGAAGGAATTCAAGGGGAAAGTTGGTGTGAATAAAAGTTCAAGAGCGCACCAGTTCAGAGAGCTCTGATTCGTCGTCGTCTTCATATGCTGCATCATCATATGATCCAGGAAATTTTGAAGGACCCGCTGTTGGTTGCGATTGGAAGCAACAGGCTAATGTGTAATGACACGAATATGAGCTAAAGTGAACAAGACAATGTCAGTGTAAGCATCGAGAAAGGACATACCACTTTGCGTGCGCACTGCTAGATGATCATTTGAGCCCATGAGCCGAACGCAAAACATGATACTACACACCTTGGCAGCAATCTTTGCAGCTAAATCGTCATGCATCCTCTGTTCCTCCTTTCCCTTCTCGATTTCATCATTCATCTCCTTGCGGAAGTGCTCGACCTTCTCAACCCGTTTCTCGGCAGCCATTACACAGTGTTGGCATGTAATTCTTTCAATGCGTGAGTCTTCTTCGGTCATTGGATGCAAAGAAACACCTGAATCAGCGCTAGCAATCATCTCTTCATATGCCTCTTCTAGACTGCATTCAAGGTCCTTCGATATTAAGTGAATAGCGACCCAAGGTATGAGGTAGTATTCGATATAGACCTTGAAGTCAAGGGGAGCGAAGGCCTCGTTGGAAATCTGTTCATGGTCGAACATGGAAAATATCGCAGGACTGGATTATCGCTTTTCCTTTCTCCCCATAGCTAACAAGATGTCATTAATGCAGGGTGATGTCACGACGCAAAGAGTAACTCACTATCCAGGACGAGCGTGATTTGTAACCATTGCCGGTATGCGCTGTCTGCTAGTGATGGCCAGCTTGGAAAATTCTCGTTCGGCGGAGTCACTTTGCAGACCTGTGGAAGAAAGATCTTCAAGAAACATGTCGTTGAAAAAACTGTAGCGCCTTGTGTTCTTATCGTGAATCATGAGATTCAACTCAGCCTCCATTTGGAGGACTCGATCTGAGACGGTCTCCCAGGTGATGATAGTTGGCCATCCTCGTGCTTTGGCATGTTGAATATTGAGCTTTTCTTCACGCAGTTGTCGAAGTGCTGCGCATATCTCGAGCTCCAGCCGTAGACCCTCTGATGTCAAACAGCGGTTAGTGTTCTTGAAAGAATTCCACTGTTGAAGCTGTTTGACCAGCTCAATATTGGGGTCTGCCGGCACAAGATCCCTGCAGTTATCGTTCGGACAGACCAAGGGGAGGTCAGCAAACTCATAAGTGTCATCATCATCATTGATGGCAGTGTCAATCTACGATTCAATGAGTTCAAATGTCAGCCAGTGGCGATGATAAATCACTAAACCTTGAGATGTGCCGCAGAGGCTTCAGTTGCCAGTGGTTTAGGCTTGGTCTTGGCACGAGTGCTGCGAGGAATAGGCACAGCTTTTGCTTTCGGCTTGGTAGTTGATGGACCTTCTGTTGCAACCTTCGTGGTGCGTGTGTCTGATGAGGATATTGGCTTCGACTTGGTGGCAGGTGGTGGGTCTGGACGGGTTGGAGTGGGCAGCGGCAGGTCTAGATGGCAAGAAGGAGCCTGGGTCATCCTTGACTTCGGAGCTGGCTTTGTGCGAGGTGCTGGAGCTGACTTTGCACGAGCAGGAATAGACACCTGCAAGTCACGGTAGCTTTGAGTATTAGTAGTGTAATTGAAAGGTCTTGAATACTCACATGTGCGAACTTGAGTTTTTTTTGAGGTCGTGAGTTGTGCTCCTCGTCAGTCCCTGAATCATCTGAATCATGTATGCGCTGGTGTCGTTTTCGTTGTGAAGTTGAGGTTGAAGTATTGTCACCATCATTAAGCATGTCATCAAGTTCCCCGTCACTGAGATCTGAGTCATCTGTCTGTGTGCATACACTCAATTAGCTTGCGGCTTTCAATCAAATAACTTGCATACCTCTGAGTCGTCCTCACTTGCATGCTTCTTTGTGTATTGGACATGATTGCGAAGATAACTAGCCACAAAGTCATTGAATGGCCAATTATCACAGAACTTTGCCAGAAACTGGTGTTTGCGCTGTGCCTGAGCATGGTTAGAGTAGCATATATGCACAGAAAAGGACACAATACTTACATATGATAAAAGGAGTGTGACAGTGAGTTTGTCCTGCTCTTTGAGAGTTTTCTCCATGTCGAGGTATCGATTTGTATATCGCCGTGCGATCATCTAATTAAAGTATGAATCATCTCAAAGTGCTCAGTCCACACAACTCACTCTAAACGCATTATATTTCCGGTTGTCACCGGCCAATCCCATTGCTTGTTGAAGATTATACCCTCCTTTTAGCTCTGATCTCCCTGCCTGACCCTTGGGCTTGTCAATTAGCTTCTTCGCATGCCCAGTGGGGCTGAGCCTTCCACAATTATCGTTTCCTACTCACACAAATGTTACTCCTATTCCTTCTAGAACTTCAACATTTGACTCACGTTGTACATGACGAAGCTCAGTCTCAAGGCGACTGAGATTCTTTGCAACCCTGTCCATCTTTCCGACCGTTTTTCCTTTGTTGTGGGGCATCGTTGATCGCAGTACATAAAGAATCTGGTGAGTTCGTCTGATATTGTCCTTTGTTGACGTGTTATTTGGTGGGCACGTGACAATTTTTCCGAATTTGTCCAAGTCTTTCATGGTTTATCGAGTCCTGCACAATGCAACCACCTAGCATCTGATACGCTGGGTTGCATATCTTCCAGTGCAGGCGCAACCCATCCATACCAATTCGTGACTGGAATCCTCGCAAAGCTTCTATCACAATACCTGACTGGTAAATAACTGCTTCTTCCCAACGAAACCAATCAAACTGACCTACCACCCACAGCTTCTCACTCTGCACTAACACACCATGCATCTCCAACGCCAATGCCCTGGACAATCCCTCCCTATCCCTGATTCCAACCCTACCTCCCACTGCTCCTTCGTCTTCTACACCTGACCAATAGGCTATGACTACCTCACCCAACTCCCCACAGGGGAACATGAGCTCATGCTAGGCAGTGGATTTGCACAAGATGGCGATGAGGGATATGAGGTGATGGGAAATATGGACGATACAACTTTATCTGGTGTGCTTCCTAGGTAGGGGGAGGGAAGGGGTGCCTTTGGATGGGGGCGAGGGGGAGTGGGCAGAAGGATGCGTGCATTACTAGAGAACATTTGTTTGATTGCTGTATCTACATTTCGTCATCCGAAATATAATCTTCATTATACTCCTCATCCACATCCGCAAATGATGCACAAGCAGCATTGATGGTACGATCTATGATACCCCACCTTCTGCGAGTATTAACTTGGCCTACAGCAGCTTTTATATTGCACAGATCGGTAACGATAATTGGCAGGAATTTCTTATACTCCACAAGGATCTGTGAAGCATCATGCCCACCTGTATCGCAGGGGGCAATGACTGCGAGGATGTGGAAGGAATTTCGGTGAGTCCCCCATATGGCCCTGCCATCCAAGGTGCAAAGTAAGATCTTCTCAAGGCGACCATAGCCTATGACATTGATGATGCGTTTTCCTGAGTCATTATATTGAATCTCGTACTGCAGATGGTAAGTTCTATGATTGAATGACAACAATAAACTTACCCGCACAAAGGTGTTATCTCTGTAGGATTCCATCAGTCGGCGAATTGCGAAGACAGTCCGAATGGTGTCCCCTCGATGGCAAATCCGTGCTTTTCCACACAGCGGCATCACCATGGGCAGTTGGGCTTGAATTTGATCTTGCCGTCCACCAAGGATCTGGTGGAAGTATGTAGCAATGGCACCCGATAAGTTATCGTCTCTAGGCCTATACTTGTAGTTGATAGGTGTGCAAATGATAAATTCAGGATCTGACACCCAATATCATTAATATGTGTGCCAAGTCATCATTTGATAGATTGATGAGCACGTACATGTTTCAAAAACCCTTTCACCCCGTTGCAGTTCCCCAACTTGTAGACGTCGAGATGTCACACGAAAATCTTCGCCAAGATCATATTTTATTGTCACCTGGGTCAGATAGGCCATATACAACACCCAACGACTGATATTACTCCAAGGAAACCGGCGTGAATGCAGGTGAGCCTGGAGAAATCCACAGTAGCACTCCATATAAAATGTCCAACTCGTCCATACCGGTCCACAAAATCGTATCCCACTTGCGACATGAAGCAGACCATGTATGGGGAGGGTGCATGCCGACAATCGATCCTCTGCATATTGGTAGTAGTACCTGATTGGAAGGTTAGAGTCAACAATAGCATTGGCGTTTCAGATTCGTAGGAGAGATCGGATGCCTCATCACAGTCGATATCACTACAGGCACCCTGACTATTGCCATCATCGACGCTCATGCCATCATCTGATGACTCAGTGCGGAAGGACCCAGGTCTGCCAGTCGAACTATTGCGATCCACGATTAGTATAATCAGAATAGTACTCTCTGTTGATATTACAGCAGGGCAAACTCACTCGTCAATTGGAGCTACCACTCTCTTGCTCCATATATCTGTCTTCATCATCTCGCCGGTCTGAATCCGAGTCCTCCATACATTCGAGCTCGTCATTGATAAATTTGCGGTAGTGCTTATTGCGCGCAGACTTTGATAGCCATTTGCCACACGATGGTTTGCACCTGCAGGTTCCATAGTCATCAGTAGGTAAAGAATTTCTCAGTCGTGACATGGCTGGTCAACGTTGAAGGCGCGATGTCGATGGTGGTGAACGAATCAGAACGATGATCGATGTATATAGTCTTTAAATTATTATGGTCAATGCGCCGGGTAGAGATACGCCGTCAAGTACGATAACGTTGAGCTCAGTCAGCAACTGTGCACGTGATGGTGATGCGGTGATGGCTTGCCTGGTCCAGATCTTTCAGCTTGGATTCAGTGTGTTCGTCATTTATTTTTTTCGTGCTCAATGATTCAGTCACTGGTTTAAAGTGATCAATGCTAAAGTCAATAAGATTTTCAAACATCATATTCTCACTTAAAAAGACCTGAGTGCCATTTCAGTGATAGACCTACCGAAAACTTACGCGATCAGTGACGAACGCATGTAAATCAATTGATTTTACTACCCACAGTGAACCTATGTTGTCCTCCGGCGGATCCATCATCTTGGCTAGATACATTCTGTCCCTACTATCATACGACCCACATCCCAATTATTTCGACAGCATCGAAGACTATGTCAGACACGACCTCGACATAATGCAGAGACACCATTAACGTCTTCCCCTGTGTATATCTGTTGCAGACGGTGCGCAAGTACCAAAAAAGGACGTCAACAAATGTGTGAATTTACTAATGCGCGTCCCAGACGCCCCATTCCGGTTCAATATACCACCCTCTTACTTCTTCGTATGACTGCTCTCGTCGCCTCACACGTTGATCATATTCTGTCACAGGAAGAATTGGAGGTGTTTGCCGTCTCCCGAGGACTCGAAAATACTATATGACCCGCGGGTCTGAAAAAACCGCGGTATACCGCAAACACCGCTCATACCCGCAGAATTGGCGGGTCGGTGTACACCCGTACCGTAGCGGGTGCGATGTGTGCGGGTACGGGTGCGGTGTGGCTCCAGCGACCCGCGGGTCCACCCTTGCTCAACCCTATAATTTCGCTTGTGTTCAATGATTAAGCACCAGCCTATCAGGTAAGTAAGTACCGTGGATTTCAAGGAAAGACACTGCTGACCTTGTAAGAAAATGTCTGCCATGATGTCAACTTGGGCGTTCAAACCTACGTTGGATCGACTATCTACACAGTGTCATCGATGCGCCGAGACTAAACCCAGCAATGCCAAGAACATCTCGATGATTGCACTAGCATGCTGTCGAAATCTCGAACAGTTCTCCGATCCTCTGCGGCGTTCACTCAAAACATTCTGCGTGAGCCACTGTTTTCAAGTTGCGGTTTCACCAACAACTTCTAATCCGATTCGCAAAGGAAGGACTCTTAGATGAACTAAGTTCTCTTTCTACTTGAATTCATGCTAATCAATCAGATATCTTCTCTCAAATCTCAGTTTGGCGATGTAAGCGCTGGATGGTGGTATATCAAGCACGTTAATGCGATCATTATACGTCCACCAAGTTCCGCTGCTCGCTCACTCTCATCCTGTAATTGTATGACTCTGGTCTCGTATGATCCCAGTTGGTGGCCACTCATCAATGCGAACCTTATTCGCAGCTATTTTATTGGTTCGTTCAGAGTCAGCCGCATGATGACGGTGATATCAATCTAACGTTGTTACGGATGCACAGTTACTGCCTCTGTTGGGCTAATGTACAATTGGGGCGAGTAAAACTGAGTATGAAAGAACCGTTGATATCCTTAAGCATTTCCAGCACTCACATTCGGACAAGAGGTAGGTCGATCCATTACTGGGGCAGCCCACTTGCTTAGAATTGTGTTGCAGGTTGAACTGATCTGTGTAAGCGGATTCCTACACCAAAAGAACGACGTGAAAATACAACTTGTTCACGGCAGAGGCAACGCTGGTCCCTAATGACCTTTCTCTATCTCAGTGTATGTACCTCGTGTTTCAATATTCACGCTTGGCAAGTACGACTTCAAAATATCCTAGGTGCGCTATGCTGGAATAGGATATGCTGCGTACGTTTAGAAGTTTAAGCCATGGATGTTGCGCTCATTACCCATCTCTCACAATCAGGATGATCATTTTGAGTATGTCTCGCATAGACTCTGCCATTTGTTTCTTGTGACGGGCGGCATACAGTCAATGTTCCAACAATTTCGACGACAGATGCAGTGAGCATTCCACATCGATGCTTTCCATTATCATTGGAGTGGTGTATCCGCGACTGTGTGCCTGCGTGTCGAAGAATTGGTGAAGAGCACTACGCTACGACAAAGCCCGAAGGACACTGAGTAGCTGACTACTCGGCTGCTACTGCGTTCCGGGCCCCCTACTTCACCATCCGAACAACTGAACTACCATGCAGGGGCGAGTGAGATTCTCAAACAACTCGTCGATTCAACATAACGACAGATAACTAATGTTACTGGATTTGTCGGGCCTTATCGCGTACGACGCACATGATTGGATGTGTGACGTTGTAGATTAATACCTGGCGGTGAGCTATACCCCTCGGTGACATTGACTTGACTGAATCATCATGTAAGTTATCACGATTGCTCGGTTACATGCTATGTATCAGCGATCCAGAGTGCTGGTGTTTCTCGTTGTCATCTTTCTGACCATCAGAATCACCAACGCAGTGTTAATGAAAACTCGCGTGAGTTACTTTGCGAGGTGAGCTCATAATTTGAATGCGGTTCCCTTTCCCGCTCACGCTCTGCATGTGCTAGCTTTGTTGCTATTCCTTGCTTCCATAGTCCATATCGGGTTTTTTACTCTGACGTTCTCAGCGGTATGACGATATATCACTGACCTCTGCATCCGACCACGATTCGTCATTTCTCTAGGACCGATATTCCCTAAAATCTCAGCTTGTATCACCCATATTCAACACACCTGCCAGTGAGTGTGAGCAGCTGCTAGTCGAAAAATGAAACAGCTGATCACTCATGTTCGCGGTGCAGACGACGGCAGGCACGATTTCTGAGCCATGATCAAGTTGGTGAGCGCTGAAACTTAGCTTAGCCGCCTTGAAGCATTTGACGTGTCCAAATAAAAACATCTGAGATAGAAACAGCTGTAGAGGGAATCGAACATCTCGATTCTCGCACCGATTCCGTCGTCGGAAGTTGACGTCAATTCACGTTGGATTCACATCGGAGAAGGCGTCAGAATCGGCGCGAGAATCGACCCTCTAATGACGGATTTTGAAAGCAAACACAGACTTCAACTCAAACTCAACTTTATTTTAAGTTAGAAGGACGGCTGGTCTATAAAGGTCACCGGGACCGGGTACAGGAAGGTCCATCTAAAGAGTCCGAGAACAAGGTTGACCTACATAATAGCGATGTACAAGTACCGGCGAGGCTAATATTATGCAACACACTGCAATTGCAATGCATCACAGCGCTGCATTACAAGTACTAGTGTCTTACAGCTGTAATTACTCCATGCATTAAAATATTAAAATGGCGCTATATGGGCTGTAGCCTTGCTGTAGAGCGTCCCTGTAACTTTAATTAACAACGTCCATTACCTAAGGCAGCGATAAAGCTTGTCGCCTTAGACGCCCAAACGTTGACATGAATGTTGGTCTTACATCGAACTGGAGGATATTGATTTTCTTGCCTTTGACCTGTCCGCCAAGAGTCCTCTCTTGGACCAGAACAAGCAGACGACTGCAAGCCATCAACCATTTTCACTTCGACATGGTGCTCCACTGGCTTCCAGGTGCTCACTACATATGTTCCGGACTCCTCTTGTCATACCAAGAACACGTCTCAATACTCTTTCGCACACGAGGTGCCAAGTTCCATCTTTCCATTCGACCCAATAAAATTCACCCGCTAGAAACCAGCAGCAAGAATGAAACTGTGACGACGGAGTTAAATGATGCCCATGTGGACTTTCCGGGACAAATAGTAGGCCAGTCAGTCCAGGAGTTCCAGAAATAGTTGTTACTCATCACGTTCATCCAACTAAAGAAATATTGCAATATTACGGAGACGGGTTTCAGCGGTTCGAAATCCTCGAGCCAGTGCTCGCCATATTTATGCTGGCTAATACGTACCTTACCGCATGTGTCACCCCGACGCGGATAAGGGAAATTAAAGATGGGTGATTTTCATCTTCACCCGCAATTATTTATTTAATTTTGTCCAATAGTGCCCCGTATATGGGATCTACAACTAGCTGAGCAGGCGAAGCGCCTTGAGCGATTAGAACATTCTTGCAACTTGCAATGTACGCAGCCCATCAGTGATCCGGGTGATCACCGGAGTTTGCATCCAAAGTTTATGCACCGGTCGGAGCAGGTTCAATGTCCTCGTTTGACTGAACTTTGACTTTGACAGTTGATTCACCCTAGAACCGACGGGGCCAGTACTGTCTATGTGCTATAGCAAAAAGATATTGCAGTCGCGCGTCACAAAATGCGCCATGGCCCATGGGCTCCTATTTGCGTATGGCTACTTGCGACCGTAACCGTGTCTCAACTCCCTAGGTCCACTGTTTCGATGTCAATGTCGTCTACCTTAGCGGGCAGATCACTGATCCTTGTCCATCTGTAACGTTATGAGAGGAGCATAATAGGAAGGTATAAAGGATAGGCACGCCCCGGAACAAGGTCACTAACGGCAGCTACAAACTGCCGAGCCCGCAATGCACGGGAAATGTGTTCGTGGAGAACGCGCCTGTCTGGCAAGTCAGGAGCTATTCTGTGCCACCGCCTTATAGATCAGAAGGATACAAATACTCAGTCTCAATCCACAAATCCAGCTGCAATACGCTGAGACAGGACATTCAACAGATATGTCTGACGTAGAAACCTTCTCTGCTCCATTATCTGCAGGTAAGCCTGCATTTCAAAATCAAACCAGGTCCACTTATTGTTGGATACCAGAGGCAATCTCCTCCGCGTGGCTTTCTGCATTGATTTGTGACCTATCCAGCCCCAGTTTTATTCTCGAGCGTTCGTTTACAAACGATAGCTACTGGCGAGATCTCTTGGCATTCACTCCTGATTTTCGCACCTTGCACGCACTTCCAAAAATCCAGCAATTTTTCTCAGCTCCCGTTGCTTTTGCGCGGCCAAGTCAATTCCGACTCTTGCCAGGTGTTCGTCATCGGCGCATTAGTCCTACGAGAACGTTCATCCAGGGAATTATTCAATTCCATACAGTCATGGCGCAGTGCACTGGCGTCTTCACTCTGACTCAAAGCGAGGATTCCTCATGGAAGGCTTGGTCCTTTGTCACCATGATGGATCGCTTGTCCGGTGTGGTCGATCGTTTTGGTGTACATACGCCTCTCTGTCGTCCCGCCGAGTGGAACACTACAATGGATTACACAGCGGTCGTCGTGGGTGCAGGTCAGTGCGGTTTATCCGTGGCAGCCCGTTTGGAGAATCTCGGCATCTCTACACTTGTCTTGGAGAGATCCGGCGCAATTGGGGATAGTTGGCGTTCTCGATACGAGTCTCTGGAGACGAATACTCCCAGGGCGTTCAGTACGTGCAGCCGAAGAACTGCCAACCTCGTACTATGCTGATGTACCAACAGATCATCTTCCCTTCGTCACATTCCCAGAGGGATGCGGAAAATATACCCCCTGCAGAGACGTTGCCGACTACCTTGAAAATTACCCAAGGATTCTTGGTCTTCATGTGGTGACTTTGGCGCACATTTCTGCTGCTTCATATGACGCTTCGTCAAGTACCTGGACATTAACCATATCTATTTCTGGGAAAACATGTATTACCGTGACAACCCGGCACCTGATTGGTGCAACGGGCGTTGGTACAATGGGAGGTGCACTCCCGTTTACGCCTTCTATTCCAGGAAAAGTACGCAAATACGACTTAATTCTCTGTCGACGCTAACTCTCTGTGTGCAGAGCTCCTTTATCGGTTCTATTGTCCATTCAAGCGAATACAAGTCCTCTTCCTGCTTCAGCGCGCAGAAAGTTGTCGTCGTCGGCGGAGGATGCTCTGCGCACGATATTGCTCAGGACATGGCGAATCATGGGTCTCAAACAGTACTTGTCCAGCGTTCCCCGACTGCCGTTGTGAGTCGCCAGACGATCGACCGTTTGCTTACCGGTAATCTCAGTGTACTTGCTGCGGAGATCTTCGCTCATTTGACTCGTAGGATATGTGGGGCAGGACCTTCCTCCGACAGAGATCGCCGACCGCTTCTATGTCGCTCTCCCCCTGTCAACTCTACGAAATTCCCAGTACAACGCCATGGAGATGCATGCCCATATCGACCAGTTCGTTAGCAAGATTTGAAGACAATTTCTTCATCTGACCTTTTTCCCTTAGGGACCTCAGGGATAATTTGTCCCGGAATGGTTATCTCCTTCCCGGCCCCGAGGACAACTTCTTGCACCGTCTCTCCGTTCGACGAGGTGAGTATGTTTATTCTGTATGGTTCTATTTTCTTACCGACGTTCCAGGTGGCTTTTACATCGACCGGGGTTGTGCAAAGCTCATCACGTCTGGCAAGGTATTATTACTTTCACTGAGTTTCCCCACGCATGCCGCTTACTAGCAACCAGATCACTGTCAAGTCCGGGCACGAGATTTCCCACTTCACCCCTACAGGGATGGTATTCGACGATGGTTCGCGTGTGATGGCCGATCTTGTCATCTTCGCAACTGGGTATATCTTTCAAACATCTATCCGTCTGATTGCGCACTTCTGACGCATTGTTTACAGGTACTCGAAAACTACGATTAAACAAGTCGCCGAGAGTCTTTTTGGGCCCCAGGTCGCGGATGCCGTCCATGACCTTGGAGGATGGGATAGTGATTGTGAGCTTGCAGGTGTTTGGAGGCCGACTGGACGTCAGTATTCTGTTGATTTGATTGCGCGACTCGGGGATGCTGACGTTCTACTCCAGACGATGGACTCTGGTTTGCAGAGGGCGATCTCTTTGCAGCACGGTTCTACTCTCAGTTCCTTGCGTTACAGATAATGATGAGGGAGATGGGATTGCTTAGTCCAGACCAGAGAACTTACGTCCAATGCTGATGTTTACGGTCAGCTTCTCAGTTACCCTAGATATTATATAGATATTATATACACGAGGAGTCCTTAGCTTCTGCCTGCCAATAACATTATTTATATGCGACATGCTTCCCAAGAACTTCAGGTCATACCTAAAAGCATTATAACATCCAACTATACCGTGGTCCGTGGAAAGTACTTTCAACTGCCAGCGTCTTATTTCTATTTGGGTTACCTAGTCAAACACAGGCTCAGGGACGCCTAGACCACAATCACGAGTGGTCGACGATCGACATCTCGATGACTTTAAGCTGGTCCATTCTTCGATCCCCAGGCTGAATGAAATCAGTATCAATATGGCGGACTTCTATGGAGGAACCTACGTTGTCCTCAGGCGGATCCATCATCTTGGCTAAATAAATTCTATCCCTATCGACCCACATCCCGATTAATTCGACAGCATCGAAGACTATGTCGGACACGACCTCGACATAAGGTAGAGACGTTATCAACGCCTTACCCTGCTTATGGATTTCTGTTTCAGACGGCTCCCTCACCACTCGTCCTAGACCTTGCCGGCGCTCAACAGCCAACGGACTGAAGTCCATCATATGCAATCTATACTGGGACCTAGAGCCTGCAGGGAATGCCTGTAGAACTCGATTCCCGCTGACGCAAAGTTTCCATGAATCCGGAAACACACGAGTATTTGTAGGGCCCCAATTTTGCCATGGTATTGTCACTGCCTTTTCACCCACGCGCTTCGAGTCGAGATCGAAGAAAATACGGGTGGAGATGACGAAGACGAGACGCGGACGGAACGTAGCATAGCACAACAGTCGATGTTCAGGGTCTGAGGTCCACATCGTTTGTTGGGCTTGCATCTGCATTTGTGAGCCATGCGCAATATCATTGATGGGTAGGTGGCACTGCATGCTCGCCACTGGAAAGGGTAACAAGTAGCATGCCAGCAATTGCGGTTCTCGGGACATATCCTCGATTGAATAGAGCTTCAACTCATCGCTGGCCATCAACAACCTATCGTTTCCGACAAAGCAAAAATCGATTGACTCTCGGAAATATGTCATGGTGTCACTGAGGTTGCACTACGTAAATCAAGGGTTAACTTTCAAGTTCAAGTCTTTCGACCAGTATGTCTAACAATGCTCACTCACATTGGACGTTGTCGAGTGTTGCCAGTCCCAAAGTTGCAACCACCAAATAACCCGAGATGTAGTGCTGATCGGATCATCGAACACCGGGGAACACTGGAGAGCGAGATGTCTCCCCAAAACCTTGAGCTTCACTACCTCCGTTATCGTGAACCAGTCATGGTTGTCTTGTGCGGTAAGCACAGACAGAAACAGCGTCTGTCCAGCAGCTTGAGGGTGGATATCATCTCCATCCAGGGATCTAAGTTCAACGTAGAATCTCCCCTCCTGGAGCGTATCATTATTAACAGTATACGCGGTGGCGATCAGGTTTTGTGTTGGGTCCATATACACATCGACAACGTATGCATTGGGAACTGAACACAGCGATCCCGGAGACCAATGCCGCTCGATTGTTTGCTGAGAGGGCTTTGGCAGTATTGGAACAATCTTGGCCCAGTTTCCCAAGTCTTCAGTTTCGTGGTACCGTGACCATAAGTAGAGATGTCCATCGGCGAGGGATGACTCTACTTCATAAAATTGTTCTTGCATAGAGAATGGTTGGAAAGAGTAGGCGTGGAGGTTAAACTGGAACCATGCGTGGGCTTTGTCCCTCAGGAGTTGTAGGCGCTGAGAGACAGAAGTGTGGTCGCCGAGGTCCACGATGGGGACTGGGAGTAATTGTTGGCCACCGAGTTCTACAATGTACTGAAGCTCGGAAGATGATACGTATGTCTGGCGAAGGGCCTTGCATACCTGCCAGCGAGAAATTAAAATTAATCTAGGAAGTTCAACATCGACAATAAATTGGAGGCTCACAGATGTACAACGAAGAATATCTTGCCAAGGAAGGAAGCTTAGAATGTAGGAATGAAGTTCTTCAGCAAGTGTTAGGAACTCTACTGTGGGCCTCACGTCTTTCCCAGCTTGGTCCATCAGGTCATTCATGTCGTGAGGGCACTGATAGCAGGCGATGGCGTCTAAAAGGATGCATTGCTCCCAGTCTATTGTCCTAAACAGGATAATGGATGACTTTCCGTAGGCAAAATAATCCAGAATAGATTATTTCGGAGCCTGAAATACATTTGCAATCATGTCAATAATTTAATCTATGCAACGATAATCCCCCGTACGCTCAGTAGTATTTAGATTTAGTCCAGTCCTCGATGGACAATCTTGCAATGCAGTACCTGCTTCTCAACGATGACGAGGCAGAACTTTTTGATGATGACGAAGGAGCTCAGGTCCTAGCTGCAGCCCTCGTTTGTGGGATCGAGGTATCACGACAAGAGCGCATTGACACCCGGAACCCCCATCGTTCATACCTTTGCCGGCCCCAGCTTCTTCCCAATCCTCGCATCAACACACCTTGGCAGGTGTTATACAATAGCCGGAATGATCGAGCGTTTATCACCACAATGGGTATTGATGTAACTACCTTCACCTCGCTCCTTACTGCAGGTTTTGCCCAACTCTGGTATGAGACACCAATCCCTCGTGATGATGTGAATGCACGTGGAAATACACGCAGCGAACGGCGCTCGCTCGATGCTGCAGGGGCACTCGGACTCGTGTTGCATTATCTCAGCTCCACTATGCATGCTATCAGCCTACAGCAAATTTTCGCTCTTATCCCCAGTACTGTCACCCGCTACCTTCAATTCGGCCTTCGGCTTCTCCTGCTCACGCTCTGCACCATGCGAGATGCCAAAATTCGATGGCTCGAAGGCCCGGAATTCGAACGCTGTAGTGCGCTCGTTGTCGCGCGTCACGAGAGACTTGGAGGGGTGTTCGGCAGCATAGATGGTCTCAAATTACCTGTACAAACCTCAGATGATGTTGACATCGAGAACGCAACATTTAATGGTTGGCTCTCCGAGCACTTTATCAGCTCAGTGTTGGCATTCTCAGCTGAAGGTGAGTTTGATGCCGAATTCACACTTCACTCATTAACTAAATGTCGCAGGGGTTATTATTGCTGCCAGGACGAATGCCCCTGGTAGCTGGCATGACTCACGTCTCGCTCAACAAATCTACGCATCCCTTCGAGACCATACTCCCCCAGGTTACTACATCGTGGCTGATACAGCCTTCCCACGTGGGACCAACGACATCCAAGGCCGGATCTGTGCGCCCCTCAAACAAGGCCAACGTCTTCAAGGGTCAGTCGCCGAAATTAACGAACGCATGGCGTTCAATCGTGAGCTCCTCTCCTACCGGCAGACCGCTGAATGGGGGATGCGTGGTCTTCAAGGTGCTTTTGGGAGATTGCGTGTACCGCTCGAGATCTCTAACAAAGATTCGCGGGGAGATCTCATTGAGATCTGTGTTCGGTTGCACAATCTGCGCGCAATCAGAGTTGGCATCAATCAAATCCGCACGGTGTACCTTAAGTATTGGCAGGAGACAGATGATGATGCCGCCATCTGGCAAAACTTCGAGAACATGCTATTTTCCGAGCAGAGGCAGAAAGATCGGGTTAGTCGTTTCCACGTCACACTAGAGTACTTGGGGTAGAGGTACATACACATCCTTGAATTCACCAATTTTGAATACTCTTGAGCAATCGTCGATAAGGTCTGAATGATAGGTCTGGAGTTAATGGTGAGCTCTGCCAGTCACGCGCGCTGTATACTCACTGATAAGGTCTGAATGATAGGTCTGGAGTTAATGGTGAGCTCTGTCAGTCGTGCTTGCTGTATACTCACGAGCAATCATCGATAAGGTCTGAATGATAGGTCTGGAGTTAATGGTGAGCTCAATCCGGTTAGAAGACAATCGGAGTAAGGGAGAGATATGAGTGTGGCGGAAGAGATGCGGCAGAGGCTGGATTCGGTTAGAAGACAATCGGAGTAAGGGAGAGATGAGGGCTGGATTCGGTTAGAAGACAATTGGAGTAAGGGAGAGATATGAGGTTTGAACAGTCATTTTTTTATTCTCAACGAAGTGCGAGTTAGAAGACAATTGGAGTAAGGGAGAGATATGAGGCTTTTGGTAAGGGTAACCAGTAAACGGCTCGAGACTACACTTCTGTGCTCAGTGGCTCATCCTCGCCGAGTAAGGGAGAGATATGAGGCCTTAGTGAGTAAGGGAGAGATATGACACCTTTGATAAGAGTAACCAGTAGACGGCTGGAGACTACACTTCCGTGCTCAGTGGCTCACAGGCATCCTCCCTATTGTTGGGGTCTGTAGGCTCTTGGATGCCTTCCCTGCGAGAACAACTCGGACGAACCACAGTATTGCGTGGATATCCACCACGGGAACGTGGTCTACTTGTCCCAGCGAGACGGTCCTCCACGCCGAGGAGAAGGAGTAGTACCGAAATCAGTAGGGGTAACATCAGTAAAGTGAGGAGAAATCGAACGACGATCAGACATGTTGGTGAGAGTCTCTGTCTCACTGTGCCAAATGACACTTTGGCCTCCATCAGGGTAATAGGTGTAACTCGGCTGTTTGGGTTTGTGCCGGTGACGTGCATGGCGAGGAGCTGAGTTGGGATGGGCGTGGCGAGGAGCTGGGTTGGGAGCAGACCCATGCATCTGCATCATTTCCACGCGAAGCTGACTAAGGTCGCGTTCGCGTTCGACAGTGTAGAGTTTGCTGCGCATGTCATACAGTTGAGTGTGTAACTGCTCTGTGACTGCATTGGCGTCTTGTAGCTGCTGTGCTTGGGTGAGTAGTTGAGTATTTGCGATGGATCGGTTGGCACGTTGCTCGTCCCGAGCTTCCTGGACGGCGGGGTCAAAGGCCCCGCTGATGCGCGTGAGCAACTCTGAGGCAGCTGCACCTTGGCGGCGTGGCACAGGAGCATCGGTGCGAGTGGCACGAGTGACTGCAGTATGCTCAATGGGGGGAGTAGCATTTCGCAAGTCATCATGGCTGTTGTCGGCATCGAAATCCGAGTCGTTGAGATCACGCGTACCGGCACGCTCATTGATGAGTGCGTCAATCTCATGGGCACGAGTTACGTCGGGGGGACAAACACCATCGCCTGTGGGATTCGTGGTTTTCACCAACTGAGGTTGTTATGTGAGATGCGGTTAGAAATACTTGAATATGTAAGACTTACTTGTTTGAACTTCGTTTCAAGCGACATAGCTTTGCGAGGAGGACGTTCATGGTCCCTTGCCCACTCACTGTACTTCGAATGGATGGCTTGCCACCCTTTCTGGCCCAGAGGGCACTCATCTTCGACGAAGTCCAGGAGGACCTGAATGTCAGTCGGGCTGTAATTGTTAGACCCAGAGGGCCGGCCGCGTTTGGCCCCGGCCCTTGGGTCATCTTCGTCGTCCTCAGCTGCGCGTGCGCGCTTGGGAGCACGCTCAGTATTCTCTTTTCCCTTGCCTTTGTTTGCTTTGGCTGCAGTCTTGCGACGTGCGCCAGCAGTTCTGACGGCAGGCGCATACCCACGAGCCTCAGCAATCGCCACAGGGTCACGAAGGTCTCTATCTGGCGAGTCAGGGAGTGGGATCTGAGCAGGGCCCAGAACAAGACTGGGACCCAGACGGTAAGGCTGGTGATTCAGATGCCTCACGAGGTTGGGAGAAGTCGGCAGGAGTGGTGAGTCCATACGTCAAGGGCGTAACTCCACGTTGCTGCAAGGTGGTAAGTCCTTGTTGCAAAGCTTGAAGAAAAATGAATTGACTTACTTTATAAGACATGTGATCTTGAGGCCAGTGTACTTGAGCGACAGCCCGAGCGATCCCAGGATGGGACAGCCAATTTCCCGCATGATCACGCGCATACGCATTCCCTGCGCCGTCATAACGCAACTCAGGAATTGATGGGCTATCAGCGTTGAACATAGTTTGGGAAGGAGGGATATCAGACATTGGAGGGACTGGCTGTATGAATGTACTTACCTTATGACTGGAAATGCGCTGAATCCATATAGTCCTTGAGTTTGTTGAGCCGTCCGAAGGAAGGGGTGGGTATTTTCATAGTAAAACTGCAAAATGCAAGGACCCTGCACTAGTAACAATGCAACACAAGCGCACCAGCCCAACATGTAGCAATCGTGAGGGAGCGGACCCTAAATACAGGGATGGTAAGTAAATTTTCGTTGACGGAGGGTGGGGATTGGTTGGAGGTATACGGCGCTGGCTGCCGCTGGGACAGATTGAGTGAGATTGGAGGCACAGGCAGAGGCAGCGTTGTCAGGTCGTAGTTTCGTATATACGACTTGGTATTTCTAAAAAGAAGAGGGAGAAAAAGGTGTCAACAAACTTGGCAAGATGTTGACGACGCACCTTTGTGTGACCGCGAGAGGTGCCACGCACGATGAGCAACGCACATTACGTCAGCGAATATCGCTGGCGTTAGTGGCCTAAAATGGACGAAAGTCGGATATTCAAGTCTGCAGGGGGGGGGCCGACCCCCCCTACAGATTAAAATAGATTAAGGTTTGAAAAAGGGGGGCAAAGAAAATACGTTTGCAAATTCAGCTCAAATGAACAGCGGCATCGCGGCACACCTTCCTAATGTAGGCAAATTTATGATATTATATTCTAATCAACATATTTCGAGCCTACGGAAAGTCATCCAATACTTAATGCGATACTCGAGTAGGAGACTCCACCCTAGATTTCCCACCCTAACCTGGCGGCTGATGTTTAGTTTCAGAGGGCGGTCTCGTGATTCTACTCCCGGTCCTGTGCGTTGCAGGTAATGGCTAGGGAGATGTGATTTATCGCCGTGACTTGGTCCAGACCAGAGTACGTACATACCCGATGATGAGAGGACGCAGTTCGAATGCAAGCCATGCAGGTGGCTGATTCATTCGAGAACAGATACGGGACCGTGGTGAGTACCTACCAGTACATAGTACTTCACGAAGTGCTCTCAGACAACTTGTATGCTGATGTGAGTGCGCCTGAAATAATTTCCTTTTTCTGACGAGGTTCAGGCAAATGTCAGCCACCCCAGACGGTCTTCTCTGTTGTAACTTGTAAGTCGTTGTCGGGTTTACTCTTTTGCTCACTCATTCTTTCCTCAGTCATGCCACCGTTTTTGCGCAATAGTCCTTGCACCCGCGCGTGCTTGATTACTAGGTCCACCCCATGATGTTGTTTACGAAATACCCTCATACCCAAATTTTTATGATCCCTTGTATTACCTAATGTATCACTGCGATGTTTTTGCCACGGCAACCACTTTCTCGATGTGGGCTACAGCGGACCCTTGCAATTCACGCCTTCAATGAGCTGCCAAATCTGCCTTCCTTCCTCTGATGCTATCTCTGTCGAGAGTGCCGCATCCGACGTTCTGGTATGCCTGGGACAGGATGACATCTTATTTTCACACGCTCACATTGAAATGGTGTCATACACACACTGGCCGTACTGTCACATTCCAGTCCTTTGTCCATCACTCTGGCGAAGTTCTTTCGGACATACGTCCATCTCTTGCAGCCACATTAAATGCTGACCCCGTCTGATATATTCATACACTTTCGTGCCACATGGATAACCTAGGTGCGCTGTTGGCTCCCACTCCGCATTCGTCAAGAGAGACATGGAGGTGACTGACGACTAATACAGTGCAGGTAAACAGGGAATGCAGAATGGGATGGTCAAATATACGAAGATACTGCCTATAACTGAGGGTGACTTCGATAGCTTGCGAATACTAAAGGTATTGGGCGGAGTAAAGTCAACGAGATTCTACATGAACAGGTCTGAATGGATGGCGTTGATGGGAAGGCCATTCCTATGGTGTTAAACATGACTCTGGGAAACACCGGCTGGACACCAGAAAAGAGTAGAGACATATGCATTGCATAGATCATGGAACGTTGTACACGCCTTCGGGGGAAGGAATTAAATAAAGGAATTGAGTAATCAAGGGTCGGGGGTTGGCGGCGAGCCGCTGACATCAGACGTGAATTTTATATTAGATCGGCTTAGCTCCTTCGTACCATGTGAGTCACTGAAATCAACATCGACAATGAACATCCATTTGCTAAAGCAGAGCAAGGTGGGCCCAACAAATGGTAGCAAGGCAAATTTTTGGTGGGTTCAGGGGTTAGGTACCCGCTGTAAGCGACGTTCAAGTCAGGAACAGTCTGGGACAACAGCAAGTGTAATGCAAGTAATGGAATTTCCCTACTATCTGCTATAGTTTAAACGGTTGTTCAATCAGAACTTCTACCACATTGCTTGCAACCGCTCAGGCAGACTGGGCCGACAGCGACCGACGAAGATGTAGAGGGCCATCCCCACAATCGTGCTGCCAAAGCAATAATCAAGCAGTTTTACGAATATTTTCTGACACTCGTGTCCATAGCCGTGTACACAAGGTGCCTGTAGAGCCAAGGCTAGGGCTGGCTAGGGGTGACAGCGCGATGGTAGCAACCATGTGATCTTACATGCATGTCCAAGACTGTATCGACGCCATTAAAACGTGCGATATAATTTATATGCATGAACTATTGATTCATTAAGGTAAGTTGCTTACATGGACTGCGGAGCAGCGGATCTGCTCCGACCTGTTGCAGAAATAACCGTTTGATGACTTTAAATATAGAGCCAGCTGTTATCGGCATCTTCGTGAGATATGAGATTGCATTGAACCATCATGTCGTCCGTAATACCGCGTCTGGCAGTAGTAGCCGCTGGGGCCATGGGCGCTGCCGTAGCGAAACGTCTGACCAGCTTCGGCTGCACAGTCTACACCGACCTTAACGGCCGCTCTGAAGCCACGCGAAAGCGAGCACAAGATGCAGGGATGATTGACCTCTCTGTCGACGAACTTGTGCTCAAGTCGGACTGGATTTTGAGCATTTTACCGCCAAGAGATGCTGTGTCGTTTGCCGAAAAGATACAGGAAGTTGCTGCAAAACACGGGAGCGCACTACCCTCCCCACGGACGTTCGTTGACTGCAACGCTGTCAATCCGGAAACAGTAAAACGTATCGCGGCACTTTTTGCAGGGACAAGCATCGGGTTTGTCGATGCTGGCATTATTGGAGGGCCCCCGAAAGGCGACCAAAATCCTACCTTCTACGCGTCAGCAGAAGATGTGAGAATTTTGGATGAATTCACTGCATTGTCCAAGTATGGTTTGAAAGTATCTCCTCTGAAAGGAGAAGGCGTGGGGGTCGGAGACGCTAGCGCACTAAAGATGTCGTATGCTGTGAGTGAAAGAAGCAAACGAACAAGTCGTACGTTACTAAAACACGTTTAACAGGGAATAACAAAGGGAACAACAGGATTGTATACCACGATGGTGCTAGGTGATTGTTATTCTCTCGTGAAAGAAACGGGTGATTGACGCAAGGCAGCGGCTCATGCATCGTCGCCTGCGACCGCAGATGCTCTCATGAGAGAGCTACAAACGTCGCAGCCAATTTTGTTGGACCGTCTGGTTAAGACTGTACCGCCCATGGTACCGAAGGCGTACAGATGGATTGGGGAGATGGAAGAAATTGCTGACTTCGTTGGTGGGAGCGAGGGAGACGTCTACCGGGGTATAGCGAAGGTATATGAGCGCATTGAATAGTCGATAGCGGGTGATCAGGAGGACATAACGACGTTGAAGAATTTTGTGGAGAAAGCAAAGGAATCACACTAGGATAGACTAGGATCCAACTTGAAGGCGACTCACATCAATTGGAAAATGGTTGATAGGATGAAGTAAGTGGTTAACGTTGGTTACAGCAACATAAATGAACTGCTATAACTTATATTGACCTGATATACCTTTTCCGAATTCGGGAGGATCGATTACGGCCTTGCAAGGGGTTAACCATCGTCGTCGGAACTGTCTACCTTCAATTTTCTCTCTCTTTGATTCCCCGGTTTTTGATTGTCTCCTCGTACTTTTTTGATTTGATAATTCACCCACTTTTCGTCGTCGTCGTCCTCAGGCTCCTTACGTCCATCGGGATTATTGTCACCTTGGCGCCTGGGAAATCTCCAGCTCAACCATTTTTTTGAATCGTCAAGAGTTGAACATGGCCGTTGCTGTGGACGAGACAACCGCTGATTTGAAACCGCTTTCTCCGCCATCAGACCATCAGACAGCCCCTGGGTCACAGGCGCCCTCTGCAGCCGATCTAGACGCAAAGACCAATGGACATACCACAGACACTCCTACCGTGACCATACCCAAAGTAAACGTCAATGGTGAGCCCGTCAGCAGTCCCCGCCCGTCAGCAAGTTTTGGCCGTGTAGATGCAGAGGATGCGAGATGGGGCTCCAATTTTTGGGTGACTTTGGTAGATCCGCAGGTATTCATCTCGTCTTGATCATCAACATGGTTTCATGTTTAGAACGCACTTTTACAAGACTAGCACTGTATTCTTCGCGTGCCCTGCCACTGGACAAGTGAGCTGGGATCCACCAGCTGGTACGTTTGTGTGCGTGATGTCATAATTTCAAATATGAAGTTCTATATTCTTACGGCGTCTGTGCAGTTTGCCTCCTAGTACGGAGGGAGAGTGGTGGGAGCTCAGTGATGACTCCCGTGGTGGAATCCCATACTATTACCAGACCAAGACAGGGGAGACAGTCTGGGAACGTCCAGATAGTTTTGTCATTCCCCTGACTGTCATTCAAGTGATACATTCATGTTAGATTTCTCTTATAATAGGAGCTAATGCCTCTTTCTGCAGCAAACCGCCCTGGGTCGTCGCCTGTCGCAGAATGGCATGCGCAAAACGACTTCTGAATCTACTATAGTGCCAGGTCGGTCTCCCAATCGAACTCGGACTCGATCACAGGCAAGCATAAAAGATGCTCGCCCTGTGTCATTTTGTTCCAACGAGGAGCCTCCGTTGCCCCGACACTCGTTGTCATCCACGCGGAGTTCTCCAGGAAGGATATCAGCTTCTGGGGCTAGCCCGGCCAAGAAGTCTCCTACCGTAAGGCGTTCATTCACCACCGACCAATATGGCCACCCAAGCTCCCCTCATGGATGGTCAAATGGACACCATCTACCCCCTATACCCGCATCCCCATACACAACAGAACCTTCTACACCAAGCTCACGAAAATCATTGTCAACGCCACCTCCCAAGGTCGCAGCGAGCGGAAGTACACGATCGAGTCGCCACAAAGATAAAGACAAACGTCTAGCTTCAGATGTCGATGACACTTCACCATCGCGATCGCGGGCCAAATCATCCTCTTATGTGCCACATCGATCCCCCATCCCACAAAGTCTCAACGCTGCTGTGGAGATGCTGTCTTTGTCTGAGCGACGGGCTGCTTCTGACACTGGTCATGGGTTACTACCGTCATCTCCACCGGCCATGGACAAACCACGGCCGAGCACGAGCCATACTCCCAAAGAAAAAGCGAACGAGAAACGAGAGGTTCCTCAAACTCCAAAACTGGCTGCGAGCAACAATTTTTGGATGGCACGCAGTACGTCGACCCCGCCCACAGTACTTGGTAAGACTATTGGTAGTCCTGTTCTTAACAAAGGTACGACTTTTCACTACCCATACTTTCTTGGCTGATAGCCTGCATCCAGAGGCAACCAAGAACATGAGCGCCGTCAAGAACCCCACAGGAGGAAAACCAATTACAATCACTAGGCAACCTACTCGCTCTGCCCCTACTACTACTTTAGCATCTGGGTAAGTACGCCACATGCATGGATTGATATCGTCTTATACCTCCTCCCAGCACATATCCCGTCCTTCCTCATGATCTCGCATCAGACATCCAACAATTTGTCGAATCAGACTACGCAAGACAATATTTTTCGACACATCGTACGGGCTTCATCTTCAGGCGCAAGGTTCCCGTCGCACAAATGATGACATGGCAGAAGGCCAGTACCGATCTCTAGTCCTTGCACTAGCTAACATACATCCAGGCGCCCCTCAGCTCGCCACTTCTCACATTGAATCGATCGCTCAAGAACGATGCAGTCCGGATCTTCAAAGTCATCCAACACATCATGGGCGACCGCGAGCGTGAGAAATCGGCAGGTATACCCGCTCACAATGGCTCTGTGCACTCCCTTACAGGAAGCACCGTCGGTCTACTAGAGGAAGAACGGTGGTTACTTGGGGAAGGTTTAGCGCACGGCGAGCTAAGGGATGAGATATATTGTCAGTTGATGAAGCAGCTCAACGGGAATCCCAATACGTATGCTATCCGTCTACATCTAGTTTCTAGTCATCTTACAAGTGTTTCAGGGAAAGCGTCTTCAAAGGTTGGCAGATGCTCTGCGTACTCCTCACTGCTTTCCCGCCCTCGAAGAACTTCGAGACCTACCTGCGTTCCTTTATGCAACAGCGGACGACTCAGCAAGAGGGCAGGGTTGACGTGATAGCCAAGCACTGCCTTCGTCGTTTAGTTGCGATCTCGAAGAAAGGACCACGTGGAAAGCCTCCGACGATGGCAGAGATCGAGACCGCGTCAGATGCCGCCTTCAATCCATCCACATTCGGAGAATCGCTGGACGCGACGATGCGCCTGCAAGAACGCAACTACCCACACGAGAAGATCCCTATCATTCTCCCATTCCTTGCAGACGGGATCCTCGCTCTTGGGGGCATGAAAGCAGAGGGTATCTTCCGTGTCGCTGGAGATAGTGACTCCGTGTCGGAACTGAAGTTGCGCATTGATAGGGGCTATTATACGCTTGACAGCGTTGATGATCCGCATGTCCTAGCTTCGTTGCTCAAGCTCTGGTTGCGTGAGCTAAGCGATCCACTGGTACCTGAAGAGATGTATAACGACTGCATCACGCATTCTCGCGAACCTGAAATGTGCATACAGCTCGTTAGGCGTCTGCCCACGATGAACAGACGAGTCGTTATTTTCCTAATCAGCTTCTTGCAGTTCTTTTTGGAGGAGAAGGTACAGACGGCGACGAAAATGACGTCGGCAAATCTGGCGTTGGTGATGGCGCCGAACTTGCTGAGGTGTAATTCAGAATCTATGACTGTTGTGTTCACAAATGCCCAGTGCGCGTTCCGATAATGTCCTGGTCGATCTATATTGATGTCTCTGCAGGTATGAACAAGTGTTCATCTATAATCTTTTGATGCATCTCAAGTGCGATCAAATTGACGCGGATTATGTTCCCGTCCATGGCCTTGGTGCCAGCCTACCTTCACCCCCACAACCTCGCGTTTCTAAATCTCGCAATAGAAAATGACCATACCTACTATGCTATCGTATATCCACCACCTTTTTCTATACCCACTATCCAACTCGGAATTGCATTCACGTACATACAGATTTCTTCATCAGTCCTCGCAAGTGTACCTGCTATCATCTATCATCTTTCAACTCTACCGTCGTTCATCAGAGTAGCACAAGTTCCTCCCTCTCTTTAGTTAATTACGACAAAAATGAATAGGTTAATACGCTATTTGAATTCCAGCTGGTCTTCACCTGGTACCTTGCCATCCAGCAAATCATCTAGCCCTGTGAGAGCTGTCCGTTCCGAGTCTCGTTCCCGACGGTTTGGCTGCGCCTTGCGAGAACCCCACTGGCCGAACTCATACCCGTCCTCCACGTCCTCCTTAAGCGCATCCCCCTTCCACGCATCAAAAGCTGGCCCTTTCCGGCCTGATCCTTTCCCCCGTTTCCTTCTCGGCTCCTTAATAGCAAGCTGCTCGATCTTAGACAACATCCCAACAACCTCCCCACCCCCAAACACAGATTCCTCCTCCCAAACCGTGCGTGCCCCTACTTCGCGCCTTAGTGTCTCGACGAGTTTCTTGGTTCTGCCATCGGGCTCGACCCCGTTGACCCTCATCTCTTCGAGGGCGTCGTGTACGCCTCTGAGGTCGCGGAAACACGACCAGCGGGTTTCTATCAGCTCGTTGTATGCGGGAGTGGTGCACCCGAATACGTAGCTTGGGATGCTTAGGTGCCGCGCGTAGTCGAAGATAGAGAGAGCGAGGTGGGGGTCACGGTATTTGTCACGGAAAGAACGCACAAGGTGCGCGATGAGGTAGGGATATGTCGGGTGTTGGAGTTCAAGGTGCGTAGAACCAAGTTGTGGTGGTGCATTGGCGCTCGCGCTCGCGTTCGAGCTTGGGGTGAGGCCTGGAGTATCCTGTTCTTCGGCTTTAGCAATAGCATTTCGCGCACGTTCCTCGTATTTCTGAGACTGCCCGAACACCTCGCGCATAGCCCATTCAAGTAGCTGCTGATCCGTATCACAAAGCTCCATTTCCTCCTTCTTCTTATCAAATTCTTCATCCGCTTCCGTCGTCCATTTCAACCGTTTTGAGTGTCGTCTGAGTTTGCCGAATAAATCTGACACTGGGGCTTGCCCGAATGGCTTGCGCCCGATTCCGCCCAAAACAGCTAGTGGGTCGTCTTGTTTTGAGGAGGAGAGTTTGGCAGAAGGGTTCTTTTGCTCTGAGACCGCGTCGAAGATCATGTTGAACATTTCATCGAAGGCACTGATTTCGCGCGCGGTCATTGCTTGTCTGCGTGCGCGGGTGGGTCCAGAGGTTTCTACGCCACCAGCCCGTAAGGGATTGCGGACTGGGGAGGGGAGGACAGGTGGCATGTCATTGATTGAGTCGCTCAATATATGGTCCCAGGGAGATTCTTTGGTAGCGAAAATGGAGTCGGGTTGTGTGCTGCTACTGCCCTCCGACAGCGTAGCAGAGGAGTTCAGGCATCGTGCAGCTACCCTTGCAAGACTTGCACTTGCATAATGGGAGAGTCGATGGTAGACGAGCATTTCGAATGAGGGTAATTTCCAATTTGGCCAAAATTGTTGTTGTTTCGTTATATCCTTGATCAAAATATAGCTAGCTATATAAATAGTTGCTCGACTAACCTATCTATCATGATATTATGTCCAACGGTGCGCTACGTACTACGTTTCATGTTGTCTTAGGAAGGCTGTCAATACAGTCCCGAATCAGACGCAAAGTCTCGACCTTGTCGTACAACACACACGTGCAGTCGTTGTTGGGGCACTTGGCATCCCAACACGCGATCGCCTCAGGCCATTCCGTCAATCCCACATCAACGACCGTGTCTCCTAGCGGCCGTACGTCCATCTCCATCACCACTCTGTACTTGAGCTCTCTCCACGTATGATGATCAATCCTCCATCTGCACCGCGGGCAAGATGCCATCGTGCTTCCAGTCACGAACGGCTGCTCATTAAGTTGTTTCCGAATGCCCTCCCGTCGATCTCGATGCAAGTTTATCAGGTCAAGCACCGCGCCCGTGCGTAATTTTCGGAGGATGGGTTGATGTTCCGGTGCGTAAATGTTCAGAGCGAGCGATTGCGCGGATGCACGTTTGGCCTCTTCTTCCCATCCACAGCGTGTTGCAGCTGCATAGAGACGCAGGGGTTGGTCTAAGAGCGGGGGCGTCATGATAAGCACGCGTATGACCGAGACAGGCCCTGGCATTTCGTATTTTTCCGCAGCGAATAATAATGTATCGACCTCGTCATACGATGTGAGTGGATTGATCGGCAGACCGCAGATCATAAGTAGCAGACTCTCTAGCGTGTGTGAGTCCTCGTCTAGATTGATGGTCTCGGGGAGATTCGAAGGAGGGTTTCGTTGAGGCATGGAAAAGAGGGATCGAAACCATCCCGATGTGGTCTTGAGCGTCCATGAGTGGATGCGGAACAGGGTATGATCTTTGGCACCGAGTATGACATCGGCATCTGGAGAGGAGAAGTGCTTGTGGAAGGCGCTCCCGATTACCGGTACCAAAGCCGTACCAGAAATGGACTCCGTTTCCATCATCGCGCCTGCAATCAATCGGAATGAGATGCACGGTAGACTAGAGAAGAACTTCAGCTCGACACCTTCTTTCAATATCAACAATGAGCAAACGGCCTGATTTCGTAGATCTTGCTTTGTCAGGCTCGTCGAGGCTATACGTAGTTGAGACACGCGGCTGATGATCACACGTTCAAACGTTCACTTGTCAAATGGGGTAAGTAATAGCCCCTGTCTACTGCTAACTTAGTAATTAACTTAGGCAGCAGAAATTTTCAGACGCGCGTTGTTCGACAACTGCAATCTTGAAATGACGCTGTATGCATCGTGACTAACCAACCAACCACTGTCAAGTGGAACGTGAGTCGCATCAATGTTCGACAGGTCTAAGTACGAGTCGACAGTTTCACACAGCTAACATCTTGACATGCCACAGCATGGCCCGAGAGCTCCGATGATCTAGCACAAGATTTCAAACGCACGGATAAAGTCCCATAAAAATGATACAACTCTTGCAAACTATATGGAGACGGGTCAACTTATAAAAGACAAGCAACTAAGTGAGGCCACTGGTTTGAACAAAAATTCTATGAAAACAGAGAGAACATTGAGATGCAGACCTCACAGAACACATAGTTAGGCACCCCGTTGTTCAACAATTGCAATCTGAAAATCATGCACAACACTGTATGCATCGTGACTAACCGCTGTCAGGTGGAGCATCAATGTTTGATAAGTCAACAGCTTCACAAAGCCAACATCTTCACATGCACAGTTCAGGAGATGTAAGATCTTGTTCAACAAAATGCAAGATTTCAAACACATAGGTAAAGCCTCATAAAAATGGTACAACTCTCGACTCTTGTGAAATATGTACATAATAGACAAGCAACTAACTGAAGCCATTGGTGGATGCTATCAAAGCAGAGTGAACATCGAGATCTGGACCTCACAGAAGAAACATTTAGGTGCACCGATGTCGCATTCCTTGATCAAGCTTGGACAACTGTGTAACGTCCAGTGGCCGTGTCGCGCTTGAGGTTCCAAGTCATGTTCTCGGAAAGCACAGCGAGATCCTGTGTCCAGATTGCAGGGGTGTTGATGGCGCCTTGCAAGATTGCCGTCTCTCGATAGTCCAATGTGATGTAGACACACAGGATCGGAGTGAACTGAGCCTTGACACTACTCTCATCTCTGTGTTGTGTGCTGTGAGTGCTCTGAAGGAGAAACAGAGAAAAGAGATGACATACCCAACTTCATTGAAGTAGAGCGCGGGCATGGGCATCAAGTCTCCTTTGTTCAGAAAGCCTGGAGGTGGATGATACGCTCAGCTCAAAGATCAGCAGATGATGATGGTCACAAACCGATTGCGAGATCTTGAACCGCTCCAGTCTTGTTCAAGGCCTGCAAGACACCAGAGGTTTCAGCCTGAGGGGGCTACACAATATATTCGTCAGTGGTCGAGAAACATACCAATGGAAGCCAGACTTACAGAGAAATGATAGACATCGTTGGCCTGGGTCAGAGTTGTTTTCTCGCTGTCCTGCATCATTGCTTGCATTGGTGCTAGCAATCGCAGAGTGGATAAAGGTCGCTCACATTGATCTTGACGCAGGTTCCAGCACTGATGACGTTCCCATTCACGACCTGGGCCTTGGAGAAAGCAAGTCTATACAATAAATAAGCGACTTTCATGACTATTGTTCTCGTTGACCATCTTACTGGTTTGTGTAGGTCGCTTGAGCCCTGTATGCACCTGGAAAGAGGGATCACATGCAAGTTGGCAACTCGGGAGAAAAATAATAGGAACACCCGCCTGTCTTCCCAAATGTGCTGACCCTGAAAAATTGCAAGGTTTGAAACTGTCAAGGCAAAAGTAGGCGCACTTACTTCCAAACTATCGGGAAGAAGTCCTCATAGAGGCCTTTCAGGTCGCCGTTAATCAAAGCGAGTATGATCATTGCCTCTTTGCCGAGGTTGTTGCTGCGAGACGACGGTGAGTCAGGTGACAAAGTCATGCAAAGTGATAGTGCAAAGACACTCACGACTGGAAGGTCAAATTCCTGATGAAGGGATGTGACATTGTTTCAGATTGTCAAACAAAAGTGTACTGGTTGAGATTGAGATTGAATGTGGATTGAAGAGCTTGAGTTCTGCAGTTAGAGTCTCAGCAAGGAGGCTTTTATATGTTTTGAATCGCATAGGCTGTACCTCCTTCCTTGGTTTGCAAATTAGCCAGCGTCTCCTTCGTGCCGAAGTACCTGCCGCTGGAGACCCTGAGTATTCGGATGTATGCGTCCTTCTGATCTACAAGGCGGCAGTACATGATGACCCTTGACTTGCTAGACAGCCGGCTTCTTCACAGACCGATTCCCTGGGCATTGCATGCTCAGAAGTTATTGGCATCCCCATTCCAGGGCGCACCTGTCCATTGTATCTTCCTATTGTGCTCCTTTCATAATGTCACAGATGGACGGGGATAAGTACTGAGATTTGAACTGCCTGCTAAGGCAAACAACATTGGGATTGAATCAGCGGTCTTATGCTTATAAGGAGTTTGGTCACGGTTACGGTCGCAAGTAGGTACACACAAGCAGGAGCCCATGGGCCATGGTGCATTTCGCAATGGGTGATTGCAATATCTTTTTGCTATACCACATAAATAGTACTGACCTCGCCTGTTCTGGGGTGAATCAACTGTCAAAGTCAAAGTTCAGTCAAACAAGCCGCAAGAGGCTGAACCTGCTTTGACCGGCGCATAAACTTGCTGATCATTGATCCACTGATGGGATGCGCACATTGCAGGTTGCAGGAACGTTCTGATTGTTCAAGGCACTTTGCCTGCTCAGCCAGTTCTAAAGCAACATCAAATTCAAGGGGCACCACTGGACAAAATTAGATAAATAATTGTGGGGTGAAAAGGAAAATCACCCATTTTTAATTGGCCTTACTCGGTCTCGTGAGGATGCAGACTATTAGCCAGTATAAATATTAAAAGCACCCCATTGATTCGGACTCCAAACTCCAAGTCGACCTTGATACATATAGTATCATACAATGCTAGGGTAGGGAGTAAAATACGGGTGGGCGCGCAAATTTAAGAGTGCCTAGTGAGATGATGGATTTGAGTGAGAAGAGGCCTTGAAGAAAAAATCACGAGAGGGCATACCTAGCAAGGAGCCAATTTCCTCAAGTCTCGCTAGTCAGACCATATAGAAGGAAGACAGTCGTTCTTTCTTGATTATATGGTCTGCTTTCGTTGGCACTATTGATACTGTATTATGATTTGAATACAAGCTTATTGTAGCGGCGCTGGGAAGGGTAGCATCGAGGACGTGGTCAATGGTCATGTTCAAAAGAGATTTGATTACCTTATTTGGTATGCAACAAATCATGCCGGCAACAACTATTGCAAATTGCATGTCGGCGCGTGCCAGACACGTCGACACTGTCTCAATTAATCATCATCGATAATGGCCGACTGTATCACTGCACTAACAAAGAGCGCTCGCATCAACCAACAGAGTAGTTCCCTTCAATTTCTAATACCGTCTACACCTGAAACATACTCTAGGCCTGTAGTACCAGCAATTTCCTACCACTTCCTCAGACTGGGATGACATTGGGAGCATGACTTTGACCAAAATTGAACAGACACTTCGCAAGGAACAGCCCCTTGCAATGGCGCTTCTCGAAGCAACCTGTATGATCTTTTCGTGTACTCTCGCATTGGTTGCTCGAACAATCATGAATGTTGGTCTTGCCAGTACATACATTGAACTGGAGGATACTGATGTTCTTGCTTTTGATACATCCGCCAAGAGCTGTCTCTTGGACGAGAACAAGCGGATGACTGCTAAAGTGGAAGATTTTCTTGATGCCATCAACCAGTCTCACCTCGATACTGTGCTCACTGCACTGGCTTCAGGTGCTCATGAAATATGTTCCAGAGCTCTTGTCATACCAGGAACACATCTCAATACTCTTCCGCATACATGGTGCCAAGTACTGGCTTCCAATTCGACCCAACAAAACCCACCTGCTCGCAACCAGCAGCAAGAACAAAACTGACCACGGAGTCAAATGATGTCCTTGTGGACTTTCGGGGCAAATTGGCCAGTCAGTCAAGGAGTTCCAGAAACAGCTGTTACTCATCAGTGTTGATGGCTTGACATACGAGAAGATCATCCAACCAAAGAAATATTTGCAAGCCCATGGAAACGAGTTTCAGCGATTCGAAATTCTCTGGCCAATGCTTCCTATATTCATGCTGGCTAATAGTCTACGTCCCCGCGAGACTGAGCAGGGACCAATCAAAGATGGGTGACTTTAATTTTCGCTCCATAATTATTTGTTTAATTTTATCCAGTGGTGCGCCTTATGTGACGTTGCTCTAGAACTGGTTGAGCGGGCGAAGCACCTTGAATGATCAGAATGTTCCTGCAACCTGCAATGTGCGCAGCCCATCAGTGGATCAGCAATTGGCGAAGTTCACATCCCAAGATTATGTCGAAGCAGGTTCAACCTCTTGCAGCTCGTTTGACTGAACCTTGACTGTGACAGTTGATTCACTCCAGAACCGGTGGGGCCAGTACTATTTATGTACTACAGCAAAAAGATATTGCAGTCGCCCATCACAAAATGCACCATGGCCCTTGGCTTCTGTTTGCTTATACCTACTTGCAACCGTAATTGTGACTCAACTCCCTACAAGTATAGGCCTGCTGATTCAATCTCAATGTCTTTGCTTTAGTGTGCAGTTTAAATCTCAGTAACGATCTCCGTCCATCTGTAACCTTATGAAAGGAACACAATAGGAAGATACAAAGGACAGGTGCACCCTGGAACGGGAATGCCAACAACTTCCGAGCGTGCAACGCCCAGGGAATCGGATTCATGAAGAAGCTGGCTGTCTAGCTAGTCACGACATGGCCATCATGTGCTACCACCTTGAATATCAGAAGGATGCATATACTTAGTCTCCACGGCAGGTACCTTGGCACAAAGGAGATGCTGGCTAATTTGCAACCTGACGAAGGAGGTACAGCCTATGCGATCCGAAACATATAAAAGCCTCCTTGCTGAGACTCTAACCGCAGAACTCAAGCTCTTCTATCCACATTCAATCTCAATCTCAACAAGTACACTTTTGTTTGACAATCTGAAACAATTTCATGCCCCTTCATCAGGAATTTGACCTTCCAGTCGTGAGTGTCTTTGCGCTATCAATTTGCATGACTGACTCACCGTTGTCTTGCAGCAATGACCTCAGCAAGGAGGTGACGATCATGCTCGCTTTGATTAACGGCGACCTGAAAGGCCTCTACAAGGACTTCTTCCCAATAGTCTGGAAGTAAGTGCGCCTACTTTTGCCTTGGCGGTTTCAAACCTTGCAATTTTTCAGGGTCAGCACATTTGGGAAGATGGGTGGGTGTTCCTATTATTTTTCTCCCGAGTTGCCAACTTGCATGTGACCTCTCTTTCCAGGTGCATACAGGGCTCAGGCGACCTACACGAACCAGTAAGACGATCTACACAAACCGTAGTCATGAAAGTTGCTTATTTATTATACAGACTTGCTTTCTCCAAAGCCCAGGTCGTGAATGGGAACATTATCAGCGCTGGAACCTGCATCAAGATCAATGTGAGTGACTCTTATCCACTCTGCGATTGCTAGTACCGACACAAGCCATGATGCAGGACAGTGAGAAAACAACTCTGACCCAGGCCAACGATGTCTATCATTTCTCTGTGAGTCTGGCTGCCATTGATATTTATCTTGACCACCGACGAATATATCTAGCCCCCTCAGGCGGGAACCTCTGGTATCCTGCAGGCTGTGAACAAGACTGGAGCAGTTCAAGATCTCACAATCGGTTTGTGACCATCATCATCTGCTGATCTTTGAGCTGAGCGTATCATCCACCTCCAGGCTTTCTGAACAAAGGAGACTTGATGCCCATGCCCGCACTCTACTTCAACGAAGTTGGGTATGTCATCTCTTTTCTCTGTTTCTCCTTCAGAGCACTCACAGCACACAATGCAGAGATGAGAGTATTGTCAAGGCCCAGTTCACTCCGATCCTGCATGTCTACATCACGTCGGACTATCAAGAGACCGCAATCTTGTGAGGCGCCATCGACACCCCTGCAATCTGGACACAGGATCTCGCTGCGCTTTCCGAGAACACAACTTGGAACCTCAAGCACGACACGGCCACTGGATGTTACACGGTCGTTCAAGCTTGATCAAGGAATGCTACATCGGTGCGCCTAAACATTTCTTTTGTGAGGTCCGGATCTCAATGTTCACTCTGCTTTCATAGCATCTACCAATGGCCTCAGTTAGTTGCTTGTCTGTCATATATTTTGCAAGAGTCGAGAGATGTACCATATTTACGAGGCTTTACCTATGCGTTTGGAATTGCATTTTGTTAAATAAAATCTTGGATCTCCCGAGCTGTGCTTGTGAAGATGTTGGCTTGTGAAACTCTTGACCTATTGAACATCAATGCTTCACCTGACAGCGATCAGTCGATGCCTACGGCGTCATGTGTGATTTTGAGATTGTAGTTGATGAACGACATGCGGAGTTGTGTCGCAAGGTCCTCTTTCGTATGCTGCAAAGTTAATTACCAGCAGGTAGCAGCCGTAGACAGGGGTTATTACTTGACAAGTGAACGTGTGATCATCAGCCGCGTGTCTCACTGCCCTGGACGAGCCCGACAAACCTAAATGGCAAGATCTGCAAGGGACCAAGAAGTCTCGCCCGCCTTCGATAATTATTACCCTCCAGCGTCCATTCGTCGCTCCGCGCTACCTCCTTACAGTTTTTTGTCCAATGAACGTTAAGTCGGCATCCCTGGCAATTCTTTCAGACTCAGTTGGCTGCGTGCGAGTGACTGAACATATCAATTATACCTGATATTAATGTGAGAGCCATGCACGGGTGAAAGAAGTAGAGTTGAATGAATAGCCACGGTGGGTTTTTCAATTTTTCGCATTTGCTACTCTCAGTCTACATCATCGCTGCGCCTCACACACGATGGCGAGACTTGATCTACTCATTTCCGGTACTCCAAGTTTTTCGTCTCAGTATCACCCTGCACGAAAGGTGAGTGCGATTCCACTCGTGCAGCCAACTGATCCGGCTCAGCTTCGATACAGGACGCCAATTCCCTTCAGAGAGATCTACTAGCATCAATAAGTAAGTGACAGACACTAGTAATATGCAGATAGGCTTAATGTCTATGAGGGACATCGTTAGTCTATTCGAATGCATTACGAACAGGATAACAAACATCGTTAATGCAATACGGTTGTGATATTTATCAGACTTAACGTATTGATATTATCCCTACAGGATCTTGTGCAGAGATTAGCTTGATTTCTGAAGCAGATTTTCCTTGGTGATTGGATTTGAAACATAAAGGTAAAGCCCCATACAAAACGGTACACCTCTCAACTGTTGCAGAAAACATGACAGGCAAGCAACCTTACAAAAAGAAAGCGGCCTTTGGTGGAGCTATGAAAGCAGAGTGAACATTGAAATGTAGAGCTCACAGAACAGATATTTAGGCGTGCCGATGTCGCATTCCTTAATCAAGAGGCTCGGACAATCTTGTAACGTCCAGTGACCCCGTCGCGCGTGAGGTTCCAATTCGTGTGCTCGGCGAGCCCAGAGAGGTCCTGCGACCAAATTACAGGGGTTTCGATGGCACTTCGTATAATTGCGGTCTCTTGATAGTCCGACGTGATATAGACACGCAGGATCGGAGTGAACTGTGCCGTAACATGACTGCCATCTCTGCATTTTGTAACGTGAGCGCTCTGAAGGAGAATAGAGGAAAGATAACATACCCAACATCGTCGAAGTAGAGTGCAGGCGTGGGCATCAAGTCTCCTTTGTTAAGAAAGCCTGACGATACACTCAGGTGAAAGAAGAGTAGATGATGATGGTCACAAACCAACTGCGATATCTTGAATGACCCCAGTGTTGTTCAAGGCCTGCACAAAGCCGGAGGATCCCTGCTGAGGGGACTACACGAGATATTGGTCGGTGGTGGGATAAATATCTACGAAAGCCAGACTTACAGAGAAACTAAAGACATCGTCGGCCTCGGTAAGGGTTGTTTTCTGGCCGACCTGCATCATGTAACTTGCGTTGGCGCTAGGATTTACAAAGTAGATGAGAACCGCTCACGTTGACCTTGACGCTGGTTCCAGCGCTGATGAAGTTCCAATGCGTGACCTGGGCTTTGGAGAAAGCAAGCCTGTGTAACAATAAATAAGCGACTTTTATGACTATCGTTCTCGTGGATCATCTTACTGGTTCGTGTAGGTAGCTTGAGCCCTGTATGCGCCTTGAAAGAGGGTCATATGTAAGTTAGCAACTTGGAAGCAAAAGAATAGGAACACCCACCCGACTTCCCGAACTTGCTGACCCTGACAAATTGCAAGGTTTGAAATTGTCACGGGCAAAAGTAGGCGCACTTACTTCCAAACTACCGGGAAGCGGTCCTTGTAAAGGCTTTTCATGTTGTCGTCAACCAAAGCGAACATGATTGTCACCTCCTTGCCGAGGTCGTTGCTGCGAGACGATGGCGAGTCAAGTGAAAAGTTGTGCAGGGCGATAGCATAAAGACACTCACGACTGGAAGGTCAAATGCCTAGTGAAGGGTGACATTGTTTCAGTTTTTTAAAGTAAAGTGCACTAGTTGAGATGAGTGTGGATTGAAAAACTCGAGTTCTGCAGTCAGAGTCCCAGTAAGGAGGCTTTTATATGTTTTAGATCGTACAGGCTGTATCTCATTCCTTTGTTTGCGATTTAGCCAGCGTCTCCTTCATGCCTCGGTACCTGCCGCTGGAGACCCCAAGTATTCGTACCTATGTATCCTTCTGATCTATTGAAGGCGGTAGCACATGACGGCCCTTGACTTGCTAGATAACCAGCTTCTCCACGAACCCATTCCCCGGGCCGCGGCGTTGCGCGCCCAGAAGGTTAGCTGTCGTTGATATTCCAGTTTCATGGCGAGCCTATCTTTCATATCTTTCTTTAATAATGTCACAAGTGGACAGGCGTGAGTGCATGAGTCTGTTCCAACGGATGTTGGCGCCATCTCTGACGGCTTAAGAACACACCACGACATCACCAAAAGTCCAAAAACCTGATACTGTCTGATTAGGTCTCTCTGGTCACACGATTCGGTAGCTCACACATGATAAGCATAGATCACCGTTCCCATGTATGTCTGAAGGAACTTGGGAGAAGCCGTTCCGCAGGTTTCCGAGAAGGGTGTCGAACATAACTCTGGAACACCGGCCGGACACCAGAAATGACTCGGAGTAGAGACATATTAATATGTATTGCACAGATCATGGAATGCTGGGTATAAGCCTTCAAGGGAATGAATGAAATAAAGGCAATGACTGGTCAAGGGGGTCGGGGACTGACGACGGGCTGCTGCTATAGCTGACCCATCAGACGTGTGAATTTAATAAGCTGTTTCGTACTACATGACCAACGAAAATGAATATCAATTTTGTTGATGTGATCTTACACATATGCATGTCAAAACATATCATACATGTCAAAAACAAATCATGCACGACAAAAACATATGATCGACGTCATTACATAAGAATGTGCGATACAGTTCAGTAGCGGATCTGCTTTGACAGACATTGACAGGCTGTTCCAGAAATAGTAACCGTTTGATGACTTTAAATATAGAGACGGTGTTATCGGCCTGTCCCCGCCCTGCCCGATTATTTTTATTATGTAAGCTCATTTGTGTCCCCTTTGCTCTGGCCGACTCGCCGAGGGTCTGTACAATCTCTCAACTGCACTCGATCATGATGAACATCCCCTCTGTCATCTTGCAACTAAACTTCTGAGAATGAGAGCCACATTGATTGCGAATGAGTTTCATCATAACTATGGTTGCAGCTGCTCTCTTGTGTTCACTCGATAGGAAAGTAAGGAATAAACATGGTGTCGGGGACTGGCAGATCACCGCCGCTACGATACCGATAACACCGGCTCAATATCTAAAGTCATTAAACAGTTATTTCTGGAACACGTCCGACACAGCAAATCCGGTACTCTGCAGTTCCGAGACATCATGGGGTATGAACTGTATCGCACGTTGTCATTTAATGATGTCGATCATGATATAGATATATCTTTGACATGCATGTAAAAATCACATGAATAAAATCAATATTCATTTTCGTACAGTCTGATGAGTCAGCCATAGCAGCTCCCCGATCCCTTTGACCAGTCATTGCATTTATTTGATTCATTCCCCCGAAGGCTTGTACACAACGTTCCATGATCCGCGCAATACACATGTCTCTACTCATTAAATCAATTCTGGTGTCTGGCCCGTGTTCCAGAGTCATGTTCAACATCCTTCTCAGCAACCTGGAACGGCTTCTCCCAAGTTCCTTCAGACATACATGGGAACGGTGATCTATGCTTATCATGTGTGAGCTACCGAATCGTGTGACCAGAGAGAACTAATCACACAGTATCAGGATTTTGGACTTTTGGTGATGTCGTGGTGTGTTCTTAAGCCGTCAGAGATGGCGCCAACATCCGTTGGAACAGACTCATGCACTCACGCTTGTCCACTTGTGACATTATTAAAGAAAGATACGAAAGATAGGCTCGCCATGAAACTGGAATATCAACGACAGCTAACCTTCGGAGCGTGCAACGCCGCGGCCCGGGGAATGGGTTCATGGTGAAGCCGGTTGTCTAACAAGTCAAGCGCAATCATGTGCACCGTCTTGTAGGAGAAGCTGGATAAATCGCAAACAAAGAAATGAGGTACAGTGTGTGCGATCCGAAACATATAAAAGCCTCCTTGCTGGGACTCTGACTGCAGAACTCGAGTTCTTACTCATCTCAACTAGTGCACTTTGCTTTTAAATATCTGAAATAATGTCACCCCCCTTCACCAGGCATTTGACCTTCCAGTCGTGAGTGTCTTTATGCTATCGCCCTGCACAACTTTTCACCTGACTCACCATCGTCTCGCAGCAACGACCTCGGCAAGGAGGTGTCGATCATGCTCGCTTTGGTCGATGAAAACATGCAAAGCCTTTACAAGGACCGCTTCCCGGTAGTTTGGAAGTAAGTGCGCTTACTTTTGCTCGTGACTATTTCAAACCTTGTAATTTTTCAGGGTCAGCAAGTTCGGGAAGTCGGGTGGGTGTTCCTATTCTTTTGCTGCCAAGTTACCAACTTACATATGACCCCTTTTTCCAGGTGCATACAGGGCTCAAGCTACCTATACGAACCAGTAAGATGATCGACGAGAACGATAGTCATGAAAGTCGCTTATTTATTGTTACATAGGCTTGCTTTCGCCAAAGCCCAGCTCACGGATGGGAACTTCATCAGCGCTGGAACCAGCGTCAAGGTCAACGTGAGCGGTTCTCATCTACTTTGTAAATCCCAGCACCAACGCAAGTCATGATGCAGGTCGGCCAGAAAACAACCCTTACCGAGGCCAACGATGTCTTTAGTTTCTCTGTAAGTCTGGCTTTCGTAGATATTTATCCCACCACCGACCAATATCTCGTGTAGTCCCCTCAGCAGGGATCCTCTGGCTTCGTGCAGGCCTTGAACAACACTGGGGCCATTCAAGATATCGCAGTCGGTTTGTGACCATTATCGTCTGCTCTTTCACCCGAGTATATCGTCTACTTCTAGGCTTTCTTAACAAAGGGGACTTCATGCCCACGCCTGCACTCTACTTCGACGAGGTCGGGTATGTCATCTTTCCTCTATTTCTCCTTTGAAACAGAGCACTCACATTACAAAATGCAGAGATGGCAGTCATGTTACGGCACAGTTCACTCCGATCCTGCGTGTCTACATCACGTCAGACTATCAAGAGACCTCAATTATACGAGGTGCCATTGAAACCCCTGTAATCTGGAAGCAGGACCTCTCTGTGCTTGCCGAGAATACGGTTTGGAACCTGAAGCGCGACGGGGTCACCGGACGTTACACGATCAGCCATGCTTGATTGAGGAATGCGACATCGGGAGCGCATAAATATCTGTTCTGTAAGGTCTGCATCTAAATGTTCACTCTGCTTTCGTAGCATCCACCAACTCACTTAGTTGCTTGTCTGTCATGTATTTCACAAGGGTTGACAGTTGTACCGTTTTTATGGGGATTTATCTTTGTGTTTGAAATATTGCATTTTTTGAACAAGATCTCCCGAGCTGTGCATGTCAAGATGCCGTGGACCTATCGAATATTAAGGCTCCACCTGACATCGGTCAGTCAAAAAGTAGGTGTACTTACTACTTCCAAACCACCGGGAAGAAGTCCTTGTAAAGGCTTTGCATGTTTTCATCGACTAAAGCGAGCATGATCGTTACCCCTCCTTGCCGAGGTCGTTGCGAGACGACGGTGAGTCGGGTAAAAAGTTATAGCGCAAAGACACTGACGACTGGAAGGTCAAATTCCTGGTGAAGGGGCGTGATACTGTTTCAGATTTTCAAACACAAAGTGTACTAGTTGAGATTGAGTGTGGATTGAAGGGTTTGAGTTCTGCAGTCAGAATCTCAGTAAGGAGGCTTTTATTTATTTCGGATCGCATCATGACGGGCTGTACCTCCCTCCTTGGTTTGTGAAGATGCATCTGAGTGTGGAGATGCTCAAAAAGTTTTTGTGCGTTGGATTAGGTATAGATCAGGTCGTGTTCACGTACATGGCGGGACCATACCTTAATTGTACAAATGCTTATGTTTTTCATTGATGGAGATTGAGCCGAGGCTCGGCAAAACAAAATCTGTATTATCACGTCTAGCTAACAGTAATTATGATTGTAAATTACTGTAGCGACTATAATCAATGGGTGACTTCCCGCAGCATTTAGAATTCCAGATATGCATTCCAAACCGTTCTAAACCTTGTGTGCCGAGGAGCCGCCGTGAAACGCAAGCCATTTCGAACTCCACACGTCAAACGCACCCCTTTCCAGATCACACACTGGCGGTTTGGGAGTTTTGCACTATGCAGGATTTGAATGAAAATGGGATTGGTAAATGAAGGATTTTCACATCTAATTTCGACTTAAGAACAACAAAAAATTTGGATGAACAGTGAGATGGCAATGCAAAGTGACGCATTTTGACAAACATTTTAAGTCCTGTCTAAATGTACATGAATATTTGAGGTTTTCAGCCCGGAAATTGACCAAATGAATATGACAAATTTGCAGAAAAGGTAAATACAAACTTTGGAACATAAAAAAATGTTGTGCAAAATATAATATAATGATGAGTATTTTCCGATGCCAGTAAATCCCAAATTTTTCTTGCGTTGAAATGTGAGAGAGAAAATGTGAAGTTTCATGTGTGGGAATATAACACAGGCACTGGCTGTGCATTCAGCGGGCATTCATCGTGCGTTCATAAGGGCATATTATTATGGCAATGGCACAGTGTAGTACAGAGAGTAAATGGTATGTATTACATAGTCATGCGTGACTGCTCTACAAGACAAATCTGATCAAAACGCAAATTGATAAATGTCGATGGAGTAATTGCGATATCCACAGTGTTCTTCTTGAGGTAACACTTAGCTACATTACAGATAGAACCGCGATGAATTCCGTCCAGAACGATACACTGTTGGTTTTTTTTTTGCGTGGGGAGGCTGGGCTCAGATCTGTGGCAGGTATATGATAGTGCTGAATCGCAGCACCTGCACCATTTGATGAGCAGGATACTGCGATATAACCCTTGGGGGCGGGTCCATTCACACCGAGGAAGGGGTCAGGACAAGCCATTGACACAAATTGATTGTGTAGCCTGCCTCCCAAGAAGGAGGGCGAGACTTTCAACATCATGTGATATGTAGTGAACTTGGAAGAAAATTCCTTGTTCATCAACCATGCTAGTGGGCCTAGAATCAAATAAGTGGGATTCCTATGATAATTCTGTTGAAGAACTGACTCTCTTTGGGTTTCTCCGTTCCAGCATCAAGCATGTCGTTGATATTGACAGTCCAGGGGTCGGGTTTAGCAGCCTGTGAGGGATTGAGGCTGGATGAAGGGTTACTGGCTGTGTCAATATCCTCGGAGCTGGTGGTCCAGGTGGTCTACACAGATGATGGCAGATCTACAATGGAAGCTGTGGAGCTTGAGGGAACCTTTTCAGGAGGGGGGTGACACTTTGAGGTTGCAGGGCCAAGTACAACCTTCTCCGCATCTCGCAGAAAGATAACATGTCGGCTCCCTCGAGCATGGCACCATTCAGCCTCATTCTGTACCTAATTATCTATGAAATTAAATCATGCAAACATGTGCGTGTCGCTTACCTGGTAACAACGTCCTTGAGTTGGATCTTGGTGCGTTGCTGCCCATGCAGGGCAATGGTGCAATCCTTGGAGTTGAAACTGTATAGCGTGGCTCGATAGCCCTTACGGTCACCTCCTATAACAAAAATTTCTTGCCCTATGTCCTTTTTGAAAGAATCCAAGTTGGTGTTGTGTACTTTAATCACGAATCCAATGGGAACATTAATCTGTCATAAGTTAGACATGCATAAGTCGAAGAGAATTAGTACTGACTAGTGAGTGGTCAATCTCAGAAAGTAAGGTCAAGCGGGCGTTCGGAAAGTCAATGCTTCGCACGACCCCTTTCATCGGATACTCTGGCCCACGAGCGACTCTCACAACATCTCCAGGCTTGACGTCATAACCCCTGTCTTGCATATACTGCAGTGTCTGGAGGTTGGGGATCCGCTGTACAATTTAATGGGAACTGGGATGTTCAACGATCCGTCCCAGAACCACAGATAGTTCCCTCCCTCGGAGAGCCACTGCATGATGCCAGATTTTCCCATGTGCTTCCCTATAAGCATGTTTTGTTACGAACTAGGATAGTTCCGACAATAGCTACTCGATAAGAGTATTCCGCTAAGGTTGAGTCAAGACTCTTGCGTATACAAGAGTTCGTAAGACAAGGCAAGGAGAGTGTCCTTGACTTGAATCAGTTTCAGACGACTTAAGATTGGAGATCTTAAGTGAAGGAAGTTCCAGGTAAAACCTAGTAAGATTAAAGTAAAGAAATACAATGTACAAGACAGGTTTATATAGTGAATGGTAACTGCTTTAGGGCAGGTATTGGTGAGTCAGAATGAGTCAGAGATAAGAGACGAGTCAGAGATAAGAGATGAGTCATCTAACGACGGCTTTGATAGTGATCGTGATGTAATACAAAGAATCAGAGATAAGACAACAAGAGATAAGTCTAGCGACAGCCTAGATAGTGATCGTGACATAATACAATGTAAAGGAGAGAAAATGAATAGGGGCGCACGTAGACTGTAACATTATCCCATTTTTACCATTGAAGTCACCGATTTCAACAATCCAGGTTATAGTAAGCATCATAGTTGTCGTTGTCTCCCGCACATTGGGAGAAGAGCTTCTCAGTCTTCTTCGACGGATATTTGCTCTGTTTCAGTGTCTTTATCAGCTTCCCATCTAGAAAGGGCCTCGTAGAAGCCCTTGTCCGTCCAGACCAAGGGTATCACCGGTTCTCCTTTGAGATCTTTACAAAAGACTGATAGGTGTCCTGGCGCTAAGTTGCTGACATACTCGACAATAGTATGTAGGACAGTTCTTGTGACGATGGCCCATAAGACCACAATTACGACAAAGGAAGTTATCGGTGGGTTCAGTTTTCACGATGGTGACAGAGGATGACTGTGGTGGTGGGGATGGGGTCTTGGAGCGCATGGCTCGGTTTCGGGTGGTAGGGGATACGGAATGTTCTCGTTTGACCTTGAACAGTTGGAGGGTAGGGTATCTGCGGATTGTGGTAGTTGTTGGGGTAGGTGTAATAGGAGTTGGTACGACAGGTACAGCAGGAGGAACGAGAATGCTAGTTGTATGCTCAACAGGAGTTGATACCTCGACCAGCGGTGGAATGGGAATTGCGATATGGGGGGATGGGGGTCTAGCGACTGGGTGAAGTGCAATTCGTTCGGTGACGACGTGGATAGCCTCTCGAATAATCTCTTTAGTAGTAGCAGGCATGAGATGCACTGCAGTATTGTGAATACGTATGTGAAGGTGGCGGAAGATGGTCTGATGACGGGGGTCATTGATGAGTCCGGCAGTGCGACCAACGAGATTGGCGGTGCGGATGATGTTAATGAGAAGTGCGCTAGATAGAGCTCCTCGTTCAGCGAGAAGACGATCTATATCGATGGCGTATTGCTCAGAGGTGAGAGTGGACTCAAACAAGGTGTTGGTTTCTATATCGTCAAGGATATCAAAATGGTTGGAATTAACCAATTCGTCGGTTAGTGTGGTAGTGGAGAATGTCGGAGAAGATACTGGAGAGGAGATGTTTTGAGCGGCAGTGGTCATAGCAGCAGAGATTTCTTGGACATGTAAGAGGAGGAGTTGAAGTCGTTCGATTGAAGAAGGCATGATTTCGATGAGGTTCTTATAATCGATGGGTTTTCTTATAAGTAGTGAGGATAGTCGAGGTGTTGCCTAGGTTCTCTTCTGGGATCCATTCGTTGCTAGCCGAGGCATACCCTTTCCAAGATACGAGATAGCATCTTTGTTTACCCGTGCCTTTGTGCGATAGGATCGCTTCAACTTCATATTCTTCTTCGTTATCTATGACGTCAGGTGGTGGATCGTGGAAATTCGGACCGTGGATTTTGGTTTCATGATAGGATGATAGTTCAGAAGCATGGAACGTGGGGTGAACTTTCCATTGTGCTGGAAGTTGGAGTGTGAATGTGATAGGGGAGAGTACGGCTTTCACGGTAAAAGGTCTGTATCGTTTCAGGGCAAGTTTTCGTGAGGATAGTTGCGTGATGAGGTTCTTTCCCGATAACCAAACCTTATCTCCAATTTTCCATGGTTGGTACTTCTTTCCGTACGATCGTGCGGCCATTCATTGCATTGCAAGGTTATGACAAGAGATAGCTTCTTCGCGTATTTTCTGAAGAAGGTGGAGCTGTTCTTCTGCGGCTGGGACAGTGGAGTTGGGGAGCACATGAGGGAGAGCCTGTGGCTTGTATCCCATCATAAGGAAGAATGGGGATGCATTGCGAGAGTCGTGTTTTCAGTGGTTATGGATGAATTCAGACATAGGGAGATGTTTGACCCATTCTTCTGGGTTATTGCGGCAATAGATTCGGAGGTAGGTTTCTAGTTCTTGATTTAGACGTTCGGTTTGACCGTCCGTCTGTGGATGATAAGCGGTGGAAGCGGCGATGTCATATTTCAAAAGCTTAGCGAGGGCTTTAGAGAATTTGGATATAAACTGCAGTCCTCGATCTGAGATCACCTTCTCGTGGAGTCCAAAGCGGCGGTAGACATATTTGAAAAACTTCTTTGCTAAGCCTTCTGAGGTGATGGTTTTCGTACAAGGAATGAGAATTACCCCCTTTGTAAGACCATGGTCTACCATGACCATGATAGAATCAAAACCGTTGCATGGCGGTAAGTCTGTAATGAGGTCGACGGAGACTTGGGCAAAGGGAGTAGAGACTGAAGAAGGGATGGGAACAAGCGGGGGGGTGGTAGGATGGGTATCGGATTTCATTTGCTGACAAAGGGTGCAACCCTCGACATATTTCCAGATATAAGTTCCCATGGAGGGCCACCAAAAGTCATGTTTAACCAGTTCTTCGGTTTTAGAACGGCTGGGATGTCCTGCTGTGGCGTGAGCATGAGTTCGTTCTAAAATAGAGTGTCGTCCAGCTGGTCGGACGTAGGCACGATCTTTATAGAATAAGATGTTGTCTTTAATCGTCCAATCAGAGAGAGCCGATTTCATGGGAGGAAGACAAAGGCCGTTCAAAGCGTCAGAGGCGGCTTGGAAGATAGGGTCAGTGTCATCAGGGTCAGGGTTCGCAAGAGTGGTCATGAGCTCTTGGTCGAGAAGTCGGACGAACATGGAATCGGGAAGGAGTGTCATATCTTCATTATTGGTGGTATCTGGCACATGATCAGGTCGTCGAGATAGGGCATCTGGTGTGGCGAGTTTGGTTCCTGGTACATGATGGAGTTCAATATTGTAGCATGAAAGAAGAAGTTGCCATCTAGCTTGACGACGGGTTAACTTCTGTGCGGTACGGAAATAGAGGAGGTTCTTATGATTGGTGAATATGATAACCGGGTGTGGACTTCCTTCTAGGTAGTGACGCCATTCCTGGAGTGCGCGGATAACAGCAAGGAGTTCCCAATCGAAGATCTGGTAGTTGCATTCTGCAGGGTTCAAGGATTGGGAAAGATATCCGCATGGGTGATATACGCCGTTTTCATCAGTTTGCAGTAGAACGGCGCCAGTTGCAACAAGGGAAGCATCGGTGGTGATTGCAAACTGTCATGACAGATCAGGGTTACGGAGGACTGGTTGTTTCAGAAAACACTCTTTAAGTGTCGTAAACACGTCTTGACAGGGTGTGGACCAAAGGAATACATTATCCTTCTTTGTAAGGTCGATAAGGGGTCGTGCGATATCGGAATAGTGAGGAATGAAGTTTCGATAGAAATTACAGAAGCCAAGGAACGATCTGGTTTCTTTGACGGTAGATGGGGTTGGCCAATCACGGATTCCATTGGTTTTGGCAACATCCATAGCGACACATCCTGGGCGAATGATCATACCAAGATATTCGACCTCTTGTGCATCAAAGGTACATTTCTCCAGTTTCAAGAAAAGCTTTTCTTCGCGAATTCTGATCAATATGCGACGGGTACTATCATGGTGTTCATCAAGGTCGTTTGAGAAGATGAGGATGTCATCCATATAGATTACCAACCATCCTTCGTTAATCTCTTGCTGGAACGTGCGATTCATATAGGCTTGGAACGTGGCCGGAAAATTGCAAAGTCCAAAGAACATGACATTTGGTTCATACAGTCCAAATTCCATGGTGAATGTGGCCTTCCATCTGTCGTCGGGGCGAATACGGATATTGTTGTAACCGGAGCGAACATCCATCTTGGTGAAATACTTTGCTCTGTGTAACCGCGTGACAAGAGATAAGGGAAGTGGTAGCAGATAAGCATTCTTGATCGTCCAATCATTGATGTATAGATAATCTTGGCAGGGTCGTAGATCTCCGCTCTTCTTTCCTACAAAGAAGAAACTGCTGGCTTGTGGCGACTTAGATTCCGAGATAAAACCTTTCTTTACGTTTTCATCAATGAATGCTTTGACAGCGGTTCATTCAGCAATGGAGAGGGGATAAATTTTCGACGTCTTGGGAATGAATCTGGGTTTCATTTCGATATGGTGGTCAATACCGGGTCGTTCAGGGGGGTAGTTGGTTAAGACTGTCTTTAGCGAAGATGTTGGCAAAGTCGTGTAGATAAGAGGGTACAAGTTCTTCGAAAGTTTTCTTCTTTTGTTCTAAGCCTGCAGCTAGAGCGAACTGCTGAGCTTTGTTACTGACTTTCGCATATTTGGTAGGCCGTGGCAGGGGTTTAAACCGTGGGTTTCTGTTCCGAGTGACTGGTTCCGTCAGAGGTCAGTGGTATGTCCATAGTGGTGTTCAAAATTACCCGGAGTTCCGATGCGTCAGAGGAATATTCTACCAAGAATTCGTCGTCATCTAGATTGTACATAGAGACTTCTCGCACTGGTGCGGCAAAGTTCTCTTGTGTCCAGATGTCTTCCTTAGTATCAAAGGATTCATCATCATCATCAGGGATGGGGAGTAGATCGGGGATAGGAAGAACGGGTGATGCTTCTTCATCAATAATTTCTTCAACAGTCGCTTTTGGATAAACGACGGGGGTTTCAATAGCTGGTTCCACTTTGCTAAGCTTGGATTGCTTCCAGGTTCAATCGATAGGTTCTTGTCGGAACAGGGGTGAAAGACCATTCCTCTTTCTCTCTTTATCGACTTCTTCTTCTACTTGATCACTTTTCTCAGTGCGTGAAAGGATAAGTGTCTCTGCTGCCCAATTGATGATGGGGTTCATAGCACATAGCCAGGGAATTCCGAGGAGGATTTGATCTCTTTTCCCGAGGTGTGTGACATTAAATTTTCCGATCATGGATCGTCCATCTATCTTGACGGTAAGAACACAATATCTGCGTATTGCTCCGCTTTTGGAATAGCTTCCGTCAGTGGTAGTAACCTTGAAGGGTTTACTAAGGAGGTGGGTTCGAATTCGGTGTTGTTTGATGAAGTCTTCAGAAATAAAGGTTCCAGCTGCTCCGGAGTTAATGACTGCGGTTGTTTCAACGGTTTTCAGACGAGTTTTCGAGATGAGGGAAATTGGAACGCGAAGTTCCTTACGTTCTCCAACTTTTCGTACAAGCCTTATAGGTACATCAGAAGATACTGACATTGATCCAGTCTCCCATATCAAAAATCCTTGTTAAGACGACGGACTTCTGCTTCTTCTTCTTCTTCATCGCTTTCTACTTCTTTGCGACGTACTGGGGTCTTTCCTTTCTTCTTGTCAGGGCGCTTGCGGGCGATGTGCCCGACTTGCCCACATGTGAAACACTTTCCTTTCTTGAAGTATTCATTGCGTTCTTCTTCGTTTAGGCGATCTACCTCCATAGTGTTTGGATCATGGTTCCGATTGAAGGATGGTCTCAGTACATAGCGCTGTCCGGATGGTTTGGTGATGTTACGGCGATTGTTGTGCATGGCTACACCTCATTGCCAATTGCTATCTAACTGGATGGCCAAGGTTACGTATTTGTCGAAAGAATCGGGAATGGTTTCCATCTGGCATATGGAGTTTATGAGTCCTCCTTTCAAGCCGTCATTGAAGAATGAAATCAAGACCTGGGATTCCTTGATGCTGGCTAGCGATGCTAGTGTCTTGAATTCAGCAATATAGGACATTAGATCATTTCCTTGTTTCAGGGTTCTTAACTTGTTCAAGGCGACTATCTTAGCATTGGCCGGAGCGAATGCTTCTTTGAAGTTCTTCTTGAAGTCGGTGAAGGTTCCATACTTCGGGATAGGGTTGGAGTTGGCTTCCGCGTAAAATGTTGTAGCCCATCCTCCTGCGCTGCCTTCAGTCATGTAGGCGAGCACGGTAACAACTTTCTTTTCATCGGAGTTGTAGATTGAAGCGTTAATGGTGAAGTATGCTTTCACCGAGTATAACCATCTGAGAGCCTGGTCAGGGCTTCCATTGTAGTGTGTAGGCACACCTGCTTTCAGTTCGGAGGAGGTATTGGTTGACATTCTGAAGCTGGAGTTGGCTGTTAGGTTTCGGGGTGGTTGTTCTACTGGGAATTCATCAGATGAAGTCGAGGATTGATTATCTGGTTCTGTGGTTACAGGGGATGGTGTGCGTCTCTCTCTGTCGTCTGGTTCTTCTACAGGGGATGGTGTGTGTCTCTTTCTGTTATCTTCTGTATCCGGACCGGCGGCCTCGTGATACTCTTCTGGGGAATCGGGTTTGTTAGGATCGCGTTCCCACCAATACTTTCTGACCCAAGTGGTCGTCTTTGCTAATCAGCAATCTGGGCCTCTCGTGGTGGAGAGGTTCGAAGGGTACTTTAATCTTTTGTTACGAACTAGGATAGTTCCGACAATAGCTACTCGATAAGAGTATTCCGCTAAGGTTGAGTCAAGACTCTTGCGTATACAAGAGTTCGTAAGACAAGGCAAGGAGAGTGTCCTTGACTTGAATCAGTTTCAGACGACTTAAGATTGGAGATCTTAAGTGAAGGAAGTTCCAGGTAAAACCTAGTAAGATTAAAGTAAAGAAATACAATGTACAAGACAGGTTTATATAGTGAATGGTAACTGCTTTAGGGCAGGTATTGGTGAGTCAGAATGAGTCAGAGATAAGAGACGAGTCAGAGATAAGAGATGAGTCAGAGATAAGAGATGAGTCATCTAGCGACGGCTTTGATAGTGATCGTGATGTAATACAAAGAATCAGAGATAAGACAACAAGAGATAAGTCTAGCTGACAGCCTAGATAGTGATCGTGACATAATACAATGTGAAGGAGAGAAAATGAATAGGGGCACACATAGACTGTAACATGTTTATGGCATCCCCAATTTGAGTAGATTCAACATCGGGGGGAGGCTTAAAAGGCTGCTGAGTTGGCAGCCGTGTGTGCAGGGTGTGACTCAGAGGGCGACACTCTAGGTAGTACTTGGAAACTTCCAACTATACCTTGTGTTAGATGTTTTTTTTAAAAAATAACAAGAGACATTCACCTCTTCCTTCGAGATGTCCTGACAAAGACGAAATACATCACCTACCATCTGAATGATATGCCCTTCCACACCTAAGTATGAACCAGCTACCACTCAGACTGAGTCACCGACCCGAAAAATGCGCTCAATGTCCTCTAATTGGATGTCTATTTCCTCTTGGCAGCCACTCAAGATCAACTCCAAGGTGACAGAACCAGTAGGATGGTCGGTCGAGACAACCTGACTGATTTCTGAACTAAGGCCTCCTTTGAGAACCCTGGCCCAGTCGCCTGCATGCAAGAACTGCATGGAAAATGCAATCACAGTTCTCTTGAGGAAGGATTGGTCCCACCCAGATTGTAGATGGAGTTGAATCTCATCAACATGAGGGCCGACGACACGTTCTAGGCAGTCATGGTGGACATTTTTAAGGAGGAGGCCCATATAATAACTTTCTCCTTTGTACTTGCATCCCACGACTTGCTCACCGCAATTGATGTTGGAGACTGTGTCCCCGTTCGGAAGGTGGGATCAGTCGAGTAATGACCGAGATCCCTGAGGCATGGGATAAAGTAACTCCCGTGGGGGAACTAAGACTGCGACAAAATTGTTCAGTAAGTCGGAATCGAAGACTTGGGTGATGTCGCCCTTGTACTTGTCATGTTTGAACCTCACCCACGCTGGGTTGGGAAGTTTTTTGCAAGACTGCTCGACCACTTCACGTTCTTCATCCGATATAACGACATATTCTTTCACCACGAGGTAGAGTGAGAAAGGAAGGGACTGGGAGATGGTTTTAGGGCTGTCTGCCACTACATAAAGCTGACCTGCTAGCCATGCTGACATTGTGACGCGAAAATTCTTCTTCCGAAGGTGTTGAGCAACATAGTCTATGGCATTTCCTGTGATTGATGAGTGATGAATGATAAATTATGTTGTTAGAAAGACTTACGGCAGACATGAAGAAGATACATCCTCCCATCCTGCGACCGAGCTGAAGCCAAAGCGATCAAGCCAGATATTGAAGAGGGCAGAGGCTGGCGATCTTGTGATGAATTGTGCTGTGTATCCTCAAATTTATCCGCGAGGTCATCGATGACCGCGGCAAACCTAGTGGCTGATGATGATCCTGGCAAGCATGTAACCTTCCACGCGTCATCATCGATGACGTCACTGTCATTGTCGTCCTCCCCCTCATCCTCGTCCTCCTTGTCCTCCTCACCATCATCTTCTCCTGCATACAGATCGAGGTAGGGATTTTTTGACTGCAGGTGCTGTTCAGTAGATATAGATCAAGGTACATTTCACTTACTTTGGCTGGTCTACACGAAGGTCAAACATGCGCCTGGGACAATCGCCTGTCTGTAACAGAATGATCTTTGGGTACACAGGAGGCCAGAGGTATGTGCTTTGCCTTCACAACACGAAGGTTTTCCAGGGCGATTTTGTCATCACTGTCACTGGAGAATAACGCATCTCGGGATTCCTTCCATTCGTCTTCAGAATATTGATTGCCGAGGTATGATAGAAGGGCTTCCTCCATCTGAGGGTACGTCATGTCGGTGGTGAGGAACTCTTCCAAAATTCTCCATGTGCGCTCATCCGCCAGGGGTGCTGTCTGACTCTGACTGTCTGCAATACACGTGAATAACGGATTGACAATATTGTATCACTATTCACCTTCATCAATCCTGATGCACTTCGCCGTAGGTGCATCATCATTTGATGCAACACGTTTGGACATTGTTCTGTAGTTCTACATAATTGGATTCAGTAGCATTATACAGCGAACTTAAAATGACACACTTTGTATTCAATGTCTATATGTCTATATGAAAAGTCTACGTTAAGTTTACACAAAGTTCAAAAATATGTTATGTTGTTTCAAGGTAGTAGTAGCGGAAAGAAAACCATGAAGGCGCAAGGATCAGTATTTGTAGTGAATGACTTAATGTGGATTAGCTCACCATTGTTGCAAATTTGTGGATGCAACATAATTCTTTTGTATGATGTATTGTGGACCCAAAGTGCAGTTTTTGTTTGCAGAGTGGAATTCCACCCACCCGTTAATATAAGTGACTTACAGAAACTGTAGTGGGTGTGTGCGAAAATAAAGAAAGGGCGATGATAACCTGCTACATAATCGCCCGCTGCATAATCACAAGTACTTGTATTCCAGGCCAGGAGGACCCTAGCTATTCACACTTGTAGGTACATATGGTAGTTAGGAGTCGGAAAGAAAAGAATTTTAGGAAGAACGGCCATAATATAGAGAATGACTGACACAATTGAAACTCAGCTGGCCACGATTATGTAAACAGAACTTTTGGGGCACTTCAGTAACTTTCCAGCAGAGTTTGATTATGTAGTCATCCACTATATAATGGCGTCTATTCACTGACATTAGAGTTTTTCGCACTTTCACATCTAGAAGTTCATTAGCTTAGTCTACTCTACTGCATATGTTTTGTATAGCCAATCTAGCCTGCCTGTTTCATATAGTTAGACTCTTTTGAATGGACATTTGTGCCCATGTCATGATGTCATGACAAAATCAATGTCAACGAAAGCATGTGGCATATAGCTGTATGCGTGCTCAGAAAAGTGAGAGTTGGTGCTTGCCCGCTCATCGCAGATCTTCATGATGAAGATGGTAATTCGCGCCCGCATGCATTACTTGATTTCGCACATTGAATAGACTCATCGCAGTGACTCCGTACTAAATACCGAGAAGAATCACAGCCTGTGACTCCTCGTCATGCCTTATCTCAATGTTCAACGTTACGACCTTGCCTCGCCCAGTGCGTAACTTGGTTTCATTCGTGATTCTTACCATCTCCCCTTGGTGCTCAATATACTGCTCTACCCAGACACGGATATCCTCATTCGTCAGGTCCTGCGGTCGAGCCAAGTTTTGCCAGATACTCCCCAGTGACTCGAACGATATTGATGTGTTCATCGTAACACACTGCATACATCAGGGTAAGTCAGTAAGGTCAGCACATGGTGACTTTATATGACATATGACATGGCTAACATATGTAAGCAGAGCCATTGCGATAGCCAACTGTACAACTCCCCACACAAAGTTTTTGAATGCCCTCCCTAGTGGATGTGGCATCTCAAGATTGTTCCGTTGGTGACTCCAGATGGAGATGACCGGCTCTGCATCATTCTGAGATGTTGCCCCAACAATTATACTGTGGTAAGTCCCATCATGGGTCTCATAGTCTGTCAGACGCCTACTCTAACTCATCCATGAAAATAGTGCACTGTAATAGTCTGTACTCTCGCCTTGTCAGCATGTTTCAACACTTGCCTAAGGGTTCCTTCATTCTTGTCGAAAACATATATGACACCTGCATCACTGCCACCAACCACCATGTCAGTCTTTTCGCCAAACACTACTTGTTTTGGGAATGTTTTGACTGGGTTAGTATTGTAGGTTCGGATGCACACTGCATCGTCCAGGTGGTGCAAGCTAAATCCATTCATCACGTTGTCGATGAGGAAGAGTGTTTGAGCGTTGTCCACGGAAGCGTGCCCACTTTGGTTAAATGGTAAGGAATGCCAATCTTTTTTGATGAAATCACTCACATCAGGGGTCCAGCATTGTTCATAGCAATAATAACTCCATCTGTACCCCAAAGTGCATGTCTACCAAGGTATGTTAGAATCATTGTGAGGATCGCTGTATTTACCTACACCTCTCCATCATACATTCCGAAGACTAATAAGTTTTGACTTGCAGAGTGGCTGAAGTTTATTGTGCGCAGAATCATAGTAGAGAGTTCAATGCTGAAGATTGGAAGTAGTGGTCCTTTGAAATTAAATGACCAAACTTGAATATGTTTGTCCTGTGTCCCAGTAGCAATATGAGAGTCATCCCCAGCATGATCATAGGTAATGCACATGATCTCTTTACCTGTGCTATTCTTCTTGACACTTTAGCGTCAAAGTCCTCCATGCCTTCACCCTGCTGTTGCCAAATTCCAATGAATCCTAGTCCTGTGCCATAGCACAATGTCTCGCGTGTCGCATCTAGGCAGGTGATCCAGCATGCGCACATCACAGGATTGGCTGGATTTTGAAGCCCTATGTTTTGACGCGGAGATGGGAGCTGAAGTCGCTGTTTGAGATCCCAAATTCTCATGCCGTCCGAGCCTACTCCCTAGTAAGTCTTTCCATGGAACTGTCATATATACAACTTACCACTGCTTGCCAACAGACTGCCATTGCTCGAGACAGTCAAGCAATTGATCACATTCTTGTGTCCGACGAGGCACCCTTCAAGGCGATATTCCTTGCAATCCTTGGTGGGTAGGAAAAACATTGCTGGTCACGATGTAAGTCGATCTCTAATATCTTGTACATCTTTAATAGTGATCATGAGTACAATACAATAGTCGGATGTCAAGGCATATATAATCACAATGCACTCGGTGACAACAATAGATAATATGTGACGGCATATTCCTGGTAACCAGTGCTGCCGCGAAGTCACCCAACAGCACTACTAGTGGTAACTTTGTTCCCTAGCAGGTGCTGTTTCCAGATCAAGGTCCTTACAAACCATTGGTGATAAAGCATCACTGGCTCATGTAAGTTTTATCAGTTCAACATGCCTCATACATCTGTGCCTGTCCCTGCGTTCTATCAGGAAGATGGTCCTCCACAGCCACTTCTGCTGTTGACATATCACACAGAGATGCTCTATCCAAGAGCATCGTTTGTCTTGATCTCTTCACAAGAAGAGATGGCATTCTCTACCCATAAGCCCCACAGACACATTCATACTCCATTGCGTAACTTTACAACCCCACTCACCTCCTCTCACGCTCCTACTCCCAAAGTCACCAAGTCGGTCTCCTTTTTGACAGACCAGATTCCCCAAAAAGGCGAGCCAGAACAGATTTCAATGTACTCTTCCATCTTATCAACAGATTCCAATGAATCCAAAATTCCCAAACCAGAGGGTGAAATGGGGCGCCCGGGGCGTGGAGGATACAACTTGGAAAGGGCACTCAACTGGGATACTAATCACTTCAAGAAGTTAAGGGTGAGATCCTTTTGCTATGATCCAATCATATATTAATACCGATGTTAGGAGTATGTCCACCGATCGATCAATAATCATTGCGACACTAGCAAGAGCAGGACAAACCAGACACCTGCAGCATTGAGTTCCGTTGAAAGAGAGGTAAGTCTGCAGTTTCTACCCTTGTTTAGGCTAACTTCTTATTGAGGCTGTCGCTCACTTTCCGGAATTACATGACTATATGGGGTGTTGGCCAGTGGAAGATCTCATTCAGATGCAACTGCAAAACATCTCCACTAAGGAACGACAAAAACAAGCAAAAAAAATAGTCATAAGTAGACTGAGCATTACAATTAGGAATAGTCTGATGGAACGGATATTTGAAATAGTTTGACTTAATCAATTGAATGAGTTTGAACTTCATTGTAAACAAGGTAGTGATCTTATTCACAGTACAACCTCCGTGATACTGGGTAATAGGGTGCATTTGGTACCCATCTCTATTTGGTTGGATGATCCCTCATTGAGGTGAGTGTTCTTTTCAGATAAATTGCACAAACAAATGCTGAACGAGTCTTGCAAGATGTCCTGCTTAATGGCTTTGTCCCCCCACATCCTGATGAAGTTCCAACCGATTCAGTTGTCGAGTCCTACCCGCTCCAGGAGCTTCACCCCATGCATACATATCCACCTACCCCTCAGCCTACTGCTACCTCTGCGCCAAGCTCCACTTACCCGCTCGAGCCTACCTCACTCAGTGAGGACTTCATGATGACACTATATAACCCTTGGGGGGCTGGCCGTAGGATGAGAGAGGAGGAGGATCAGCGCGTCAGCCTTCCGATACCTCTTTTCGTACTCAACTAACGTATATTTAGCATACTAAAGTTCTTCTCAAGGAAATCGATCAGTCATCCGGGCTGCGCGATGACATGCATGCACTACGTTATAGCCACCACGAGCTTTTGGTCCAAAAGCGCCACATGCAGGCAAGGCATCATTTTGCATCATACATATCCATTCTCACTCGCCATCTAGATGGAGGCTCATTCGCGCGAATTGGAGATGCAATCTGTCATTGGTCAGTATCGTGACAAGAATGTGTACCTTGAGCACGAGAAAGTCCAGGCCCTCACCTCATTGGAACAGCAGCACTGCAATGAAGTTACGGCGATCCAAGTAGGACATTATTTATATTGCAGGTTGGACTGTTGTGACTTTCGTTGACAGAACCAGTTGGCACTTAACTTTGAAGAGGCACAACATGCCACACGCGTGGAAAGAGATAGTTTATTGGCAGAGAAAGATGCTTCATGTCAACACGAGATCCTCGTAGCAAGAGAAAAGCAGTTGACCGAAAATGAAAGGGAAGTAGCTCGCCTGACCGCTGAGTATGGTTGTAAAATCGCTTCATTGAATGTGCATCTCAGAAGTGTTGGTCTGAAGAGCTCTGACAATTGTGTAGAATCAAATTCGACAGGCAAACACTGCTACACCAGCATCACCTCCTTTATGGCGTCATCTTATAGGCAAAAACCTGTTGCTACATGCACTAACATCCTCGGGTTTTCACCAGTAAGTCAATGTCTCTAACGCACCTCTGTATCTATTATCACACTCATCATTTCCCAGATTCCTGATATATGCTCGGAATCTCTTGCAGACGAAGAGCCTCAGACTTCCAGCAGTGGCGATGCTGGTTGTCCCTTGAATTCGTTAGTGGCCAATGTTCTGATTGAAAATGTCACAGTCGGAATGCTCGCTGAGGTGCTCGCAAAGGTACTCCAGGTTCAACGGACAACGTCCCCTCGTGAACATCACTCGAGGCGTAAAAATACCTGAACCCACTGGTGAATGTTTTACCGATGCTCAGCATCGAGAGAACAAGATGCGTGACCCGCCTTTTCAAATGGCGTTGCTGATGACATATTAGGCGAATGTTCGGGACTTATTCAAAGAGGCATTCCATCTCACGAAAGATGATGAATATATGCTTTACGAGGGAGCATCGCGCGAAGCCATCTCATTGTTCATAGGTGGCATGGGTCCTGGTCCTGACCCACTTGCACTGCAGTGGGATATGATGACTACGCATAAGTCGGATTGGAATCAGGAAGTTATCGATCTCCTCTATTCCCTGTATATGACCATGCAGGAGAGGAACCACTGGACTGGGCGGTCCCAGCAGTCGATCAGACGTGATATTGCACAGAAATTTGATCAATGCCGCAGGTACTGGAGAAAAGCCCGTCCTCAAGTCTTAAGTGATGGCACTCACGAGACCATGCAACAAGTGGGAGATCGTCTGGTAGACCATACAAATGAGCAATTGCGGATGGCTATAGTCCTGTCCCATAGGACAACAGTAAGTCATGTTTATTTGTGTTTCTTGTCCCTTGCAGAATGTTGAGTTGCTCCTTAGAAGTTCGAAACTCGTCAAAAGGTCACGTCAGCCCTACTCAGTGACAGGAAAGCGACCGGAAAGGAGGATCTACCCATATGGGTGTATTTGAACTCCATCGTGGAGACATTGGATAAAGATGATATGAGCTCTGATGAGAGTGACACTGAAGATTGTGAGATTTTGGTTTTTCAGTTGAAGACCATGACGTGGAGAGCTAATTTCAGCCATGAAATGCAAATAATTGACGAGCAGCGCTTGGCGGGCGCAGCCGTCTTCACTCCAAGGGGAAGCAAGCCTGCAAAGCGTCTTCACAATGCCAAGTGGGAGTCGGTTTGGCCAGCAGTCGCAGATCTACCTAGAGCATTCTACAATCCATTGTGGTTGAGCAACCAACGACTGTCATTCAAGGTATCTAATATAAAGTTCCAGAGGATTGAAATTATGGTTGCATGCAGGTGAAATCATTTTTTATAGTATTCAATCTGACTTGTACTACATGCTATCAGCTATTGCACCTTGTACTATGATATATTTGCTATGCTATGGCCTTGATACTTTTCATATAGTGGTCAATGGTAAATATGTATGAGGCTGGCTGGACTCGACAATTAAACTCAGAACAAAAACAGTGCTACGGTCTCTCCCACACAATCTGTCCACCACCTGCAATTCCTATGATCACACCCCTTCCAAATTAGTTGTTCACTATAAATACTGATTTCACACCTTCATGGTTTTCTTTCCGCTACTACTACCTCAACATGTACTATAGACTTTGCGTAGACTTTGTACTTGGACTTTCCGCTACTACTACCTCGACATGTACTATTGACTTTGCGTAGACTTTGTACTTGGACTTTGCACATATATAGTAGTGATGTTATAATGAAAATACTGGACTACATGAAGTGCATCAGAATTGTAAGTAGCAATATGATATTGTCGATATGGTTATTCATGTGCGTATCACAGGGAATCACAGCACTACTGCCGGATAAACATGTATGGGGAATTTTGGTTAAGTTGTCAATGTCTCACTATGATATCCTCCTGGCATTCCAGTAGGGGAGCCTAGGGCGCATTCATCGGACATTACACTACCTTAAGGTTTGTCAATGCACCTGGCCTATAACTTAATTCCAATGGTGCTGATTTCACCTTTAGAACTGTTCCGAGGGAAAACAATCCGTATATCATACGTGTTGTGCTGTATATGAGACCATCGTCGTTGGTATGGATCTTCTAACGAACACAATCAATCAAGATTACTGTGACGCCAATTCATTGCCTTACATCTTGTTTGTTGTCATGTGTTTTGCAATTCTCTCCACCTTTGGAGCCATGCCCGGACATAATTTCACCCATCTCTACGCCATCCAATGTGCCCTCCAATGCTGCATTGATGCACTCGCGCAAAAGGTCAGTAGTTGGATGGCCCACTTTACAATGATGTTCGATACACTTGTTGATCACCTTCTGTAGGTTGCGAATAAGTTTGCTTTTCTTCGGAGACGCATGTCCCACAGCTTGACTGCTGTTAATCTCATTGGCAACATTAGCCAAGGGATTGCCAACCTTCAAAGGTACTGTCAGTCCATGAGCCTGCATAACCATGTTACTAACATTATTGGCTTCTACTATATCAAGGCTGGTAATGGAAACATCTATGCCTTGTGCACTTCCAGATGTATTTCCGGGTGAATCGGGTTCGTCGATCATCATGGCGGATCCCATCCATAGCTGGAGGGTTCATTAAGTGAGTGCTCGATGATGAGCTTCTACACTTACTACATCTTGTTCTAGGTGAGCCTTGTGCTCGTCGAAATACATAACATGCCCCCTTGTTAGAGGTGCTGCGACTGGCACTATGTCTGTTTTGCTTGATGTGCTGATATCTCGCGAGGGTCGAATGTAGGGATTGTAATGTTTGTGACAGGCTACAGTGGTTTTTACTGCGAGGTGATGTTGATGTGGACGGCATGAGTGAGTTGTGCGATCCAGCTTTGTGTAACTTTTAAATCAGACCCTGACAGTCTGGGCACGTCTCATTCGTGCATGTTTCGATTGTTTTTCCTACTCGCTTCTGTAAGTAGTCATACTTAAAAATTTTAAATTACAAAGTAATGATCGTGATGTGATCATGGTCAGAATCTTTCTGGTTAATCCCCTGCAGGTGATTAAATCTCTGGTGTATCCCCTCTGCCGCTGATGAAATCTTTCTGTTTTATCCCTCTGCAATACCTATGGATCGAAAAATATGTTCTCCCCTTCTGGGCCAAACAATAAGCCTCCTCAGACTTTGAGCGATATAAAGAAAACATAGATCGTTAAAGTCGCCTTCAATTCCTCCTTTCAACATTTTGCAATGGGAAACCCGATAAGTCACATCTCTGGTCGACAATCTGTTTTTCGTGATGTCCGCTCTGTACATTAATTCCTCTGTTTGTCGTGGCTTATGAAACATTCTTAGATGCAGTCTCGGACTCCATATCAATGATTGCCACTTCTGGCATGGTGAGCCTCTTCATGGGCATACAGGCTCCCGCTAACTACTGTTCTGCAGAACATCAGCACTGGTCAGCAGGATATTGCCACCCAAGAAAGCAAGGCACAATCCCTGAAGCGCAACATTGATTTTGATGACTTGGTATCCCCTCAAAAGCAACATATCCTGGAATTCTATTCCACAGGTGACATACACCAAGTTGTTGCTACAAAGTTGCAACCCAGAACTATAAATTGTCTTGACACTGACTTTACAAGCCCCGGAGTCAAGCACTTGTACAGGGAGGTGGTATGGAAATACCTTCCACATATATTGTGCTCTGCTGATCTCAGACTATAGTCTGACATCTTCTTGAAGCGTAAAGCAGATACTCAACTGGGTCCCTTTTCAATCAAGTGCGTAAAATCTTACGAGTCTTGTAACACTGCGGCATTCATTTGGTCTCTGCCCACAGAAATCCTCATTCTTATCGTTGCTCTTCTGGGGGTGCAAGATATGTGCTATGTTGCGCAAGTTTGTTCTCTGTTGAGGGAAATTGCTGGTCCGCTCTTCTTTGCCAACCAGAACTTTCCAACTTCTCCAAAGGACCTATTTCACATCCATGTAAATTCACCCAACTTTGATGTTTTGTCAACTTGGATACAGATGGATACCTTCCGTCCACCACGTATGATGTTGTGTTAGTTAGATTCTGATCTGCGAGCCCAATGACTATCTGCATTTTCACACTTCCTTCAATCTGTCCCTCACAAATTGATATGATACATCACGCTTTTCTGGAATTTCAATATTCTTGCTTCACCAATTATCTCTCAGATCATTATATTCCTTGAGAACATCTGTGCCTCCGGCTGCAAAGAACTGACGTGTATGGGATTTTGCCATTTCGTTGGCTCATCGGCCGTCACTACACTCACCCGAATTCAGGGGTGCATTGGTGCAAATCACCTCAAATCCTTTGAGGCGTCCTCAGGAGTATTATTTTCCCCAAAGCTCCTTCCTTTCACGATTCAGACTATCTGTTTTTCCCATTTGGAGAAGCTTTGGCTTAGTTACATCAAACTCAGCTCTGCACACTGGGACAAACTCCTGCAGTACTTGGCCATCCCAACCCTCATCAAACTCCGAGTTGACGCTGATTGCACGCCATCCATGCTCATTTGTTTTCTGGCCCGCCACCCTGCTATTAATAACCTCAGTGTTGTTCTGCAGCCTGGTAGTTTCTGGAGGACCAATCGAATCACCACTCATTTAACGTTATCTATGTCTACGCTAGATGGACCTTTGTCCCATGTATTCCCAGTTCTTCTGAGTCTCGATAAACCACCTGCCCTCGCCTGCCTTGCACTTTCATTGCAAGCTCATGATGCATCACCTGACTACATTACCACTATCTTACAATGTGTCAGCCATTGTGGCAGTGTCGAATATCTCCTCATTTCCCTACCTCCACAGAGTCATTCCTGCTCAGCAATGATTTGGCCAGGCACTCATTCAGCAGTCTGTGTCAGACACTTGGCGATTGACTCCTCAGATGCTGTAGGATCATCCTCCACATCTGCAGGAGATGCATTGGTATGTGTTTTTTCAAGCATTAGTTCAATACTGATCGTGATGATAGTCTTTATCTGCGGTGTGGATCGAAGCCTTTCCTGAAGTTAAACATGTTAGCATGCGAGGTTACTCCAGCGTCACTGCTGAAGAACTTGTTAATATTGTGTGCAGAATTGCTGCTGGTGATGTCGAACTATCCATGAAATTGCATAGTTCTGAGTGCTCCTTGTAATTCATTACTTGTTCCCCCCAAAGGTTATGCGGTGTACAATACTCACTGATATCTATATGTACTTATATCTTACCGAACCAAATGTCAAACCACAGAATTGATAAGCAGGCACTGAGTGCCAAATTCCATACTGCACTTTGTGTCGAAAGTTTCATTCTTATTTATAACTACATGGAACAGCTGTATGTGTAAACAAAGTGATAGTAAGTTTGTTGTATGCGCTCAGCGCGCATGGGCCTGCCCACCTCATAGTAAGCAGACTTATATAATTGGCTAATTTTAGAGTCGGGCTCACCGGCATTTGCCTATCGGACTCAGTGCAATTTCAGGAACATCCGACCCAAACGAGTCATTCACTATATAAGCTCTGAATGATGACTAGCTTTCTCTCTTTTCTTCCTCTGCATCAGGCATATGGGACATACACTCTGCTTTTTACCGTTATCTGTTACCTCATACTTCATACTGATATCACTGTACATAGTTTATAATATTATACCTACAAATACCATGCTCCTTGCAGCCTGACATCATAGAGGTGACTGCTGACGGGACTGACACCCCTGTTGCACAACCGATGGGGCCTCCACCCCCTCCTGTGGCTTCCAACCTATCTCCCTCTATCGTTGACACTCCCATTAAATTGGGTAGTTCCATGATGTTGCCATTCACAACACATGCACAATGCCAGGTTGATACCCTCAACGCCATGGGGTATGAGATGAAAAATCATGTCATTGGTCCAATGCCAGTCAAGGAATTTCTTGAGGAGTTCCTACCGATTTCACAGATACCCCATGACACTCCGAGCTTTGCTTCAGCCTTCACTGCTGGCGTATTCAACAGCATGGTCTCCACTGCTGATGAGCTGTGTGCTTATGGACCATTCATGAGTGCCCGCATCTGTGATATTGAGATTGTTGATAGTCCAATACAGATCAACACTATGAAATCTTTCAGCCCTCAATTATTGTTTGTTGACTCTCACAACCATGCTGACACGGTCAATTGTTCATCATTCACGTTCAGCGTCAAGCCAGATGTCTGTGTATATGCTGATGCAACATCGCACGGCACTGACATCTCCACGGCAGAAATAATTATCGAATTCAAGTGGGGTTATAGCCACGACCCATTCCGTGAAGTTGGCGATAGCGTCATATCTCCCACCGATAACAGCATGGACACATTGGGACAAATCATGAGCTATGCTCAGCTTGGCACCCAATACCGCACCCATGCATTCTCTGTCCTGATCATGCATGATCGCACTCGCATCATCTGATGGGATAGGGAGGGTGCTATCGTTACTAGTCTTATCAATTACAACACTGAGCCGCATTTAGCTGACTTCTTCCACTGCTATGCACGAGCATCACCTGAACTACGTGGCATCGACACTTCCATATCTCCCGCTGATGCCGAGGAGGCTGCCCTCGCAAGGTCGTGGTTAAACCTTCCAGATACCAAACACATGTTCAAAGTTGCCATCCCCATTGTTGATGGCCCTGGTATGCTGACACTGATCATTCCCCAACCTGTTGCATATGGTATTCCTCCCGTCAGCTGTGGGATGCGCACCTGCCCTGCATTTGATCTTCTCAATAAGAAGGTCATAATGTTCAAGGACTCTTGGCGGGTATCGTTACCGGACGTGCTCCTGGAAGGCGAGACATACAAATTATTACAGTCACATAAAGTTCGCAATATCGCAAGATGTATTGCATGTCATGATGTACCCCCCTCTATCCCTCAGCAACTCACTCAAACTGTTAAGTTTTCAAGCACTGCATGGGCGCATCCCAACACGGCTACCACTCCACACATTCTTCATCGCCTGGCTCTCAATATTGTGGGTCAAAAGTTGAGCAAATTTGAGAGCTCTCGTCAACTTACCCAGTCCATTTGTGACACGCTGATTGGTGCGTATTCTGGAACCTCAGAGTAACACATCTTCATCTTGTTTATATATACACAGCTCACAAGGACGTGTATGAACTTGCAAAGGTGTTGCATCAGGACCTCAGTGTCGGAAACATTGTCATCCACAAGGGCATTGGCATCCTCATCGATTGGGACCTGGCAAAGCTAATTACCATTTAAGGTCCTCGACAAAAGAACTGCACGGTATGTTCATTGTATTCCTAAGCTTTATAATTGCAATAATTTTTCTATCACCAAGGGAACCTGGCAATTCATGTCTGCCTACCTCAGTCTCACATTCACATGCCATTCATTGTGTCAAGGACGACCTTGAATCTAGTCTTTATGTTCTTCTATGGATGGCCTTAAAGTACTCCAACACTTACATGAATACCACCAATTGGATACTGCTCTTGATGCAGGTCTTTGATGGAGGATCCTCGAAAGAGGGCTGGCTTCTGACGAGAACCAACCTCCCGCATGATGTGTTTGTTGGTTGCAAATCGCTCGACAATCTGGTCATTGAACTCTGCGTGTTCTTCTCGCATCAGTACACTAAGATCCCAGAGGAAGAGAAGGCTGCACTTGCAAACCTCCGGGCCGTGTTGCAGACACACACAATGGAAGGGCCACTGTACTTGGCCGCACAGAAGTATATAACGGAGTCTCTTGCCTACAAGCAGGAGATGGGTATGAAGGTCATACATTTACACGACTCTGTTATAGACATTTACGACAAGCACCTTCAAGTACCTGGCTGGCCTAATGATCCTGCTGTGAACAAGAAGCACTTCCTTACAAGCCAGGAGGTCGCATGGTCACAAAGTCAATACCATCTTCGCGGGTAGAAGTCACCCCAACTGGCAAGAGACGCAGGTTAGATGATGTTGTGTCAAAAGATGACAGCGGAACACCCAATGTCGATGAGACACTCTTGGTGACTAGCCTGGACGACCTCACGTCTCTGAACTCTGATTTTAATCTTTGACATTTGCATGTGCCGGACTACCCTTTTGATGCCGCATCTCCACTTAGCATACATGAATAGCATATATGATACTTTTATTCATGTTCTCTAGTGTCGATGCATGAATGAAATGTGATCCCCATCTGATCAACTGCCTTGACTGCCTTGCTTACTTACTCACTTACTCATTCACCAACATACTAGTTTTATAAACAACCATCTTGTTCCTCTCCCTTTTTTCCTCGCTATGAGTGAGGTAAATTGTATGCTGGGCCTTGTACTCGAAAATGCAGATCGATTATGTAATTCATGATCGTGGGCGCTGAACCTGAAATTGCAGCGGAGTTTGATTATGTAGTCATTCACTACATTAGGCGTGCCTTCTGATTAAATCATCTCTCTTCCTCACTATGTACTTGTTCGAGCAATGTTTGAGTTCATTGTAATTTGGTAGTTGGATAGTTGTACAAGCCTTAATAAATGACAAATGATGTAGTTGATGTAGTGGTGCACCATAAAAATTGAAAAAAAAACCCGAGGTAGTGCGCTCGGGCCCTTTCGCCATCGTAAGTATGTCCTTAATCAAGTAATTTACACCCATTCAGCAACATCCAGACTCAACTATTTGCAGACTTTGTCCAGTGCAGAGCACTATTCATAAGTGCCTAGTGACTACCTTGAATTCTCATGAGTGCTAACTTGTTATATTCTGGTTGTAATTGTCTGAATTGAATGCAGGTGAGCGCCCAGATAGTGGGCGCTGTGCGGCATCAACCGAAATGGACATCTCCTTCAACAGTCTCCAGGGCGAATATTGTACTCTGGTAAGCAAGTACGCCGGTGCCTTTTAATTCTGTAATCTTGACTCTTTCCGGTGAGGCAATCTCAACCTGGCTGGGCTGATATGAAATATCTAAAAATGCTCAACCAGTATAAGTGAGTCTTGGCTCTGCCTAGCTGCTATACTCGCAGAATGCAAGAATGTTCGACCCTAAAGGGGACTGCTACTGAACACAGAACCAGATGAATGAAAGACCCTTGTAGTGCGATGGATGCGCGAAAGCGTGAGAAGAAAAGCGAAGTGAGTGCGAAGCGCGAGAGAGCGCACTAAGGTAAGCGCGAGCATGAGAAGGTGAGCGCTAAGGCGCGCATTGTGCAGAAAATACTGGATGAGGAAACAGATGTGCAAAGCGAGTGCAAATGCAGAGCGAGTGTTATAACAAGCGCGGATAATAGTCTAGTATAGCCGGATAACAATAACCATTGGAAACACAAAGTGCACCCAAGTGGTGACTACTACTTTAAAGTAAAACCCAATAGCGAGGGAAGTACAGCAAAGGGGAGTAATAATGATGAAGTTGTAAGTCAGCAAACTTTATACTATGGAAATCGCATCGGAAGCGGAAGGGATAGGAGCAATAAGCGCTATGAATACGTAATGACATGTAATAGCGCTGCAATGCATGTTACAAACCACAAGGCAAGGGATATGACGTACCAATGAGGTGGGTGGACATAGAGGGACGTTCCTGGATGATAGGCGATGCAGGGCACTTAAGCACGAGAAAGCGCGCAAGGCGCGCGTGCGGGAATACTGCGCATTGTGCAGGAATGTACCGCGCCTATGGCGCATTTCGTGGGAAAGCTGCGCATTGTGTATAAAATGACTAGAGACATGATAGGAGTCGAATATAGCGGATGGTGCAAGTCATGCATTGAAGGCCAATTGTCATGAGTTGTGAAAAGGTGCGAAATGTGCCTATATGTGCCTGCAGAAACGCGAGTCTCTACACTGGTACATAAGGCTCTGTTAATGTGCTGCATTCCCATCTTATCAAGAGGTAAGATCAGCGATAGTTTCAGACTTCTTCATTATCATCATCATCTAAAGTTTATCTAGATGCCTAGCTGAACTTTTCTCTGCAAATGTGCACAGTGTTGTGATGTTGGAGTGGATGGTGTGCCTAGAAATTCTGGTGGCAAAGACTTGCCCATAGCCATAAAACATGTGCATTTGGTGCATGCTGTCAACATTGCAACCTCGTCTGAACGTGAAAACTCTATACTTCATCTCGCTCATCAAGCCTTTCTTCAGCCTAGCCCAAATCACGAGGCACCATCCCCTCAATATTTCCAACGCGAGCGCCCAATGCATCAGTCTGACATATCGACGCCGGTGGACGATCTCGCCGCTGAACTCTTCGCTATCACCCTGACCGACAACGAAGCTAATTCAGACAGTCACCACAAATTGTGGGTTTCGCATTCAGAAGTCCAACGAGACAAGGGAAAGGCCTATCTGGATCCTGCTGGACTCGCTGACAATGGTGCACAGTGAGTCTGATACACATCTCACATTTTGTGTGTGCTAACCGTTCGTTTCAAAGACATATCACCCGCGCCCTCCAGGCTGCTGAGGTGCAGCGTTTGTCAAGGGCTGAAGTAACTTTAAACGTAGTGGAGTCATGGATGGAAAGGGCTTGCAGTCAACTTTCCCGTGCAACGTCTCATGATGTGTTGTGGTCCATCCGTGATGAGCTGGCTGCGATAATCAAGACCCTTGTGAAAGTGAAGTACAAGGTCTCCACCATCGTCTCTCACAGGACTCGGCTTGAGATGTCGTGTGACGACATGCAGAAACTCCTTTTCAGCAAGGAAGATGGACTTCCCGTGTCGTCCGAGCCAATCGAATTTGATTCTTGTGAGTTTTGTTTATTCCTACATTCTGTCCTTCCTACTAACATAATGGCAAGCACATCATTACGATTTGCCCATTGACTACTCCGATGAGATTGCCCAGGTATCCCTCTTTCTAGGGGCTGTTTCCGTTGTCATTTTTGGCATCGGTCGCAGACACAGGGAGTTTCTGATGGGTGTCCTGTCCCTCATCTTAAGTCTCGCCATGGATGCACAGAACCCCCATTCCAAGTCTTGTCGACAAAAACACACTCTCTCAGATTCCGCGAACAATGGAGGCCGCCCTTTCACACTTCAAGCTCAACGGTCAAACCACTACGTACGCGGTCTGTCCTGCGTGCAATTGCACCTTCAAACCGAAGGTTAATATCAATTCAAGTGATGTGCCTTACCCCCCCAATTGTTCCAACAGACTGAGACCCAAGGATGTGCCTTGTGACGAACTGTTACTGCAGTGCTCCCCTAGTGGACAACTTGAACCAATAAAAACTTTTGTTTATCACCACTTCCACAACTACCTCGCTGGACTACTGTCTTGTCCCAACTTGGAAGCGATAATGGATAGGCCTTGTGATGATTTACTATCATCAATTGGGAGCCCGCTGCCGCGCATCATCAAAGATGTCTGGGATGTCAACTTCTTTCGCAATTTCGAAGGTTCCACGCAGTCATTATTCATTGACAGAGGCAGCGAGGGTCGATTTGCTTTCACCCTCAACGTTGATTTCTTCAACATCGAAGGCAATCTTCAGCGGAATGCATCAACTTCTTCAGGAATAATCTCCTGCGTGTGCTTGAACCTCCCCCTCAATATCCAGTACAAGTCAGAAAACATGTACTTGGCCGGAATCATTCCAGGACCTTCGGAACCCTCAGGAGATCAGTTGAATTATTTCCTTGATCCCGTGGTTGATGACTTGGTAGAAAGTTGGGAGTGTGGGATACGTTTCTCCCACACAGCTCTCCAGGCGCATGGTCGGGTGACATGCAGCGCCATAGCATGTCTAGTGTGTGACCTTCCAGTGGCGAGGAAGGCTGCCCAGCTAGCTGGTCCAACCAGCCACTTTATTGCACTGCATGCCATTGCTTGCACAGGTCGACTTGTGGTAGAACAGATATTCATTCTGCAGATTGGGCTCTTCAGGATAAGGACGAAATGTGCCACCTTGCGGAACTGTGGAAGAATGCAGGCTCTTCTACCGAATGCAACAAGTTATTCGCATCACATGGGGTGCGATGGTCAACACTTTGGAGACTATCGTACTGGGATCCCTCTCGTCAACTCGTTGTTGATACCATGCATTGTCTATTGGAGGTTCTTGCCCACGATCATTTCCGCAAATTTTTGGGTCTTACTGCTGATTTGGCACATCGAAAGACTGATCCTCTCCCTGCCTTTAATCATCCTTTCTCCGACATTGATGTCAAGAAGCCTGAAGGCTTCTGCGAGAAAGATGTCAAGACTGTCAAGTCCATTCACAACCTCCTTACCGCAGCGATTCCTGACCTCAAGGGCAATGACACTCAGCTAGTCGAGACTCACATGACTGAGTTGGAGAAGAGGCTTTCTTTGAAGAAGGTCATATGTCTTCAGTTTGTGTCGGTAGAATTGGGCATTGGGCCAGATGTCACACACCCTGGAAAAAAGGTGTACAAGGCTCACTGGGTTAGGTCGCTTATTGGTTGGGTATGTAATATTCTTAGGGTTCTCATACACCTTCTCAACCTGCTGCTTTAATTGGCTTTGTAGTGTCGAACAAAGCCGTTCACCACCGAATCATCAAAATTGCGCATCACTACCCCTGAAGTCATGCAACGCATTGTTGATGTCATTCGAACAACAGATGTGCCGTCTTCGATAAGATCAGTCCCATACAACTTCAGAGAAGCAAAAGCTGGAACCCTGAAGGCAGATGAATGGCACACATTGACGACGGTATACTTACCCATAGCGCTAGTTAGTTTATGGGGCGAAGGATCTCAACATCGTACCTCAGAAGTTGCAGTTAATCGTCACGCCATCCTCGATCACACCATGTCCCTTGTCTCTGCGGTACATATTGCATGTCTGCGATTCATGACAGCTGCTCGAGCAGAAGCATATCGCAGATACATTGTGGCGTGGATACGAGACTTGCGGGTTTTACATCCCCATGCACCCCATCGTACTAATGGCCACATGGCATTGCATGTGTGGGACTATTTGCAGCTCTTCGGTCCTGTGCGGTCATGGTGGTGCTTCCCATATGAGCGCCTCATCGGGCAACTGCAGCGTTTGCCAATCAACCATATTTTTGGTAACATTTTTACCTTGTTTATCATGATGGACTCCTAACACTGGTTTCAATAAAGGTCAGCAAGAATCAACTCTCCTTTCATCATACATCAAGGCTGCGAAGTTGAAATACTGGTTAAACCAGCCTTCCTGCCCTCCCATATTCAGGGATGTAAAATCTTTATTTGACAAATTTGTTTCTCCCACAGTCGACACTATACTTGAAGATTGCCCCATACTTCCTATACCAAAAGAAAATATTCCGGCAGACCTCTGACACCTTATTAAAGTCCAGCGAGCAGTCTTGCATGCTCATATAATCTACAAGGGATCGATCTATTCCCATGAATCTACTCACGTGGGCAACAGCTTGATACTCTACTATCCTGACAGTGTTATGGACATGCAAACACCAGGAACTATCAAGTATATTTTCAGAACTGAGCATGGAGTGGGCTTCGCTGTGCAGTGCCATCTCCCGTTGCACTCTTACCCAGACCCTTTTCGCCATTACCCTCACTTCCCGGCTTGATTATACTCGTCAGTGCTCGCTGACCATCTTGAGGTTGTCATGCCTGAGTGGGTAGTGTCACATTTCGCACGGTGGAACTTCTCCCCAGAGCATATTGTTGCCTTGTCTCTGTGTCATGTGCATGTCTCTCTCTCTGATATGTTACAGTGGTCTCACAATCAATAGGATTGAGCTCTTGACAGAGGAGAAAGAGAAGAAGTTGATGTACTGACGTGAAGCAAAGAATCTTCTGAGGCATGATTGCAAATTGTACATAGTGATATTATAAAATCCTTCATGCTTAGCGGGCGGGCGGAACTCATTTATTCAAACTAAGAGAATCTTTCGGGTGGGAGGTTAGTGGGCATTTGTATCGGGCGGGGAGGTAGGCGTGCATTTCCAAAATACTTATTCATTACTGATGCTTCAAAAATTTGATGCAGGTCCACTAGGAAGTTCGTCTGGTAGAACACTTGTATGGGCAAGCCAAGCAAGTGGTGGATGGCATTCCAGAAAAGAAGGTTCATGAGCTGCAACCTGGGCTTGTAACCTATAGGAGCACACAGTTCTGCCAGGAACTGGTAGCTTGTCTGGTAGAACACCTGTACGCTGATGGGACGGGCAAGCCAAGCAAGTGGTGAATGGCATTCCAGAAAAGAAGGTTCATGAGGGCTCGTCAACCGTAAGGGTACACATTTCTGCCAGGGTAGAACGCATGTACACTGATTGGACGGGCAAGCAAAGCAAATAGTAGATGTCATTCAGCAAAAGGCTTATGGATTGGTCCATAAATCATAATGGCAAGTAGGCAATGGACATCTATATGACTTCTGTTCTCCCCCCTCCTGGCTCTTCCTCCCACACACCCTAAATGTGTTCTAAACCCAACAGATACTCTATCTCATTCAACTCCTGCCATAGCTGGAACACCGCATTGCGCCTATCCTCCATCATCAACACTAAAAGGCATTTGTCGCGACGCGACATTTGGATGGGGGGGTGGGCAGGGCGTGGTGCATGCGGATGAGTTTGGGCGTATTCCATAATGTCTTGTACAATCTCCTGTGCGTAGTCCCATAGTGCCTGGACACGTTATAATTTTCTAACGGAGATGAGCAGCAGTGAACTTACTATCGCGGATGGCGTCACTGCAAATGTTTCAGTATGTTCAACATCTCCAGCATGCTCAATATCTCCAGCATGCTCAACGTCTCCAGCATGCTCAACATCTCCAGTGTGTTCCGTGGCCTCAGCCTGCTCCTCTATCTGCTCCTCCATGACGTCCCCAGCTTGCTCCTCCACCTCTCCATGAAAAGGCTGATGTTGTAAAATTAGTGTACTCACTCAGACGGTAGTCGAACTTACTTGATTGATTTTGTTAGCATATACTTCAGCCATCGTTGATCAATGCAGTAACTTGTTTGAAGATTAACGGGTTCGATGATTCAAGTGTTTCAATTTTGATGAACAAGTCTGCCGAAGTCATGAAGTCACGCATCACCATATTCGAGAAACTCTCTTAAGTCGTTTTCTACTAATCCTCCACATTGGCATACTTTCAAATATCCTTCCACATTTACAGACACTTGTAAACTTCATTATGAATACCCTCCACCTGTACTCATTGTGCTACTCTATTGTCTTTCAATATTGCAAATTACATCTTAGACCATACACCATTCTAGCTGCTATTTGCCTTTCACTCTGCCTCCCCTTTTTTGTCCTCGTAGCCTCTTCTATATCTGTACTTTCTGCTTCCCCTCCTCAAGGGTCTGCTCATATGCAATGAATGCCTCCTTCCGATATGGTGAAGATACTGCTATCATGATCAACTCGGAGGGCACTGCTATGGGCACTGGTGGAACGTGACTGATTGACGTCATGTGCTGTTCAGATGGTGTCTGTCACGGTTTTGGTAGCTAACTTACTATATGCCTGGTATTCTAGACGCATACACTCTTGCCCACTTCTGATACCCGCTGGATGCTCAGCGTGTGCCCAATGAATGCCCACTATAATTATCCAATGCTTAAACTTTGCATTTTCTCGACTCATTTAAATGTAAGGCGAATTCAAAATTTCCTGAAGTCCATCATTATGTAATATTTTGTGGAGCATTTTTCTGCGCTTCAAAACTTTGGATTTATCTTTGGATACAATAGGATTGTACAAATTTACATTTGGGCCAACAATAAAATTTTGAGTATTTTATACATTTAGATGGTCTTTAAATTGGTGTCGAAATGTGTCATTGTGCTTTGTCATTTTGCCCGCAGTCGCAATTTCCCATGTCCCAGTTAGTAAAATTCAAAGTGCGAATGGCCAATTCATCATTTTCATTTCCATTAAAATCTTGCCTGAGGCAAAACTCCCAAACCACCAGTGTGTCATAATCTGGAAGGGGGGGTACCTCCCCCTTCCAGTTTCAGATTGTCATTCTAACGACATTTCAATGTCCGCAACGATCGTTCAGTGCATACCGCTCACACAAAGTCTACTAGGTCTGTGCATTATCCATGTGCCATGCATGCTCCTCACCATGCAACAACTTCATATTCTGGGCAATAACAGCACATTTCCATATGATGTGGTGAGTATAAGAAATGACTCAGCAGCCCTTACAATATTTTATGTATGTCCAAGTCTTGGTGTGTGACGACAAGATCATTCAAAACTTGAAAATCATCGCCAGATGGCCAGTAAATAAAGGCTTTAGGGATGTTTTTGAGAGCATGAAGGAGGATGGCAAGCGAAAAATGGAGGTAACATGAGACAGTGGTAGGAACACCTCAGGCATCACTTATCGGTATCAATAGATACCTTTGAGATAGGGTTTCTATGTTATGAGAAACCTACCTCTGAGGTGCACCCTCCCCCCAGTCTAATAATAACTCACCCTCCCAATTTACATCCAGCACCTCCTGTGTGCCTCGCATGGGACATGCGGCGCGCAAGTTATTATTAACCTACCCTCTGTTTCATATTCCGCACCTCAAGTGGCATTTCCTCTGTATCCCGGGGCTCTCGTGCCTCAGACATCAGACACTACTATGCACTTATATTCCTCGCTAAGTTTTTCGGGTTAGTGAGTCTTCATCATCCTTCTTACTTTGCCCTTCACCATGGCTCCCACTACTAGTAGTACTGTTGTTCCTACTCATGGAACTAAATGTGTAACCTCTGAACTAGGCCACCACTTTGTCAGTCCAAAGAAACCACGGGACAAGAAAAAAACACAGACAAGTGTCAAGTTACCTGGCATTCAAGTCAAGTGCCGTCAATTGCTGGCTCGCATGCAAAAGCTCATCAATCCAGAGCTGAAGCAGATTGAAATTGTGGACACCGAAACCACCTCTAACATGGATCAGGCTGATCAAGTTGTGGCCGACATTCCCGACCCAGACTTTGAAATACCAGCAGAATGTCCCTCCGACATACTCGTAGAAGATCCTCCAAATAAACGGTGGACTGTACCTGACAAGTCCACGGATATGTTGTATAGCAGCTGGAAAGCACTGATACCTGCTCTTGTTGACCCTCATCTGAAGTATTCCATGTGAACGCTAGGCACAGCCCTTGAAATCACTCCCAATATTATCTCAGCATGTGCTACATCTTCATGCCCTCAAAAACAGACCTCGATCGTTTGTCTATTTTTTGACAGTAAGGGCCCTCTCATCTACTCATGTATGTGATGCGTTCACTGATACTTAAACAGGGTTCATATCTATTGATGTCCTCAGTTGTAGATGTTCTACGCTTCCCCAGGTGCTGATTCACCATGGCCTGTTTCCAACTGCTCCCTCACAGCCTTGTATGGCTATCTCTGTCGAACTTCTATCCTTCTATCGTGCACTTTTCGAGCATTCTTGCGGTGCCATCAATGCATTAGCCTCAGCTCTCAAAACGCACTACTCTCGCAGAGGTTTTGTCATGACAGACATCCGAGTAAGTAATTTATGATGTTACATATCCATGCTAATTTATTGCCAAAGGGGGAAATCATCCAGGAACCATTTCGCCGAGGCCTGGGCTATACTGTACAGTGGTACGACATGCTACAAATCCAAATCAAATGTAAAGTCAAAGAGGCACTGCAGAATAGCCATCAACAAGTGGCGACCTTTCGTTCTCAAGCAGAGGACCAAGTCGCAACCTCGACACCTCTGTCTACCTTACACAAAGGCCGGTGCACATCAATTCTTGTTCAACGGTGTCCTGTATGTTTCAGCAGAACTTTGTTTGGCAGACCTACTGCTGAAGGAGGCGACATTCATACTGCCACAGATGGCAATTTCCATCACTGCCACCAGTGTACTGCAGGAGATTGTCCTCGCTTCTACAATCCGACTGACTTCCTCCAGAAAGAGTTCGTTGATTAGGTCGGCCGCCGTATAGACACTCAATGTAAGAAGCCTTCCAAAGCCCATGTTCCTGTTGTTCCCGATGAAGCTATTGACCAATGTGAGACAGCTTACGAAGCAGCTGATGGGAAAAAACAAAAGGCTGCAATGGACTCCTTTGACGACACTGGCATCATGGCACTAATTTGTCACCATGATATTCCTTTGTTCTTTGCTAACATCGACTCTCTGGGGGAACAGCAGAAATATTCTGTCGCCCTCCTTGAACATCTGTTTGGATTGATCCCACCCCATGCGACAGTAGTAGCCTTGTATGATGTTGGATGTGTCCTTGCACGATCCCTGGGCAAGGTAAGTTCATCTCATGTCCATTTAGGTTCATTCATTCATCATTTCTAGTATGACATTCTCCCTAACCATATTGTCTCACATCTGCACTTTGCGACTACTGCCATGCATGCATATGGGCATGAGTGGGCATGTCAGTTGGTGTACAACCCATGTATGTGCATCAGCCTTGGTCTTTCAGATGGAGAAGGAACTGAGTGCCTCTGGTCTCACTTTGTGCGCCTGATTGGTGTTGAGAGGTCCTCATTGGTGCAGTGTCTTGCTACTTAAGGGTCTTATATGGAACACGTATATAGTGACAACACAACTATACAGGGATAAGACTACTTACCAGTCCTCAAGTACACAGTCTACGACTTTTCTAGTTTTCGTGGTAGATAATGTGTGAGTTCTTGGGAGGATTTACTGACATGTCCTCTTCTTGTCTTTCTCGTGGTTTCAGTGATACGAAGTTTCTCAGTGTTATATAGTCAACCTCTAGTTTAGGTAGTATATGACTAGTAGTAGAAATGTCTTATATCTTACTTCGAGGCAACCTATTTGGCCTGCACTTTCAGAATCTTACTGGGTCTCACACGGTTTGAGAGAAGAGTGGAAAGTGGGAAGTCTGATTACTAGGTGCAAGATGGGCTCCTTTTATACCTTTTTGGGGCCCCCCCTTACTAAGCATGACTCATCACAGCATTAGTAAGTCATTGGCTTACTAACCATGCCATCTGGCAGTGCTGGATTAGCTGCTTATCAATCTAATATACATAAATAGTAAATACTATTACAAAGCATGATAAATCATGACAAAGCATGACAAAGCATGACAAATGATGACAAATCCTTACAAATAAGCCTATTGCCAGTCACATGACATGCTTACAAACATATCTGATGGCTCACTGAAGGATCTGTGGTTGAAACAAATGGAAACTGCATGACAAATCATGAAGGATCCTTACAAATCAGCATATTGCCAGTCACATGACACACTAAGTAACATATTTGTGGCTCACTGAGTAAATTGATGGCTGAATCAGCCTTAGAAAAAGAAAGAGAAAGAAACTGATGGAAACTAACAAACTGAAAATATAAGTACAAGTAAATCTGTCATAAATGAAACCAAGCCTGTAATACAATGAAGTATACCTTAGTATACTCTCCTGTGATTACTTCCTGTCTACGTATGTCATGGTATGGTACCCATACCATGCATGACAGCGGGATCTTTATTTCTCCCTGCTTACTGATTTAAGTATTATGTCACTCATCAGCGTCAACGTCGCCTCTGGCTAATTGACCGCCAAGCTGCAGCAATAGGATTGGAAATGCAAGCTGACTTAGGTGATTGGATCCAATGCCGGCTGGCCCAAGACATTTTGGATAGGTGCAAGCTTCCTGTCAAAGATCTTCAGTCAGAATGGTCTTGCCAACAAAGCTCGCAGCTCTCTGTCCACGCTCATATGTTTTTTTCTATTTCATTATACATATGCAACTTGAATGTGATAATTCCAAGGTGCCCCTGCCTGTCTCAAGAAGGAGTTGGACACCGTTCTGGCCTTACAGGCAGATCTTGATGCCTCCAACACCACGCTACATTCTACAAGGTTCATGTTTGAGAAAGGAGCCGCCTCACAAGATACCCTCGAGGCTCTCAAGGCTCTCAAAAGTGGCCACGATCAACTTATGGGCAAAGTCGAAGTTCTATATGCATCACTCAATATCCACAACCAATTTCCTGAACTAGAAGGCATCAATTTAGAATTTGTTAGGCTTCTTCTGATGGCGCGTGACCTTAAAATGAACATCCGCAAATGGGCAATTGCCAGTTTCTTGGAATGGGACAAACTAGATCGTGCAGTTGGTGGCGCCCAACAAGCATTAGGTAAATTAATTTTTGCTTCTCATTGCTATCGATACTCACTCCTTTCAGGAACCAAACTCCATCAACAGACTCGTAAAGTCATTGCCAAACGCCAACCGGCCCTTCTCACTGCAATCCAGAAATTCAATGCTTACTGTGAGCATTTAGAAGCATTATATGACCCTTCTTGGGGCATTCCTCTTCCCAGTCCTCTTCCCACAAAGCTGATGGAGCTGCATAGTGATCACAGTCTGATGGAGGATATGTGGATTACACTGTCAAATGGGGAAGTTCCTCAATGGTTAGAGGATGCTGATGTGAGAGATGGCATACATGCCCTTCTGAAATGCAAGCACTGCCGAGAAGAACAGAAGCGCCTTGGTATTGAGGCTGATAATCTGTGCCATTTCTTTGGTGAAGAACTTGCTGCACTTGAGCTTGCACTACACACACCTGGGTGTAAGTAAATCTTCATTAATATCTTGTATGAATTATTTTAATATACAAGCAGGTGAACTTGTATCTGTCCTGCTGAGACAGCGCCATGACTGTTTTCTCCGACTTCAAACACACTGGGCTAACCCCTTAGCCTCTTCACTTTGCTTTGCATCCTATGCCAAGGATGCATTAGTGATTGCAGTCACCCTTTCAGGAGGTTCTCAAATGTCAAACCTCAACTGGCTCGGTACTACATTTCTGGAAGTACCTGATCCAGAGAGTGACCTCAATGATGTTGAATTTTCTGAGCCTCACGACCTGCCAGTAATTGAATCAGAGCAAGTTGCTCTAAGATCCAAATGCATAGTTATAACAAGTATGTCCATGATTACATAGATGGTTGTAATCGATGCAAACAAACAAAAGTGTTTCCAAGTAAACCAACAGGACCTTTACAGCCAAATGAAGTCCCAGAAGGACCTTGACAAACAATCTCATGCAACCTAATAGTAGACTTTCCAAAGAGTGAAGGATATGACAGTATATTTGTTGTTGTTGATCAATTTTCAAAACAATTACACTTCATTCCCACCACCAAGGATGTAGACTTGAAAGGAGTTGCCAAGCTATTTCTGAAAAATGTATGGAAACATCATGGTACACCAAAGAAGGTGATTTTGGATAGAGGAATACAGTTCATCTCGAAGTTTATGGGACAAGTATCAAAAAAATTAGGAACAAAATAGTCTGCCTCAACCTCTTATCATCCCAGAACAGATGGACAGACAGAATGTGTAAATCAAGAAGTTGAACAGTACTTGCACATGTTTGCCTCATACAGACAAAATGATTGGGTATCTTGGCTGTCAATAGCAGAGTTTTCACATAACAACGCAGTCACAGTAACCAGTCACAGTCCATTCAAAGTCCTTTATGGATATAATCCTGAATTCACCATATCTCTGAACTCCACATCCCTTATTCCCACTGCTGATGAAAGAGTGAACTAAATGAAAGAAGTGAGAGATGATGCAGAAAACACTCTAAAGATAGTCAATGAACACATGAAATGCTTCTATGAAAAAGGTGTGAAAGACACACCTCAGTATCAAAAGAGAGACAGGGTCTGGATTGACACAAAAAACATTAAATAATGTCATCCAAGTCAAAAGTTGTCAGATCATTATCTTTGGCCCTTTGAAATACTAGAGAAGATTGGCAAAGTGAACTACAAATTGAAATTACTGGAAAGCTATAAAATTCACCTGGTGTTCCACATTGAATTACTTACTCCATATTATGCATCTCAATTGGTTCCTCATTCTCAATCCACCTGACCACCTCCAGACATAGTTGACAATCAGGAAGAATTTGTTGTAGAAGAGATATTAGATAGCTGACAAATCTAGATTCCCATAAGAAGAATCCCATGGCTGCCAAATCCAAACAGATCTTAGGATCTATACTCAACATGGAAGATTTCAAGAAGTGGAGAATACAAAACATTCAACCATCCTACATTCACAATGATGCTCATCCTAGAGAGGGGGTAATGTCACAAGTTCCAAATACAAACTATTATTCATTCTTAAATACTTGTAAGACAATCAATAGGCACCCAGAACAAGTGCCTGTATTAACACCCGTCTCAGTATCTGTACTAATGTCTTTTACAAACCCTAACCCAAATCCCTTTATTCCATTGACACCCACTACTTATATCTCTGATATTCCTGATTATGATTTCCTGTCTCAAGTTATCAGGTCATGTGATGTCACTAGAACCTTCCAGAACCTTTCCATAGCAGCCATGTGTTTCATGACATCATAGTGTAGTTATATTTAGATCATTGTATGATTCTCTTTTCTATTTAAATGATTGGTTAAGTAGTTTAGAACTCAGATTGTATCTCCATGTCATATCCTGCATTCTGGACCTATATCCCATAATATTCCCATGCCTTCTGTGCCTATTTCTGGACCTCTCATTCCAACTCATTCCCAGTTTCCTGTCCATTGTGTTGTCCAGGATCTGTCCTGCTATCTTCTTTGTTGTAATAACCTCTGTTTGAGTCCTAGTCTCTATCCTGGTGTTTATTTGTTAAAGGGGTTGTGACATTAGGTTTGAAATAAGTGTGAGTCATTGCTCAATTCTATCTTCTTTGTTGTAATAACCTTTGTTTGAGTCCTAGTCTCTGCCCTTGCATTTATTCATTAAAGGGGTTGTAACAGAGTAGGTTAATCCCTTTAGCATTAAGAAAGTCACCAAGACATGCTTGTATTTCTGTGCTGGTGGTAGGAATTAGTGAGAGTGGAGGAGAAGTTTTATAACAACAAACTGGAGTAGAAGGCAGGTTAAGAGGCACAGTGTCAGAAGCTCTTGGCAGTGAGTTGGTCCATAATAAGTGGAATCATGGCAGCAAGAAGCATCATAGTAGCATCCTGAGAACCAGTTGAGCTGAGTGAAGAATGTGGACCTATGTGACCACATGGCTTGATAGCATCAAGCCAACTATCATGAAGGACATCAAAGTCAACTGTATTTGGTGGCTCATGCTTGGTAGCATCAGCAGCAGCCTAAATGTGACATCAGTAAGGATAAACATATGAAGGAAATGAAATTATAATAGCAGCAGCCCATAGCTTCAATTTATGACTATTGAGACCCAAATGCTCACCAGTCAAGGCAATGTCACAGTAGCCAGGTCCACCATGCTCACCAAGATGTTTCTCACATGACTACTTCTGCTTTAGCTGCATAATAATAGTACCATGGATCTGAGACTCCTCCAAAAATGAATTATTTCAACAACCATAACCTAGACTACCTTGGTTCCATATAGAAGTTCCTCATCTTGACAAGTAATTGTATCACCATGAGGAAGGGCCTATACAGAGAAATCAAAGTTACTTCAAGTCCAGCTTGCTCACTATAATATTCCATTTTTGGATTCTGAAGCCATCTATGGTATCAATGTCAATGTCAAATTCTACATTTATAACACAGGTGTCCTTCTTTTTCTTCAAAAAAGCAGTGCGAGCAACATTGAAATCATGGTCATTCTCAATATTAGTCAAAACACCAGTCTTGCCACCACTGTGAAATGTTCAATTTACAACACAACTACTACAGCATAACTTACCTTGATCCCATCCACCAGAATCAGAATGCTGGGCCAAAATGAACACCAGGACTATATTGGTCATCAAGATCATGGACACAAAGGAATGCTGCAATAAACTCGATACAAGACATAGTCTCGATGGAGACATGATCAGACTTAATGGTCTTTGTCTTCTTTGAGGACAACTTTCCACAACCATTGCTTGATGAGCTCCTTTCAATGACAGAAATAAGCATCATGACTGAGACCAGGTGACCAGGAGTATCTAATGAAGTGAAAATATAATCAGCAAAGCACACAATACAGCAAAAAATACTCTGCCTTGAGATGAGCTAATCTGCCTGCCCAATTCAGGGACCTGAGAGGAAGGTAGAGGCACATGACAACCATTTTCAACAGTAAACTCCCTGTCATCAGCATGAAGATAAGTGTTACAAACCTTCTCAATTTCAGCATGTGAATGGTAGAGATAAGAAGGGGGTACACCTTCATCTATAAAATAATCAGTAATGAAACTAGTATTAGAACATGCCTTACCAATCCATGCAGGACTCCTAAGCCAGCCATCTGATGGCCAAGACTCATGAGACAATAGACATTCTCCTTGTTGGACAGGAATGTCCCATGGCGACAAGGAGTTGGTGCCACCTCAGTCCATGATTCCGACATCTCAGTGCACTGCATTGATCAAGAGAATAGCAAGAGCTAATCAACAAGTGTGAGGATTGAGGGTGACTTTTTCGCAAGGATTGTACTCACCTTGAATACAGATGGCAAAACAATAAGATATATTTAAGCCTATTAGGCTCGATACCAGCCTGGCTTATATAACCATAGGCAAGTCAAGTGGCATAGCCAGGCTGGTTGATCTCAGAGAGATTTGGCAAGCAAAGCATGGAGTTTGAAAATGTGTAAGTGCTAGTTGTGCTGATGGAAGTAATAGTGCCAGATTTTACAGTTGACTATCAATTGCACAGAAACTTTCATTCACACACAGCATAGAGTACCGCATCTTTCTCAATTTGTGCTGCAGCACTAAAATTGAAATAGGATCCTGCAAATGATACCATTTGCTCCATATTATCCACCACCACTGCAGTATGCTTTGCTGTCTAAATCTTTAGCATGGACAGTGGACCCTTGCAGCCTCGACACAGAGGAAAAAATTCTCTCTTTGCTGAAAATACTCCATGGTATGCGGATGACAGCCATGGACCTCCTGCTGTACACCATCTCAGACAAGCCTAGCATGGCTGCACAGAACGGAATCTTCTCACCTGGTTGAGCTTCTCCAGCAGTGCAAATGAGGTACGCTTCGTCAATGAAGAAGAAGTGCAAATTTCATGTGATGAGAGTAGTATTCAAATATTCAATGCACATGATCTTTTGAAGCAATTTTAGAGGTGTAACCATGATAGCCATCTTGTTGGAGGAGAGAAGCAATGGTAAAATCATGCAGAGTTTCTTTCCAGGGCCCGTTGCAGCTCAAAGGATCACATTTCTTTCTGCCAGTAAAGATACAAGAGCCTTGAGTTGAAGAAACTTCAGATGTTTGGTGCCTTTCAAGATGAAATCAAGGTTTGCGAAGGCTTTGGGTACTTGCTGGAACTTCCTGTATGGTTGAAAGTGTGTTTGTAAAGTCCATTGGAAGGTTGTCAAGAGCATTCAAAGGTGATATAGACATGAACAATACAGAATCAATGTTAAAACTCATGATTTGTACCAGTCATAACATAGGGATGCAACAATATAGTAGGGTCTGCATGATATGATGGATGACGACATGGTGTCGGCACAAATGGCACCTGCAATTTTCAAACTCCGTGCTTCACCTGCCAAATTTCTCCGAGATCAACCAGTCTGACTACGTCAAGATTTCCCACTCTCAAAGGACATACATCAGACTAGTCACGAGTCTATGAGCCTATACCATCACAAGATATTGAAAAGGTTAGCATTGTCAGCTAGTCAAACATAAATCATACCATACCTTGTAGAGACAAAGCCCATGTCCATAGTAAGGCCTTGTAGATGGCATAGTTCACCTGAATACAGCAAAAACCCTGTAGGGAAGGCAGCAAATTCATGCAATGAGTCTACACAATTATGATATTGACCCTACAAATGAGGCCAGAGCTACACTCCAATTAGGAGTCCAGTGCTTAATTGACTACACCAGGATATCACAAGCAAGCACCAAGAATGAAGACTATCAGCTCAAAGGGGAACAAACAGAATAGATACAATTGTTCAAGTTGAGGCTTGGTGTCCAATTGACAGTGTGACAATGGCTGTTGTGGTTAGGGTTAGAGGTTTCGGTGGAGGTACATTCGCCCACCAAATATATGCAAATATGTTGCGTCCAAATCAAGGGGTGAACTTCTTAACCCAAAGTTCCCAAACAACTGTATGTAGGTGCAAGTCTTGCAAGGACAGCACGATGCCTGACCTCCTCTGCTATGCTGTCAGAGGGCAGCAGTAGCACACAACCCGACTCCATTTTCGCTATCAAAGAATCTCCTTGTGACCATATATTGACTCTTGAGCAACTCGATAAATGACATACCGCCTATTTTCCCCTCCCCAGTCCGTAATCCCTTGCGGGCTGGCGGTGTAGAAACCTCTGGACGCACCCGCGCGCGAAATCAGCGCCTTCGGCGAACTTTTCAACATGATCTTCGATGCGGTCTCAGAGCAAAAGAACCCCTCCGCCAAACTCTCCTCCTGAAAACAAGACGGCCCACTCGCTGTCTTCGGTGGAATCGGACGCAAATCATTCGGCCAAGTCTCCGAAGTGTCAGATTTATTCGGCAAACTCAGACGACACTCAAAACAATTGAAATGGACGACGCAGACGGATGAGGAATTCGATAAGAAGAAGGCCTAGGAGATGGAATTCTGTGATACGGACCAGCAGCTGCTTGAATGGGCCATGCGCGAGGTATTCGGCAGTCTCAGAAATACGAGGAACGTTTGCGAAATGCTATTGCTACAGTCGAGGAACAGCATGTTCCAGGCCTCACCCCAAACTCAAACGCAAGTGGAAGCACAAATCCACCACCACAAGTTGCGTCTACGCACCTTGAACTCCAACACCCGACATATCCCTACCTCATCGCGCACCTCATGTGTTCTTTCCGCAACAATTACCATGACCCCCACCTCGCCTCTCCATTTTCGACTACGCGCGGCACCTAAGCATCCCGAGCTATTTATTCGGGTGCACCACTCCCGCATACAACGAGCTGACAGAAATCCGCTGGTCATGTTTCCGCGACCTCAGGCGTACACGACGCCCTCGAAGAGATGCGGGTCAACGGGGTCGAACCCGATGGCATAACCAAGAAATTAGTCGAGACACTAAGGCGTGAAGTGGGGGCACGCATAGTTTGGGAGTGAGGAGGTTATTGAGATGTTTGTCTAAGATGGAGCAGCTTGCTATTGAGGAGCCGAGAAGGAAGCGGGGGAAAGGTCGGGCAGGAAAGGGCCTACTTTTGATGCGTGGAAGGGTGATGCTCTCAAGGAGGACGTGGAGGACAGGTATGAGCTCGGCCAGTGGGGTTCTCGCAAGCCGAAGCCAAAACGTCGGGAACAAGACTTAGAACGGACAGCTGTTACGGGGGATGGATGGCAAGGTATCAGGCGAAGACCAGCTGGAATTCAAATAGCGTATTGACCTAGGTCGTAATTAACCAAGGTGAGGTAGGAGCGTGTGCTACTCTGATCTTAGCTCATGAATTATCATAAGTTATCCTGGCCCGGGATAATTGTTTTCTTATCATACTGATTTTCCGCTTCCGAATCGAAAGATCCACCTCCTACAGCCTTTTATTCGAAGATTTCTTCTTCCTTGTTCTTGACTTTAATGGGTTGGGTGAGTGATTCGTCAGTTTCTCCATGCCAGACGATGACCTCTCTGTTTCTATCACCACATGCCCATCTTGTGATACCGCCAATCCCGACACCCCATTACCATGCCCCTCCACTTCTTCAACAAAGCACTTGTCTTCAAGTCCCACGGACGATGTGTGTTGTCCTTTGATCCCGTAGTCATCTGTCGTTTATCGGGGAAAACTGCAATTGCCCTTATATATTTTTACAGCCTTTCAATTCTCGCAGAGGTGCGGTGATTGGAATGACCCTCGACATTTTACTAGAGGTTGATGGCGTTGGGCGCGGTCGAGATTGACTTCGGAGGGATTCTGGATGACTTGCTCTAAACTGCAGAGCCCGAATCTGACTATCTATCCTACATGAGCACATCTATCACAGAGGAGTGCTTTTGTTTCAGCGTTCTGCTCATAATTCATCTCTACTTTGGGCTTCGCTCACTCCCGACCCAAGTGGTTTCAGTTCTCTCATTCGTCAATCGCCTCCCAAATCCATCATCATTGGAATCCCGCACCACACAGGTACCAGTGAAACATGGTCGCTTACATCGTGGTCGCTAACCTCGGTGAGTCTATGTATAATCAGATCCTTTAAGGCTTGAACAAGGCAGCTACAGGTGGCCCATGCACGAACGGTGCACCGGCTGGTTGAAGAAATTTAGCCTGAGAGTTGATTATACCAGTAATTTTTTCAATTTTCCGCACCTGACCCAATGCGACCTCCACGTGCTACTGTCGCACTCTACTGACCTTCCTTCACCTTCCAGCGGTACCAATCGGCCGCCTTCGATGACTATAGTCTGAGTCTCAGCAAGGAGGCTTTTACATGTTCCGGATGGCACAGGCTGTACCTCATTCCTTTGTTTGCGATTTAGCCAGCTTCTCTTACAAGGCGGTGGCACATGATGGCCCTTGACTTGCTAGACAACCGGCTTCTCCACGAACCCATTCCCCAGGCCGAGGCGTTGCGCAGTCAGAAGTTGGTATTCCAGTTCCATGGCACGCCGGTCTTTCGTATCTTTCTTTCATAGCGTCACAGGTGGACAGGCGTGGGTCTGTTTAAATTCCCAACGGATGTTGGCGCCCTCTTTGACGCCTTAAGAACACACTGGCACGACATCACCAAAAGTCCAAAAGCCTGATACTGTCTAATGTAGAAGGGTGTTGAACATGAGTCTGGAACACCGGCCGGACACCAGAAATGACTCGGAGTAGAGACATATGTATTGCACGGATCATGGAACGTTGTGTACAAGCCTTCGACCGCGGGGGAATGAATCAGATAAAGGAAATGACTGGTCAAGGGGTCGGGGACTGGGGGCGAGCCCTGACATCAGACGTGTGAATTCAATATAGATCGGCTTAGCTGCTTTGTACTACGTGACTAAAAGTCGGCAACGAAAACGAATGTCCATTTTGCTCATATGCATGTGATGCATGTCAAAGACAAACGATAAACGATTTTAATTGACTGACTACGCGACATTTGTAAGACATATCATGGTCGACGTCATTACATAAAAACGTGCGATATCGATACAGTTCATACCCCATGATAACCCGGAACTGCAAAGTAGCGGATTTGCTGTGACCTGTCATTCCAGAAAAATATCGTAGCGGCGGTGATCTGCCGGTCCCCGACATCATGCTATTCCTTACTTTCCTCTTTAGTGAACACAGGAGAGTGCAAAGCAGCTGCAACCATAGTTATGATGAAACTCATTTGCAATCAATGTGACTCTCATTCTTAGAAGTTTAGTTGCAGAGGGTATGTTCATCATGATCGGGTGCAGCTGAGAGCTTAGTGCGAGATTGTACAGGCCCCTGTGTGCCACTCAAGGGGAAAAGAATTAATAGTACATATGATGGGTAATCTGTGACGTGAGAAAGCAAAGGGGAGCTTAATAAAAATAATCGGGCAGGGCAGGGACTGGCCGATAATACCGTCTCTATATTTAAAGTCATCAAACGGTTATTTCTTGAACAGCCTGTCAATGTCACTGAACTGTATTATGTAATGCCGTCGATCATATGCATAATATGTTTTTGTTATGCATGATATGTTTTTGACATGTATGATATGTTTTGTCATGCATATGTGTAAGATCGGCCATGCAGTACGAAACAGCTAAGCCCGATGATCTATATTAAATTCACACGTCTGACTCGGATGGGTCAGCTATAGCAGCAGCTCGTCGCCTGTCCCGACCCCCTTGACCGGTCATTGCCTTCATTTGATTCATTCTCCCGAAGGCTTATACACAGCATTCCATGATCTGTGCAATACATATGTCTCTACTCCGAGTCATTTCTGGTGCCCGCCGGCCGGTGTTCCAGAGTTATGTTCAACCGTGACACCCCTCCGTCAGCAACCTGGAACGGCTTCTCCCAAGTTCTTGTTCTTTCAGACATACATGGGAACGGTGATCTATGCTTATCATGTGTGAGCTACCGAGTCGTGTGACCAGAGAGACCTAATCAGACAGTATCAGGTTTTTGGACTTTTGGTGATGTCGTCAGTGGTGTGTTCTTAAGGCATCAGAGAGGGCGCCAACATCCGTTGGAACAGACTGACGCACTCACGCCTGTCCACCTGTGACATTATGAAAGAAAGACATGAAACTGTAATATCAACGACAGCTAACCTTCTGAGCGCGCAACGCCGCGGCCCGGGGAATGGGTTCGTGGAGAAGCTGGTTGTCTAACAAGTCAAGGGCCATCATATGCTACCGCCTTCAAGTTGTAGATCAGAAGGACACATACGTACGAATACTTGGGGTCTCCAGCGGCAGATACCGAAGGCATGAAGGTGACGCTGGCTAAATCACAAATCAAGGAAGGAGGTACAGCCTATCATGATGCGATCCAAAACATATAAAAGCCCCCTTGCTGAGATTCTAACCCCAGAACTCGAGCTCTTCAATCCACACTCAATCTCAACTAGTGCACTTTGTGTTTAAAGATCTGCAACAATGTCACGCCCCTTCACCAGGCATTTGACCTTCCAGTCGTGGGTGTCTCTATGCTATCACCCTGCACAACTTTTCACCTGACTCACCATCGTCTTGCAGCAACGACCTCGGCAAGGAGGTGACGATCATGCTCGCTTTGGTCGATGAAAACATGCAAAGCCTTTACAAGGACCGCTTCCCGGTAGTTTGGAAGTAAGTGCGCTTACTTTTGCTCGTGACTATTTCAAACCTTGCAATTTTTCAGGGTCAGCAAATTCGGGCAGTCGGGTGGGTGTTCCTATTCTTTTGCTGCCAAGTTACCAACTTACATATGACCCCTCTTTCCAGGTCCATACAGGGCTCAAGCTATCTACACGAACCAGTAAGATGATCGACGAGAACGATAGTCATGAAAGTCGCTTATTTATTGTTACATAGGCTTGCTTTCTGCAAAGCCCAGCTCACGGATGGGAACTTCATCAGCGCTGGAACCAGCGTCAAGGTCAACGTGAGCGGTTCTCATCTACTTATTAAATCCCAGCACCAACGCAAGTCATATGCAGGTCGGCCAGAAAATAACCCTTACCGAGGCCAACGATGTCTTTAGTTTCTCTGTAAGTCTGGCTTCCGTAGATATTTATACCACCACTGACCAATATCTTGTGTAGTCCCCTTCGCAGGGATCCTCTGGCTTCGTGCAGGCCTTGAACCAGACTGGGGCCCTTCAAGATATCGCAGTTGGTTTGTGACCATCATCGTCTGCTCTTCTTTCACCTGAGTGTATCGTCTACCTCCAGGCTTTCTTAACAAAGGAGACTTCATGCCCACGCCTGCACTCTACTTCGACGAGGTTGGGTATGTCATCTTTCCTCTATTTCTCCTTTAAAACAGAGCGCTCACATTACAAAATGCAGAGATGGCAGTCATGTCACGGCACAGTTCACTCCGATCCTGCGTGCCTATATCACGTCAGACTATCAAGAGACCTCAATTATACGAGGTGCCATCGAAACCCCTGTAATCTGGAAGCAGGACCTTTCTGTGCTTGCCGAGAATACGGTTTGGAACCTCAAGCGCGACGGGGTCACTGGACGTTACACGATCACCCATGCGTGATTGAGGAATGCGACATTGGGCGCGCATAAATATCTGTTCTGTGAGGTCTGCATTTCAATGTTCACTCTGCTTTCGTAGCTTCCACCAGTGGACTCACTTAGTTGCTTGTATGTCATGTATTTCGCAATAGTTGACCGTTGTACCGTTTATATGGGGATTTATCTTTGTGTTTGAAATCTTGCTTTTTTTTGAACAAGATCTCCCGCGGCCCGAGCTGTGCATGTCAAGATACTGTGGACCTATCGAACATTAAGGCTCCACCTGACATCGGTCAGTCAAAAAGTTATAGCGCAAAGACACTGACGACTGGAAGGTCAAATTCCTGGTGAAGGGGCGTGACACTGATTCAGATTTTTAAACACAAAGTGTACTAGTTGAGATTGAGTGCGGATTGAAGGGCTTGAGTTCTGCAGTTAGAATCTCAGCAAGGCTTTTATATATTTCGGATCGCATCATGACGGGCTGTACCTCCCTCCTTGCTTTGTGATTTAGCCAGCGTCTCCGAGTCCTTCATGCCTCAGTAAGTACCTGCCAACGGAGCACCTCAGGCAGCACTTTTTGATCTCTCAGACCCGGTTTCATATATGTGTTATGGGGAACTGGTCTGATTGAACTTAAAGCTTGAGGTTCCGAAGATTGGTCCGGCTATATAATATTAAACGTCACTCAAACAAGGGTCTACCGAGAGATACAAATATAACAAAGCCTGTGCCAAGGAGTATGTATAAAACCTAGTCGCATGCACGGACCTGTATCGTAGCTCACAAGTCTGTCAGTTGTATGTAGGCAATGTAGCAATTAATTGTATACCTTGTACTGGCGGTTTGCAGAGTTTTGGTTGTTTTGTTGATAAATACTTGGTACCAGTGAGTGCGCGTTGTCCGACAAAGGTCAAGACTTTGCGTCTGATTCGGGATTGTATTGACACCTTCCTATGGTGATGATGCAACAAAACAACAACAATTTCAAAATGGTCAAATCGGAAATTAGCCTCATTCATGCTCGTCCACCGTCGAGTCTCCAATTATGCAGGTGCAAGTCTTGCAAGGACAGCTGCACGATGCCTGACGTCCTCTGCTACGCTGTCAGAGGGCGGCAGCAGCACACAACCCGACTCCATTTTCGCTACCAAAGAATCTCCTTGGGACCATATATTGAGCGACTCAATAAATGACATGCCACCTGTCCTCCCCTCTCCAGTCCGCAATCCCTTACGAGCTGGCGGCGTAGAAACCTCTGGACGCACCCGCGCACGCAGACAAGCAATGACCGCGCGTGAAGTCAGCGCTTTCGACGAAATGTTCAACATGATCTTCGACGCAGTCTCAGAGCAAAAGAATCCCTCCGCCAAACTCTCCTCCTCAACACAAGACGACCCACTGGCTGTTTTCGGCGGAATCGGGCGCAAGCCATTCGGCCAAGCCCCAGTGTCAGATTTATTCGGCAAACTCAGACGACACTCAAAACGGTTGAAATGGACGACTGAGGCGGATGAAGAATTTGATAAGAAGAAAGAGGAAATGGAGCTTTGTGATACGGATCAGCAGCTGCTTGAATGGGCTATGCGCGAGGTGTTTGGGCAGTCTCAGAAATACGAGGAACGTGCGCGAAATGCTATTGCTACAGCCGAGGAACAGCATGCTCCAGGCCTCACTCCAAGCTCGAACGCGAGCGCGAGCGCCAATACACCACCACAAGTTACGTCTACGCATCTTGAACTCCAACACCCGACATATCCCTACCTCATCGCGCACCTCATGCGTTCTTTCCGCGATAAATACCGCGACCCCCACCTCGCTCTCTCCATCTTCGACTACGCGCGGCACCTAAGCATCCCAAGCTACGTATTCGGGTGCACCACTCCCGCATACAATGAGCTGATAGAAACCCGCTGGTCGTGTTTCCGCGACCTCAGAGGCGTACACGACGCCCTCGAAGAGATGAGGGTCAACGGGGTCGAGCCCGATGGCAGAACCGAGAAACTCGTCGAGACACTAAGGCGCGAAGTAGGGGCACGCACGGTTTGGGAAGAGGAATCTATGTTTGGGAGTGGGGAGGTTGTTGGGATGCTATCTAAGATCGAGCAGCTTGCTATTAAGGAGCCGAGAAGGAAGCGGGGGAAAGGGTCGGGCAGGAAAGGGCCAGCTTTTGATGCGTGGAAGGAGGACGCGCTTAAGGAGGACGTGGAGGACGGGTATGAGTTCGGCCAGTGGGGTTCTCGCAAGGCGAGGCCAAAACATCGGGAACGAGACTCAGAACGGACAGCTGTTACAGGACTAGATGATTTGCTGGATGGTAAGATACCAGGTGAAGACCAGCTGGAATTCCAATAACGTATTGACCTATACATTATTGGCTATAATCGACACTACTGGTAATTATCTGGGCAGCACAACCATATAAAGAAACGTGGGCTACGAAAAAGGGAGAGTATCGAGATCCGAGCCTCATTGAACACATGGTTAGGTGCACCAATTTCGTATTCCTTAATCAAGATTGGACCATCGTGTAATGTCCAGTAGCCGCGTCGCGTTTGAGCGTCCAAGTCGTGCTCTCCGCAAGCCCAGCGAGGTCCTGCGACCAGATCGCAGGAGTGTCGATGGCACCTCGTATGATTGCGGTCTCTTGATAGTCCGAAGTAATGTAGGCCCGCAGGACCGGAGTGAACCGAGCAGTGACATGACTGCCATCTCTGCGTTTTGTACTGTGAGCGCTCTGAAGAAAAAGAGAGTGAAGAAAACATACCCAACACCGTTGAAGTAGAGTGCGGGCTTGGGCATCAAGTCTCCTGGACTCATGAAACCTGGAGGCGAACAATGCACTGAGACGAGAGAAAATGAGACGATGATGGTCACAAACCAACTGCGATGTCCTGAATGGACCCAGTGCTGTTCACGGCCTGCAGGACACCAGAGACTCCCGCATGAGGGGGCTACACGAGATATTCATGAGTGGTAAAAAATAGAAATCGACGAAAGTCAGACTTACAGAGAAATGATAGATATCGTTAGCCTCGGTCAAAGTTGTTTTCTCGCTGTCCTGCGTCATGAATTGTGTCGGTGCTAGGAATTCCAGAGCAGATGAGTGTCGCTCACATTGATCTTAACGCAGGTTTCAGCGTCGATGATATTCCCATCCACGACCTGCGGTTTGGAGAAAGCGAGCCTATAGATTGGATAAGCATTGTATACGACCGTCATGTGCGCCTTCTGTCTTACTGGCTCGTGTAGGTCGCGTGAGCCCTGTATGGACCTGAAAAGAGGGATCATGTGTGAGTCGCCAACTTGGAAACGAAAGAGCAGGGACACCCACCCGTCTTCCCGAATTTGCTGACCCTGAAAAACCGCAAGGTTTGAAATCGTCACGGGAAAAGTAGGCGCATGCACTTACTTCCAAACTACAGGAAAGAAGTCCTCGTAGAGGCCTTCCATGTCAGCATCGAAAGTGAGCATGATCGTCGCCTCCTTGCCGAGGTCGTTGCTGCGAGACGACGGTGAGTCGAGTGTAAAAGTCATGCAAGGTGATAGCGCAAAGACACTCACGACTGAAAGGTCAAGTTCCTGGTGAAGAGGTGTGACATTGTTTCAGATTGTTAGACACAAAGTGTACTAGTTGAGATCGAATGTGAATTGAAGAGCTTGAGTTCTGCAGCTAGAGTCTCAGCAAGGAGGTTTTTATATGTTTCGTGGTCGCATAAGCTGTACCTCCTTCCTTGGTTTGCGATTTAGTCTTGGTCTCCTTCGATAGACTAGTATCTCGTACCTTCGTGCCTTGGTACCTGCCGCTGGTCACCTAATGCATTATGCTCCCATTGCTTCGGTTTGCTAGACAATGATGAATTGCCAGTTTCGAGTTCTTGGCCAGTCCCACACCTTCAATGTCTCCAGAGTGCCTGCCGCTGGGGATGTATCCGTCCCTAAGATCTACAAGGCAGTAGCAAATGCTAACCCTTGACTTGCTAGACAGCCAGCTTCCCCATGACCCCTTTCCCGTGGCGTTGCACGCTCGGAAGTTCGTAGCTGCCGTTGGCACCCCCGTGCCTGTCTGCCATACCTGCATATCGCGCTCCTTTCATAATTTAAACGTCACAGGTGGTGGGAATCAGTACTGAGATTTGATCTGGCTGTTATGGTGGATGTCTTTGGGATCCAGACAGTGGGCCCATACTTGTAGGGAGCTGTGTCACGGTTATAGTTGCAAGTACTAGCAAGCATAGTACGCAAACAGGAGCCCATGCACCGCGGCACATTTTGCGACCCGCGACTGCAATATCTTTAAGTTAGCGCCGCACACATAGTAAATAGTACTGACCCCGTGGGGTGAATCGACTGTCAAACTTAAAGTCAAAGTTCAGCCAAACGAGCCGTAAGACACTGAACCTGCTTCAACCGCAAGCTATGTGTTCTCGGTTAATAATAAATGATTAATATTGAATCAGTATTGCTCTCTGAATCCAAGGGAGCTGTCACTCAAAGTTCAACTTGAAGTTGAAGTTAACTTGAAGAAGTATTTGCTTAGTCATCCTAAATCTCTGACTTGAACTTAGAAGAAAGTTCTGTTTTCCATACATAGTGGATATTGCTCTAGAACCGGCTGAGCAGGCGAAGCTCAGCGCTCAGCCGGCGCACCTTGAACGACCCTGCAACTTGCAAATTACGCAGCTTTTGCGGAGTTTGCATCCCAAGTTTATCATATGCGCCGGTTAAAGCAGATTCAGTGTCTTAATAACAACTCTTTTGACTGAACTTCGGCTTTGACTAGCTAGTTGATTCACCCAGAACCGGCGAGGTCGGTACTATGCACTAACTTAAAGATATTGCAGTCGCGCATCGCAAAATGCGTTGTGGTGCATGGGCTCCTGTTTGCGTATGCCTGCTAATACTTGCGACTGTAACCGTGACTCATCTCCCTACAGGTATGGGCCCACTGTTTAGATCCAAATGACATCTACCATAGCGGGTAGAATAAATCTCACTACTGATTCCCAGTCACCTGTGACGTTTAAGTTGTGAAAGGAGCACAATAGCCTGGCAGGAAGGTAAGAACAGGCACGGGTGCCAATGGCAGCTACGAACTTCCCAGCGCGCAACGCCACGGGATAGGGCTCATGAAGAAGCTGGCTGTTCAGCAGGTCAGGGGCCAGAATTTGCCACCGCCTTGTAGATGTTACGGGTGCATGCATCGCAGTACTTACGGTCCCCAGCGTCAGGCACTCCGGAGACATTGAAGGCGCGGGACAGGCCAAGAACTCGAAACTGGCAATCCCTATTGTCTGGCAAACCGAGCCAATGGGAGCATAGTGCATTAGGTGACCAGCGGCAGGTACCAAGGCACGAAGGTACGAGATAGTCTATCGAAGGAGACCCGGACTAGATCGCAAACCAAGGAAGGAGGTACAGCTTATGCGACCACGAAACATATAAAAACCTCCTTGCTGAGACTCTAGCTGCAGAACTCAAGCTCTTCAATTCACATTCGATCTCAACTAGTACACTTTGTGTTTAACAGTCTGAAACAATGTCACACCTCTTCACCAGGAACTTGACCTTCCAGTCGTGAGTGTCTTTGCGCTATCACTTTGCATGGCTTTTTCACCTGACTCCCCGTCGTCTCGCAGCAACGACCTCGGCAAGGAGGCGACGATCATGCTCACTTTCGATGCTGACATGGAAGGCCTCTACGAGGACTTCTTTCCTGTAGTTTGGAAGTAAGTGCATGCGCCTACTTTTCCCGTGACGATTTCAAACCTTGCGGTTTTTCAGGGTCAGCAAATTCGGGAAGACGGGTGGGTGTCCCTGCTCTTTCGTTTCCAAGTTGGCGACTCACACATGATCCCTCTTTTCAGGTCCATACAGGGCTCACGCGACCTACACGAGCCAGTAAGACAGAAGGCGCACATGACGGTCGTATACAATGCTTATCCAATCTATAGGCTCGCTTTCTCCAAACCGCAGGTCGTGGATGGGAATATCATCGACGCTGAAACCTGCGTTAAGATCAATGTGAGCGACACTCATCTACCCTGGAATTCCTAGCGCCAACGCACGTCATGACGCAGGACAGCGAGAAAACAACCTTGACCGAGGCCAACGATGTCTATCATTTCTCTGTAAGTCTGGCTTTGTTGATCTCTATTCTTCACCACTCACGAATATCTCGTGTAGCCCCCTCATGCGGGAGTCTCTGGTGTCCTGCAGGCCGTGAACAGTACTGGGGCCATCCAGGACATCGCAGTTGGTTTGTGACCATCATCGTTTCCTTTTCTCTCGTCTCAGTGCATTGTTCGCCTCCAGGTTTCATGAGTCCAGGAGACTTGATGCCCAAGCCCGCACTCTACTTCAACGGTGTTGGGTATGTTTTCTTCACTCTTTCTTTTTCTTCAGAGCGCTCACAGTACAAAACGCAGAGATGGCAGTCATGTCACTGCTCGGTTCACTCCGGTCCTGCGGGCCTACATTACTTCGGACTATCAAGAGACCGCAATCATACGAGGTGCCATCGACACTCCTGCGATCTGGTCGCAGGATCTTGCTGGGCTTGCCGACAGCACGACTTGGACGCTCAAACGCGACGCGGCCACTGGACATTACACGATGGTCCAATCTTGATTAAGAAATGCGATATCGGTGCGCCAAACTGTGTATTCTGTGAGGTCTGGATCCCGATGCTCTCCCTGTTTTCGTAGCTTACTTTTCTTGTGTGGTCGCTCGTGTCTCATGTAATAGTTTGCAGCAGTTGGTACTGTTTTGATCGATATGCCTTTATCTATATACTTGATTGAATAACCAGCGATGGCTATGCAATTCAGCCAACAGGAGGAAAGCTTGAACAACTCGCCGAATCACACACAGAAGAAAGAATTTACATCACCGTCTGGCCAGAACGCATCTACGACCTCCTAGTTGTGGCAAACTTCAAGCTTCAGTTTTGCGAACTTCCCACATCCGTGCACGGAACGCCGTCCTTGTCGAGTCGGAATTGCAGTTCCACCCTCATCTTGGTAGTATCACTCCTCTTCCACACGTGCTCTCTGACGCTGGCAAGGGAACACGTTTCCTACCAAAATACCCAGACGGATCCCCCCTCCTTTCGCCCAAAACGAATTCCCATTTCCATCCCTATTCATTGTCTATCAAGGACCGAGTTGTGCATCATCCGTCCTGACGTTCCCCGATATGTACGACAGGCTGCTTTGGACATATTCAATTTCATTTGGTGTGTATATTTGGAGACTGAGACTCGATAGGCGAAGATGTTACCGAAAACTCACTGAAAAGGGCCAAAAAATCAAGTGTGAAATTGTTGGCAGGTATACGAGGCTTTCCGAAAAGAACATCAGTCTGGCCAAGGAGTCGGATGTCTGCAGGGCATTCGGTTACACAGCCGGTCTCGAGTGATGAGGAACACTGATGAGCACTACAGGGTAGGTGTGGTTCATTTTGGCTAAATTCTTTATGCTCAAAACGACGACGACGATCTCCTCCATTGATTGTAATGGCTGTGACGTGGGAGCATCAGGATATATCTGATACCGCAGACAGATCAGTTACTGTCGCGCTCTAATCGCAAGTGCCCGAAAGCCATCAGAATCGTGGCGGGAACATCATGACGTGTTAGATCATATAAGTCCATATCAGCAGACGAATAAGTACCCATCAACGAACACCACATACAAATGTACATAGAAGGACAAGAGATTAACGAGCCTCGAAAAGGTATGGTATGAGCATAGTCAGTTTCAGAGAAAGTTTGTGAGCGTGTGAAATCAAATCCCATTTCCACGAGCATCCATTGTGTCATATAGTCCGATGTTTCCGACTCCAGAAGTCCGAGATACAACTGTTCAGAGAAGTTGTTTCCAACCCGCATCACGACACTTCTTCACGAGGCGCTTCACCTCTTGCGATCGTGCACGCGTGGTGACGAGGAGGGTGTCAGGCATGTCGACGATAACCAGATCATCGACGCCCAGGCATGTGATAAGACGTCCTGAGCCGGGTACCACAATTCCCCCAGCAACTTGTTCCGTCAGCACTGTCGAACGGAGATGAAATTAACAACGAGGACTTTATGAGAAGAGGTAAAAAGAATCACCCAAAGAGCTGTCCCCAAGGACACGAGGTTGATTAGATTCAGCAGGCAGTAGGTCTGCGAGCGAAGAGAAGTCTCCGACGTCATCCCAGCCTAAAGTCCGATATCGGTTCGCTTCTTTGCAGATGAAATTGAAATGTGGAAACATACCAAATGTCGCCGGTACTACGGCAACTTTACCCTCAGCAGCAGCAGGTTCTGCGACTGCGTTATCGATCGGGATCTTCTCGAGCTCGGGCCAGATTTCATTGAGAGCAGCCTGGCGCAACGTCTCGTCGTCCCACGCTGCTGCGATCTTTTGTAACCCGTCGTGGAGTTCCGGCTTGTAGTCCTTAAGAAGGTCCAAGAGAACAGTCGCTTTCGTAACGAACATTCCAGCATTCCATCGGTAATTTCCAGTACCGATATATGCAGCGGCAGTACGCGCGTCAGGTTTTTCTTTGAAGCTGGAGACTAGCCTCGCATTTGGGGCTTCCTTGATGCCTAGTTTATTTCCGAGTCGAATATAACCAAAGCCGGTGGAAGGGTGAGAGGGTGCAATTCCAATGGTAACGAGATAATCTTTCTTCGCTACTTCGACAGCTTCTGCAACGGCAGATAGGAAGGCATCGTCGCCTGAAATCATGTGGTCTGCAGCAAATGAACCGATGACGGCATTTGGGTCTCTTTTCGCAAGGACAGCTGCGGCAAGTCCGATAGCTGCCATGGAATCCTTCGGACCAGGCTCGCAAATCAAGTTATGCGAGAGAAGGTCAGGCAGTTGCTCGCGGATGGACTTGACATGGCCGGGACCTGCGACCACGGTGGTGCGGAGGGGAGATGAAAGAGGGAGAAGACGGTCCCAGGTAGCTTGGATCAAAGAACGTCCCTTGAGAGTCAAGTCGAGAAGGAATTTGGGGTGCTCTTCTCGCGAAAGTGGCCATAGTCGCGTACCAGCGCCTCCTGCGGGAATTACAACGTAGAACCCGGGAATGTCGCGGACAGCATGTTGGAAAGGTGCAACCGCATTATCACCCAGTGGAGACGACGGAAAGTGACTGGTGGGTACAGCGACAAGGGATGGGATACTGTGCGGAGATAGGAATGGGGATTTGGCTCGGAGCTGAGGGCTGCCGGGCACTGGGGTGACAAAGCCAGAGCCTATACGCGAGCCGGCGTAATAGTTTCCGTTCCCATTTTGCTGTTGCAATTGAAAAAAACCCTGGAACTTAGAATCTGTTGAAGTGCAAAGTCATCCCGCTCACCTGAAACCCTTCCCGGATCTGACGTTCCAAACTTGCGTTTGCCAACCGTAGGTCAGCACATTCCTGCCGGAGATCTGATATCTCAACTTGCTATGTATCGATGCATCAGCGGCTGTCTTTTGGAGTGTCTTACATGGAGAAACGGAGCTTACAGATTTCTGCACTGCGCCCATGATCTGAGAGAACATGAATTCAACAGAGAGCCCATTGTCGCTGCTGCTAACCTGCCCGGCAGGTGGGGCAGCAGAAACCGAACGAAAAGGACATGATAGATGAAAGTCAATGAGTCGATGTCAAGGGTATTGTGTTAACTGTCGGAATGCAGCTTTATATAAGGTACTAGGGTCGTGCGTTTTTTTGTAAACGTGTATGAAGGCTTTTAGCGCTTATGCATAGTCTATTTCGGGAGTTGCCCCATGTTCTTATTCGGTAAAGTCAACGGAACATGCTAATTGCTGTTAGCCTTTGGGGTGAACCTTTCATCATGGCAAGCACCCGCAAGCTCACTCGATCAGGATAAGGCCATCCGTGAAAGAATCGCCGTTAACGTCATGAGCCGCAACATGCGTTGCCGTACGAGTTGGAAGATGTTGCCATTAGGATAACTCAACTTAATAGATATTTTACTCATTTCCTGTTGTCAGTGACACCGCAGTACTTAGCAGGATCCGGCCATTGCCCAATGCCCAGGCACCAGTGAAATATTTAATGCTTTGCGGCCCATGTGACATACACAGCTGACTAGTCTTCATCACTCTCGAATTCGAGAGCTTGGTACTTCCTTGCCTTTTTATTCGGGTTGGCCAAAGATGCGCCCTTCGGAGGTCGAGAGCTTGTTGAAGGTTCTGTTCTGCAGTAGAATCAGCTGCCTCTGAGTACGTGGCAAATGGAGGCTTACTGGATATCATGTTACCTGTCGGGGGCCTTTCCTTTGAACGAGCAAGTTCCGCTTCAAGAGCTTTGATTTTCCGTTCAGCTGCCTGATTGACAGCAGGGACAGGAACCTGGCTCAGGCCCAAGGGTGTGGGTTTCGACGGAAGCGTTGAAGCTATGGCAATGAGCTCAATGTGCACATCAATGCTGACAAGGGACGCAGCGGACCTGAATTAGCGTGGGATGACTCTGCGATAACGGTGACATTGCGGGGCGAGAAAAGGGGGGTTTAGTTGGCATTTGCGGGACTGAGCTTGTAGTGCAATCTTGTCACGAGTCAAATATTGTCGGTGAGCAGCCAACAACTCATGTGCCTTACTTCAGTTAACACCGCGGTTGCATGAGATGCGGCTTCGGCTGCCGACAGTTCTTTCAGGGCCATGTGCAGTGGAAGCTTGGTAGTTGGCCCAAAGGTGAGCTAATAAAGTTGTGGGTTGTCGGCCCGGCATAATCCATACATCAAGAGTAGTATTCACGTTGATGTCCGAGTCCTTCTCAGTCCATTCTCCAATGGTGAGGTCACCATTTACAAACGTGGTCCGAAGCTTTTCAGCGAAGTTCTCAAGCACCTGGCCTGATTGCACACCCTAGAATGACGTACGATAAGGGTAAGGGTAGTTGAAAGGCCTTGACACGAACGTTGGTGATGTTAAGGATATGTTTGGCGGACCACGAGCCTCGCCACCACCTGCCTTCTGGTCCCTTGAGGCCTAAGTAAATCGACCATGCAGATTCGGTTACTTGTGACAGTACGACAAATCGATCAAAACCCTGGTAGATAACCTGTATGAGTTCGTCAAGAACCCCAAAATGTGACAAGACGTCGGTAGACATGATGGAGCTGTAAGAGCTACATTTTAAGTTTATTACTTTATTGCCTTCCAAAACAGGCATTTAGGTATTGATACAAGTATCCCACGCACGGACCATCAACAAGAATGTATATAAACTAGTCCTCAAACTTTATGGTTCTTCAGAACATACTCAGCTAGGATCTATTTTATAGAAACTAACTCGAGTCTCGCATGTTTACACATGCCACATCCTTCAATTCCGCTGGATGACACTAGCGCTCACTCGTTCGACAGAGAACATGGTCACCGCTTGCGGAGATCTCGAGGACGTTTGGGTTTGTGCATTGTCGAGCTGCTTGCAGCCTGGTGAAGCCACACCCAACGAGTTGAGCGTCTGTCTGACGGAACCTCAGGATAATACTATTTAAATTACTTACGTGTTGTATATGGAAAATTCATCCTTTTGCCCCTGAATCCAATGTTCAGAGTGTGATATGTCGAAACTTGACCTTTTTACCATCGTTCCATCTTCGAAAGAGAACATAGTATCTGTTTCTAGGGATACTGAGAACATAGTTTGTGTGTTTTCGAGTTAGATCTAGCAAGTTGAACTTCTGTACGACGGAACTTCCGGATAACACGATTGCAATGTTACAGCATTTAAATTATACAAGTGTTAGCATACAAAAAACATTGTGCAAAGACTTTGTTACATGAGTCCTGCATCCGAAGCACGGCGCCTCAGCTTGTTCGCCCACCCGTGCCTCTCAGCGTATACATCTGTATTTGGCTGTTCAATTCCATCATGGTATTTGCGTGTCCATCGATAGTCTGTGAAACCTTGCTCCCGTATTTGTTTAGACGCGGTGAAAACGTTCCAAGATGTCGCATTGCTGAAGAAATCATCGATTTGCTTCGAGAGGACGACCCGAAGTTTCCGGATCTACAAAATGGAACCGCCGCATCAATAGGATCACACATTGAAAACGGTAAGACGTAGGCCATACACATGAAAATGATAAAGGGGATTACGAATATGTTGAGGCCAAAGAGGAGTAGGAGAACACCATATTCGATCGCCTGAAACAGGAAAGGCTAGAGAAACGACCATCAATTCATTTGCAAATGTTCGATTGTTCGACGGCTTACGGTAATCATAGTCACGATGCCATTTCCTATGGACCATCCAACAACAGACCATGCGCCTCCTTTGGCGCGAACATAGTAGGCTGCATTGTTTCAGAGAACAAAATTGGGCAAATGGAATTGATCTCACTCACGAAAGAGTTCAGTTGGATAAAGCCACGGAGTTACTAACCAGGTGGCGCCAAACGTGCCAGTATAGAGGAACTGAGAGGCACATCATTCACAAAAATGTTCTTCACGATACCGGAATCAGTTGCTTACTGTCATGGCTACAACACCGGCGCCATATGCCCGTTGATTGGGGCCCCCCGCCTGCGCGTCTATCAAGTGATATGAGTGACAATCAAACAACGGAGAGTAACCGTATATCACATTTGTCCAAGATGCCGCCAATGAGCAGGAGCAACGCCATGCCAGCAGCCCCCCATACCATTGTACTTCGCCGGCCAAACCTGTCCAGAGTGAACACGGCAAAGAGCACGCTGAACATGTATGACAGGTTATTGAATCCGGCCAAGAGTTTTGCCTCGCCTTGGCTGAAACCAGCACCTTGAATAAGATCGATGGCTATATATGACGTCAGAGAAAGTGCGAGAGCCGGTAGAGGAAAGTGCTTTGCCGTAGACAGTGATGACTCCGATGCCAACGAGCTCTTGCATAATCTGCAGCCATACACTTAGAGCAACTCTCCATCGTAGTTCGCGCTGGCTCTTTGTCCTCGGGAATAGCATCCGAAGATAACTATTGTTCTCTGCGTGCTGCTGGTCATGCATCACGCTCCGCACAATGGCACCGAGCTCAGCCTCAACTCCGTCCTTACGAGTGGCCTGCAACACAGTACGTGCCTCGGAGACACGGCCAACTTTCGCCAGCCATCGAGGGGACTCCGGAAAGAAAGGTACAAGCGCTGCGATGGTTTAACATAAGTTAGGCTGGGTAAAGGATCGGGACGAACCGAGGATAGCGAGCAGAAAAACAACTTGCAGAGCTAGAGGTGTGCGCCATGCCATTACCTGATTCTGATTCATGCTCGCAAATCTACAAATGCATCAGGCCATTTGTTTATAACAGGGTGTTTAGAATGGACTGACATCTCTATCCAATATGCCAATGACAGTCCACTGATGTTTAGGAAGAACTCAATGGCAAGAAAGCCGCCTCGTGCTTGATGTGGCGAAACTTCACTGCTCCAAACAGGAATGACTTTAATAAAGATGAGCACAAAGGATCAAGATAAGAACAGCGGGTTATCCACCTGCGTCGATGGCTCCCACACCGAGACCAGTCACGACTCGTGCGCAACACATCCAGGTGATGTTCATCGCGGAGGCTTGGAATATTGCTCCGATAATCGAGATAATGACACCCAATATTATGGCAGCGATACGGCCCGACCTGTCGGCAATGGAACCGCCAAGGAGTGCTCCAATGAGAGAACCGCCGTAATAAACCTAATCGACGTGCAAGAAAGGTTACTATCAAGAAGCTGCCAACTTACAGAAACTATTCCTCCAAGGGCCGCCAGGTTACGTGAGTTTCCCATGGTGGGGTATATGCCCATCAATTTCAGGTAATCCTCATTAAGGTTTACTTGGGACATGACTCTGCTCGTCGATGCGTTAACATTCACTCAGAAGAGGGAACGCAGGAAGGTATACCCTTGGTCATAACCCTAGTCGATTAATCAGCTTTTGATAGACAAGGAACGTGCAATTACTGACATAGAAAAGGATCGCCAGACCAGCAAGTAGGTTATTTGCCCAGTTATATGAGTTCGGGTTATTAAACTTGAACATTCGCCCAGCCGAATAACTCTGCAAATGAGATGTACACCGCCGATAAGCGTCTAGCTAGAAGGTAGGATCCGACTCGGAGGGAAGTAGACTTACGGGAAGGTACTTACTCATCCACCATTCGGGTGTAGCAAGAACTTTCTCGGCATCGCATACGACGGTTGCGGATGTATTCAACGAAACTCCATCGTTGCTAGCACCATTGGAGAATCTAGACGAATCTACAGAGAGTGATAGTTGTTCTGAATTATTCCGCATCTCGCGCGAGGTGTAAGGTGAAGACAGCTCTGTTTCCATACAGTACAGCAGAGAAGTGGATGACCTTTCCGGTGCGAAGAACCTGCAGACCTTGAGGCTAGCCACCGTCCGTATTTATACTAGTCAGTTAGTCGGTCGAGAACCAGGTTATGTTCCGGGCCTCAACCCAAGGACGGTGATGTCAGAATGCCGAGGTTCGACCCATGTCTCGATGTGCAGCCGGTAGAATCAAAAATGCCGACAGCAACCCGACAGGACATTCCTTGTGGGACGGCCTGAAATTGTACAAGATCCTGAAAGGATCAATGCTATACTAGATTCGCAATCAGACGTACTAAATGTGTAGGTACAAAATCCATTCAAAGAATCACGGTGCCCGGACTTGGCCCGGACCATGCACTCTCTCCAAATGATGATTGTACCATCTAGTTGATAAAACAATGAGGTCCAATCCAATCGACACTGGCGCAAACTCGAAAGCTTTCAGTCGATTGCCTGTTAGTGATTGCGCCTTGAGTTACTTGCAATTCTGGTGGCCAAGGACCAACCAATAGCGATCAAGTACAAAGCCAAGGTTTGATGGAATCCCCTACATTCAGTCATTCAGAGTACATAGTAAAGCTGTCACCATAGAGCCGCCGGGTAATGTTGGGGTAATGTAGCCGTGTTACGTAAGAAACGCGTATCGTTTATAGTTAAATTTGTGTCGAAAACTAGTACCCTCCTGGTATAGCACTGGTGAGTTTGCAGATAGTGACTCTAGTGAATTGATCAGAGCTGGCCGCTGGCAAGGTTCTTGCTATGGGTCACATCACTGAGTAGCGTGCAAATGATCAAACGTTGAATCATGATGCATGATTCATAGTAGTGGAGTCAGATGCATGTGCTCTCATGCACGTGCTTCCAATATACTGGTTGAACTCGAAGAAAATTTTGACCATGTGCATGAGGGCTGGCTGGATTGTACCTACGCAGGCCCCCACGTATCAAATATTCCATTCGCTTGATCCATCACATCATGACATTTAAATCCTCCCAGGCAACCAAGTACGTTTTATCGACCCGATATTAAATCCAAAATGTTTGGGGTCGAAATCCTGACTTTCCTGATTGGCAATCAAACAGATGCAATGCATGCTGTCGAGGAGCATCAAATGATCTTCCCGCGATCTAATTTAAGCGCTCAACTTCCTGGTACATTAATTTTCATGCAACAATGCCCAACATTGCCCACAATAAGTCACAAGATGTCTACCACATGACCACTCGTGGGTTGCGTTGGTGTGGATACACGTAGCTGAACGAATTTCATCTCGCCTGTATATCCAGTTATCGCCTCATAAAGGACGCGAAAGGCGTCATCACAAGGAACGAGGCATCCATTATCGGAACCCTTTCTGAGCGACGAAGACAACGATGGGTCATGCGACCAAGTGAATTTGATCGATAAGCCTCTTTCAGTCTGAATCAACGGGGAACTGATACCAAGCTCGCGCTAACAACAATTAGGGAGCATCAACAGGATTTCAGCTGATGGACCCGTCCTTTCCACGGTCAAGCCCGTCAAGTCGCTCAATCTCTTCGGGCCCGAGCTCAAAATCGTCCAATTGAGCCTTTGAATCAATGGGGAACTGATACCAAGCTCGCGCTAACAACAATTAGGGAGCATCAACAGGATTCCAGCTGATGGACCCGTCCTTTCCACGGTCAAGTCCGTCCAGGCGCTCCATCTCTTCGGGCCCGAGCTCAAAATCGTACAGTTGAGCGTTTGACCTGATACGCTCTGGCGTTGCCGATTTGGGCAGCGGAATAAACCTAAACCATTGGATGTAAATTCAAATTGAAAGATGAAACGATAGCGCCAAACCCTTTTTGAAGTGACCAACGAAGGAGCACTTGGGCTGCATCACGACTATGCTAAAAAGATTTTGAATCATAATCATATCTGGTGTAGCACCTTAGAAGCAGAACTAACATTCTGCGCTATAGTTTGAATGATCGGATGATCCATTTTCCCTCGCATGATCGGGCAGTAGGCTTGGACCACGATCGAGTGCTCACGGCAATAGTCCACTATGGGCCGCTGCTGGCAAAACGGGTGAAGCTGCCAGCATGCAATAAGCGGAGTGTGCTGCTCATCAAAATCAGTTGCATGCCTCAATTTGATTCACCGCAGGCATATCATATTTTGCATCTGCAATCTCTTCCAAATGCTTGATCGCGCTATAAAAAATGTTGCGTTACGATATAAGTCTTCTTTAGCAGGAAAACAATGTAGAAAACGCACTAATTTGAAACCCCAATAGATCGTATTTTTCCCGCATCACGGGCATCTTGTAAGGCTCTGTATGTGGCTAGGCGGCGCTCAGTGCCAGAACACGGGTCATGAATGAGAAACAAGTCGATGTACTCTGATTCAAGACGTAAGAATGCCTCGAATTTGTTCAACATGCATGAGGCGAGTGACTCACCAAAGCCGAATTTAGCAAGAGATTCATCAATGCCCTTCAGCGTGCTTTCATACCCATGGTTTTTGCTGACACATTTTGTCGCTAACGTTCGGTAAGGGATGGAAGCTCATTTCCTGGACTGCCTTGTGACACGCACTAATGAAAAGTTCTCCTCGGTCAATGCCGCTATCTCTGACAGCTTCTCCAACCGCCGTTTCATTGCGGTAAGCTTGGGCTGAATCCACGTGTCTGGAATAGTTCATTACAATGAGGGAGACATCACCAATAGTCATGAACCGCTTCACCTAAAGCCCGCTCGAAGCGCCTCAAGAACTGAGGCCCGGGTGGTGTAATTTTGATACACGCCAAATCCCAGGAGTGGCATTGTGTAACCTACGGTCGCGCCGTACGGATTCTCACTAGTTTAGCCGCAGACAAGTATCGGAAATACAAATTATTACCTGACACAAGTTGAATTCTGGACTCGATCGTAAGCATCATACGAGGTGGACCTGGTGAGCGTGCCGATCGTGCTTAGCGCTTAGTCCGCAGCTTCCTGCTTCATTATTTGTAACGGCTTGTCAGACTTCCCGATTTGAAAAGACCGCCCACTGAGACGTAAGAATAATGCAAGAAAAATGTTCAGGAACAAACTTGTGTACGTGAACTCGAGGAGATCAATGAAAGTATTATTCACACTGGGCACCAAGAGAGCTCTATTGTCATCACTAGTCAAACTTGGCAAGCGATGATGATACCGGGATTAAGGTGTACTCAATGCACTGCGGGCAAGGTCAGCTGTGTGACCAGATTGAAACTTCGAAAACCTTACTGTGACTATACATTAATCTTTGTCCGTACGCTCTAGGAATGCGTCGCTCTTTGCCTCTCCAAGCGCTCTTGCATCACTCTCTGCGCATCTGCTTTTGCCGAGTCAAGCTTTCCAGCCTTTGCTAGAGCCAATAACAAAGCATGCACAAGGCCGATGTGGTTATGGCGACGCGAGCTGTTTTCAAACTTCGAAAACAGAATCAAAAGGGTGAGGATCGGTGACAAAATATTTAGTACTCACTGCCCAACGCTCGCGCTTGGAGTTTTCATTGGAAAGTCTATTCATAAGATCACTCAATTCAGCGTCCCCTGCTGTACCTTGCAAAGCGTCTAAACGTCTTCTCATTCCAGGTATTGGGTCATCTCGAAGAGCGAGTAAGCTGAACTCAAGCTGCAGAATATAAGTTGAGATATAAAACGTAAAACACATTTTTGCTCACTGCTCCGGGTGGGTAGGTGTGTATCCGGTTCTCGATAACTTCCCTAGAAAACAGGGGGATTCAATAGCGAAATATGGCGAAGGCGTATCGCCAAGTACCTTGCTTTTTTAACCCATCCCTCTCCGGATTCGTCGTATTCCCCATGCCGCACTGGGTAAGGTTTCAGCCCATCAAGTTCATACAGACTCCCCAGTACCGGAAGGTATACGACAAAGTGGTAGGCTTCTTCGCTCTTCTTCGGAAGGTCGAGACCATCTAGTGAGATAGCACTAGGTGGAGAAAGGGCGTTATGAGCTTCTCGAAGCCAATCCGCGCTTGTGATAGCCATCCCACATGTCTGTGGGTCCATGCCTGTAGTAAAATTCATGAGGTCCATAAACTGGGGTCCGGCAGGGAGAGAGGCAATGTTTCCCAGGGCGTTGACGACGGCAAGTGTAGCACAAGCGTTGTTCACAGTTTGATGAGCGAAGAATCCGGGGAAATCTGAATCATAGTGACCAGCGCGAACACCAGGCTCATTGTCAGGTGATTCAGGAAGCCACTTAAACAAGAAGATTAGAGCATGTACAGGCTGTAGCGCCGCCAGCGATTCCGAGTCAAGTGAGTAGAGGTCATCGACGATGTAAGGCACTCCGAGCCTCTTCAGTAACTCACTGTGACCGGTCGCGTGAGTCAGGTAGATCAGTTATCATCGTTTCGACATACGTGAACACCCCAGGGTCAGATTCTGTAAGTTGCCAGCCACTGGAGTCCTCGTCTGACATCGTTCACGACGTGTAAAGCAAAATAAGAACTTACCGCGTCGAACCTCGGTTTGCCACGTGACCCTTGTTTGGTTTCCGTTCGTAACAAGCTTTTTCCACTTGCACTGACAATATGATGGCTTCTGACCCTGCTCAATCGCCTCAGGCCACGACAGAAGATCCACGAGCTGCCAATCGCGACAAATTTGAGCTTGAACTGGAATTCGTGCAGTCGCTGGCAAACCCATACTACCTCCATTCTCTCGCACAGCAGAATATTCTTGACCAACCTGCATTCATTAACTATCTGGAGTATCTCATGTACTGGAAAGAAAAGGATTATGCCAGATTCATACAGTTCGTCCATAGTTTGCGAGCGTTTACAATACTGCGACCGATGCCTTTGTTTAGCTACCCACATGCACTGCACCATCTTGACTTGCTGCAACACGCCCAATTCAGGTCAGAAATGAAGAAAGACGAATGGCGCGAATATCTGAACCAAAAGCAGTATGACCACTGGCGAACATGGTATGAGATACAGGAGCTTGTTAGAGGCACTTTCTTGATAATGATCTGTCGTGTCAGGCGTGATTACCCAGGGATGAGTACTAGTGTCGCCCCCACCGACCCCCAAGAAACCGGTGTGCAATTGCAATAGAATGCTCCTTTTGGGTAACATGGTTTACCGGAAGTCTTGGCGGAAGTTTATGGCGCGTTGGTTAATGAAAGTAACCATAAAATGAAGCGTTGCCAAAGATGCAGACTTCCCGACGCCCGTCTGACACAAGGAGTAACTTAGCGTGTATACTCCATGTCACTTTTTAGAGATAGATCCTTGTGGGTTGTCTTCCAATTGAAAATTCCCACGCCTGTTAAACGCTTCACGCGCGGGTACAGTATACCCGCCATCATCCGTAGTACTACTGTACATGGCTTACTATGCTGAAAATGACACTGAAGGTCGTCACTCATACATACCGGTGGAATCAAGCTTCAGGGAGGGCGGTCATGGCGAATCCAACATTCATATTGCGTCGCTTGCAGAGAAACAGCGAATATGGTGGAGAACTGCCATCATCAATGCATGCTTCCTAGCTTCATGGTACGTGGGTGTTACTGTCAGGCTCCTGAAACAGGTTCATGTGTCAACTGCATAGGTATATATTCGCAACCATACTGTCTCTGTACAACAAGTGGATGTTTTCGCCAGACCATTTCGCATTTCCGTATCCGCTCTTCGTGACTACCTTGCACATGTCTGTTCAGTTTGTCTTGGCTGCTACTCTTCGCGTCTGGTTCCCGCATCATTTCCGTCCAGAGAGAAGTCCTTCGGTAAAAGATTATGGGTGCGTGCTTTCTCGCAACAACTAGTACCCGTCGGGCAGTTTGTGTCCTCACTGGACACCAGTTCTAATTGTGGCCTCTTTGAAGCAAGAAAGCAGTTCCTACTGCCGTTGCTACCGGTCTCGATATTGGTCTGTCAAATGTGTCACTCAAGACCATTGCTCTATCATTTTATAGTGAGTTGTCAGTTCTGAACTTGGCCAGACGCTGGCCTATGTTTAAAATTTTAACATGTAATTTACGCTTAACTCATACATCTGGTTGTCTACAGCAATGTGCAAGTCATCTTCTCTCATCTTCGTATTATTCTTTGCATTTTTCTTCCGTTTGGAAGTGTTTTCGCTACGACTCGTCGTCGTCATCCTTCTCATTTTTGGCGGGGTGATCCTTATGGTTGCTTCTGAAACGGCCTTCGTTCTTCCCGGATTTTTACTTGTGATGACCGCCAGTGCATGTGGAGGTCTCCGCTGGAGCCTCACGCAACTGCTCATGAAGAACAAGAATATGGGTCTAGATAATCCTGCGGCTACCATATTCTGGTTGTCTCCTGCAATAGGCGCCACAACAGCCCTCATTAGCATCATCTGGGAGGGATGGTTTAACATATATGCATCGCCATTCTTTCGGGACATGGCCTCGAGCCTTCGTACGGGCCTATTCTTGGTCGCCCCCGGTATCGTGGCGTTTTGTATGGTCATGAGTGAATATTAGTACGTTTATGACCATGCACTCAATTCCACAAGGCCATCTAATTAGGTCAAAAAAAGCATTATCCAACGTGCCGGTGTCTTGCCAATGTCAATAGCCGGGATAGCCAAAGAAGTCTCGACCATTACGATCGCGGCTTGGGTTTATGAAGAAGAGCTTACGCCACTCAATATAGTTGGCGTAGGTATCACAGTCTGCGGTCCGTTTCGAAGCTATATGAATGCGGCACTTCTAACGGGGTCTGTAGGGATTGGCCTTTTTACGTTCCACAAGTACCGCAATTCCATCGATGGTAGACTATCAGTGGACGCGGAGGGAAACATGATAACAATAGATGACGAAAATATGGGTGACTCGTCAGATTCTGTCCATGGGGTCGATTTCGAGCTTAGTGCTGCTAACCTCGGGCATCGAGAAGATGATCATTTTGCGGTATGTTCCATCGTTACGGAAACGTTCCAGAATTGTGACTCATAGAAACGCCACAAAGCATCAGGGGTCTGATGATAGCGACGCGCATCAACGCCTGCTTTTTTCTACCGATCATGACGATAATCATCATGAAGGCGAGGAAGATGCCGAACAAGTATTCTGAGAGTGTTCAGTTGTCTGAGTTGCTGAAAGAGGCATAGAGCTAGGGTCGCACTTCTAATTACATATGCAGACTAGTTACTTTTTTTTTCCAGAAGATAATACCCTAAAGCGGCCCACCTCCTCCAGCCCATTTGCACCTTGTTGAAAATGGTCCCTAGAGGACTAGAGTGCCACTAATCATAACGAACCATTGCCTCTCTAATTTTGTCCCGAGCCGTGCAAAACTCAAGTTTGAATATTAAGCTTACGTTGATGCACAATAATAGTGAATTGTTTGAGTTATGGTTCAAAATCATTGATCCGGTATTCCGAGGACACCTGACTCTAGCTGACTTCTTTTCCGCTGAGCCCGGACTCACGCGACCTTGGTGGTGCTGTGATTTTTGGTTAGATGATTGGGCCACACGAATTGGGAGACAAATTGTAGCAAATCGTTCGGTTACTGCGGAATATTTATCTGATGTGATCAATTTAGTCAGCACAGCAGAAAGTGCTCGACAACATGTGGCTGCGATGGAAACAGTGTGAAAATTGAACCCAAGTTCTCCAAAGTGCCTGCAGGAGGCGATGAGCGGCCTTGCGCACTACACAGGCCCATCAAGGAGCCGGACAGTCCCGCAGGTGAAATTAGAAGGCGATAATCGGACTGCTGCTTTATGACGTGTAACAGTCTAGAGCTTTTGTGATGCGGCTAGTAAGTAATATTTCCGCACGTTTTTTTTTGCATCAATGATTAAGTGCTTTATGCTGATTGTCAATCCTATTACGATATGAAACCAGAAGAAACGGACATTCACGGATTGACTAATACATTTGCTAGATCGTTGAAATGCTGGGTTAATGGCGATGTTCTGTTGTGTAAAGAGGCCCGATCCATTGTCGGTTATGGTGCGCGTATGAGCACGGGCAAGTGGGAAATCAGCCATATTCAAACTTTTGATCTGACTTCGTTCGGCGTATAGATCTCACACAACGGCCTCGAGGTATTTAGGCTGTGTGATATATAAATCCGCGCTTTTCTGCCTTTTGAATTATTCACTTCACCATGGATGGTTTTCAATTCATTATCGAGTCCCCCCAAGAGACCCAAGGTCACAAGAAACGCCCACGTCTTGTGACTTCTTGTGATAACTGGTGCTGCTCGTTGAAATCTCCATCAAGTAATTTACACTTACCTTATCACTTAGCCGCCTCAAAAAAATCAAGTGCCTACAGTCATCCCCCGAGACACAATGCGAGGCCTGCAAGGCAGCCAAAATTCCATGCAAGTTTCGCGATCGCGAACGATATTTTGCTGAGCGTAGTCGAGCCATTGCGGGCCCCAGTTCCGTGCCACCGTACCATGGATCGTCAAGTAGAGCAACAACCACTGTCGCAGAGTCTTCAGAGCGTTCCAATCCGAGCAGCACCAGCGAATACGCCACTCCGGCATCGACCGCGTACACGCCACCGTCACAAGGATATACCAATTCTATATCTCGCTCCCCGTCCTACTCGCCACCGGGAACAGCATCTGCAGATCATGGTCGCTATCAAACCTATCCAGATCATTCAAGGCCTCCTACAAGTCATAGGTAATATATCCACACCTCTCAGATATCAACATTCATTGACGTAGCCATGGAAGACATACAGCTGTAGCTGATGATCACAGTCGTCGATACGGAACTCCCGGTCCAGGTCAGCCATTGGGTCGTCCCCATCCCACCTCGAGCGGTTACCGACCAACTCAGGTCTTCGACCCGATGCATCCTCAGATGCCACAACGCAGCTGGATGCCACATTTCATCCAGATATTCATCAGTCAACTCGGCAGCCAATGCGCGTTCATGACTTACGACGACCTATATGAAAAATTTCGACATCAGACTCTATCCCCTTTACTCTCCAACTGTATCGCAGCACTGGGCGCAAGGTCTGTCTTCTGCAATGCACTCAACTTGGATATGAACGAGGTGCAATAGGTTCTCTGACATACCGGATGTTGTCGCGCGTGGCCCACAAAACGTTGCAGATATTTTCTGTGAGAACGCCAAGGTTCGTGGTCGCGTGTGTGTGTGTGTGTTCTGCTGACCTAATGGAATGAATAGGAGATGTTGTCCGCGGCACTCAACCAACCGTCCCTCGACGTTCTTCACGCTGTCATCACCCTGGCATGGACGGAATACAAAACTGGTCGGCTTCTTGGTAAGTACCGGGAACGTTTCCCTTGTTCCTCGGCTAAATACTTGTCTCCTAGGATTCCGACAATACGGTGATGTAAGTGAAGTTGGAACGTTTAGCTGACTCGTGTCTGACAAACGATCAGCTTGCCATGAGAACCGCAATGGCTATAGGATTATCTGAAGAATCCACCAGGCAGATGAGCCCTTACGACAGTTACCAAAATCGTCTTCGTCTGACATGGCAAAGTGTCTCCCAATTATACGCCGCATCGGCTTGTGAGTTGTCAGACTCGTTGTGTTTCAAGCCACCCTAATCATGACCAAGTGTCGGGGTAATTTTGATGGTCAACCAATCTTTCCACCCGCTGCAATAGCAAATACCAAAATCTTGCTTTGTCATTACCACTCCAACCCCTATGCCCCTTCCCCTGGTTGATACTTAGGGGAGACGCTTTGGTTTCTCATTCCACTCGGAGACCGCTGGCAGGCTTCCTTCATGGACAATATGTTTCGTGCCGCCTCTATTTATTAACTCGACGTATAGATTAACTCACACAATAATGCCACCAGGCTGCACGTTACAGTGATTAGATATGTACAATCATATGCATGTATACACAGAACTTCCAGAGCAAACTTGAAGTGACCTCCAAGAACTTCAGCTCCACGCGCATGCGCCATTGTCAGTTAACCTGTGCATACTGCGGCATATCACCATGGGAAGGTCGATCGTCGTCGTCGTCATCACCATCATGCTCAAGGTTGGTAGTTGGTTTGCTCCTCATAGATTAATCACACCGATCAGGCGCTCCGACGCTCCCCAACGCCGTAGTTCGCGCATTAAGTGTGTGCTCTTACTTACGAAGTGGCCGGCGGCCGAGTTGGACCGATTCAGAAACAGGGTTTGAAACAACACTGCATCCCACGTTGTGAGCTAACTTGGGATTTATTTAGCTCAATCACGAAGCTTAATCATGAAAAAAGACGAGAACACTCGAATTGATGCGCTGAAGGCTCGTGCTGCGCAATTTACATTAATAGCATTGTCCATTGGCATTGAGCAAGAAACCGAGTTCGACTCCGAGGGCTTTCTGACAGAGCCCGCTCGAAATGGGAAGTGTTCTTTTTTTTCTTCCAGTTGCAAACCTGTAAGTCGGGACCGTTCTAGAGGAACAGCTGACTTCCTTCTGTCATAGGGTCTGATCATGACTACGACACTAAGCAGGCCGGCGGTCAGACTACTTACCTACTCTTACTCATGGCACCGGGATTCGGTGCGAATGTCACGGTCGGCGCCCATCGCTGTGATGCGTACATGTTCAGAACTGTGCAGTGTACATGTTCCGCCGGCTTTTATCGAGTACATAACAGGAATGGAAGTGCAGGAACGACTAGCACTGCCACCTGGAACGAGCTGCTGCGCTTGAGGGACAAATCGACGAGCATGATTCGCGGGTACACATGCCGGCGGTGCCAACTTGAAGCAGAGTTGAGTTGCGAAATTAAAGTCTTAGTCCTGCACTATTCAATAGAATCGGCTCAATTATCACGAGGTACGCAGTATCTCGGAACCAATCAATGCATGCCTGTGCCCTGGAGGCTGGGTATACAGTTTCTTTCAAATAATCCCGCGTTTCAATGTAGAAGCGTCGATGAGTCTTAGAGGCACGATCAGTTACTTGCGGGGTGACAATTGGGCTTCTCGGTGAGGCTGTTCGCGTACTAAGACCGTGATGTCGACTGTGCGTCTTTTACTTATATATAATTTTAAGCTTGCTCATCCCCGCCGACCGGCAAACTTCAAGCGTCAGGCCCGGGGGTCGATTTTATGCGTAGCTTCGCGGCAAGCTCCTCGACCCTGTAAGAGAAGGGCATTCTGAGCGCAATGCTGAAGCATAATGGTTTAACAGGGTTCAAAGTTTAACCATGCGCCACTGCTGCGATATGATGGTTGCAAACAGTGCAAGAGTGTTGCTACACTCCGTATGTAGTAGACGTTTGACGCGAGTCACGGACTTCAAGGCGTTTTAAATATGTGATCAACTCTCCGCATGCTATTGTTGTAAGTTACCATTGATCAGGCCTGTCAGGACTGGGGAGGTTGCATCAATATGCATTGGACGCAGCCCGCGGGTGGACTTTTAGGAGGTGATATTCCAGTAAAACAAATTCACTGTCTTCAGATCCGGACATGATCATGGCAGACAGACGCTTTGAAAACAAATTCACTGTCTTGAGATCCGGACAATGATCATGGCAGGCAGACGCTTTGAAAACAAATTCACTGTCTTGAGATCCGGACAATGATCATGGCAGACAGACGCTTTGAAAACAACCGAGGATGGACTGGCGAATGAAAATTAAAACTGCCGGTGTGAAATTTGTCCAATAAGAGAATTCTCAAAAGACGTGACTCACTCACGCTACAGCGGAGAAAGGGTATCTTATACATTTATCGCCCAGAAAAGTAGGTCAGTAGAAATGCACTACAATTGCCTACCGTGCGATTCCTACGCAAACACTTACCCACCCATCTGCACCTGCCATACAAGCCCCTAGCCATGCCATCTCCGCATCAGGGGGCACCAGCACACCATGCATCATAGCATAGGCGAGTTCTGGGCCAGAATATGGTGCAGGTGGGAAGAGGAGGGGAAGATGCGTAGATAGATAATGCACTAGGGTATGCGCCGAGCCTATTTAGTGACTCGATCAGTTCCAACAATCCTTTACCAGTAGTCCTTTGGAGAGAAACACACCATCTTCAAGGTTCGGAGGGACAACGTCTTGCATCACGGGCCCATCAGGTAAATACAACCTAACTGGAATACTGCGAACGTTATAAGCATTATCACGGTCCGGCGCACTCTGCGGGTCCGCAGATGGCGGTCTTGTATGCATAGATGGATTGGTAGAAGGTGGTGGAGAACCCGACCGCGCAAGTGCAGTTGTAGGCACTATCTTAGATGCGACGCGCCAATAGTCATCGAAGTTATCTATAAATGACGAGCATACTGAGTCGCGCATACACAGAATGAAGCAGCTGGCTTACGTTCTTTGATGCCTTCCCAGATACCATCCTGGTCTTGCTTACGGAGACCGGTCATGCGCTTCGTATTTCCCCATCGTACGAAGTCTGCCTCCTTGAGCTGCCCCATGAAAGCTTGTTTGCACGACTCGGCAGAAGGCGAGAGAAGAAGCTTCTCTGTGGGAGGTGATGCAAGGTGGAGAATGAGCTTCAAGGGAGTCACTTGCAGATTGTAATGAGATGTGGAAGTCTGAGACGGAGGCCGAATTGAAGCAGAGATGATGTGATTATCGTAAATCAGCCCTATCGGCCAGTGCCTACCAGAAGATCGTGTTCAGGATACATTGTATACCGCGCTACAAAGCTCTGAAACTAACCACTTCAACAGCGTACCTTCCTCGCTCTCGAACCACCATTCTTCCTCCTTAAGCATCTTTCCAGCTGCCTCGTCAAATACGACATCCATCAAGAACCGTCGTATCTCAGGCATAAGAAGCGGCAAGTAACTGACACGAGGAGCTTGAATATAATAACATTCCAGGCCACGATCGGAATTCGCTGGCAACTCTTTTGAGTCTACACGAATTTCAAGGGGAACAGTACCCTCCCATGTCAGGCGACGAAAAAGAGTTGTTGATGCTGGAGTAGAATTCGCAGACGGCTGACCGTGATGGCGCGTAGTACCGTATGTAGACATCAGAACTCTGCCGAGATGGCAACTGTTTGCAAGAAGCGCTTCAAGAGTCTTAGAGCAGCACTGCAGCAGCAAGTTATGATACCTCACGTGACTCGACGCGACTAATATGTAGTTACCAGTCCAACTAGCACCAACACACAAAATAAGGTCCACGTCGCAGCACCGTCGATGGGCTGGTGCCAAAGGCATGTTATGGAATTCCCTCTATATCACTCACATGAGACTTTCTCAAGGCCCTTGGCTTCGAGACAAATATCGCCAAGAACAGGATTCATGTCATCCCTTGTTTCCCCGGTAAAATAGTTCGAGAGTACAAGTGATCACAGTGTTTTGGATGCCTTTGGAAAGATCACAACTCACAACGCTGACATATGGCTTCCAGCATCCGCACCAATCATGGACGATGCATTCTTTTAATCACCACCGCTGCTTCATCTATTTTCCGTGCACATTCTTCACCCTGCTCGAAGAAGCAAAGATCTGCCAAGGTCGTGGGTTCAGGAGACTTCCTATCATGGACCATTGGGTGGTTCTGCAGCCACAATCGTCTCGTATTATTGTCTTTACAAATCCGTTCAACAGCAGAGGGAGTGGACGGTTTTGGGGATCGACGCACTGTTCCATGATAGAGTTTTGCTGTGCTCGCCGTTACCAGGGCTGTGAACGTACGAATTGCCACGGAGGTGAAGGTTAACTATTACCCCAAACCATGAACTCCGATGGCACGATCCTCGGCGTGATCAGGACTGCAGCAAAAGCGTCATGGGAGTTCACGATGACCCCAACAAAAACTCGGATAATCCAGGACCTTCTCAGTTTGCGGCCAAAGAGTGTGTCGGTCCGGCGTTGCTACATAATTCAATTATCGTGGTAATGTACCGTCGAGTCGGAGATAATACAGACGTCGATCAGACAGAAGAACGTTCAGGAGGCAGGCGGCCTCAGTATATGATGAGCGTCAGCAAAACAGTCGTTCCGGAATCCATCGTGACTGGCGTCATATTCATGATACTTTGAGATCGATGTTCGATGTCATGTCCGCAAGTTCCATGTTGAGCGATCATGAACGATTCATCACTGAGGGCCTAGACCTCCGGAGTCGGGAGCGTAGTCAGGAAGAAGCATCTGCAGCGGGCCGCATAAGGCAGGCTTGGACATGAGTTGCCTTCTATTAAGCGACCATCCTTGCATCGCAAACGTTGCAATGGTAAGTAGCTCGGATACACACACACACATATAGATTAGACGTACGTGTAAATCAAACTGTCCATCATGAATCATATACTAACAAGCGGTGAGTTTAACCTGGTTCTGACCACCTCTAATAATGTTTCCACCGCGGAAATAACGTTCTCAGGCTCCGAGTACTTTCTCAGGACATCTAGCACCCAGTCTATTCGCTCGTCAAGCATCTCGAGTGTAATTCTGTCCAGCGGGATATATTCAAGCGTCAACTCCGCAAGGTCTGGTAAGATTTCCACACAATCATCGTTGCCTGAGAGATACACCCCAGGGAACGCATCCCATGCACCAGGGACGAGTGGAGATAATTTCGCCCTTGAGAACATATCATGAAGTGGAAGTTCCAAGGACTTTGAGACAGCCGTGATCCGCAGGAAAATACCGGAAAGGTAGAATGCGTGAGGGTTGCTGTCCGCGGCTTCGGCCATAAGACTGATGCACCTGTTTATGTGGTCGTCTAGGGAAAGGCGACTGCACCACACAGGATTCTTTACAAGGGCAAAGAGGAGTTTCAAGTAACATCCGTCACGTCCTTCATCGAACACGACACCATGACTACCTTCCACACTAGCATCTTCACTAGGAGAGATGGCGGTGAGGATGGCGGGGGAAAGCGCAAGTAGTTTCTCCCGTAAATTAGCATAGCCATCTGTATCTTCTATGGCGGCCAGCAGTGTTCTTCGCGTTTCGTATGTAGCACGCAAAGCAGCATAACGCAACCGGGCAGGCTGTTCCGGTCCCATAGACCACAAGAGGACTTCCAGATAAGCTGCTTCTTTCGCTCGACTTCCAAGACTCTTCATAGCACTAAGTGCCAGGAGTGCATCCGCAAGGGTATCCTCCACTTCATAACCCTCGAGCTCGCGCAGTTCGCAAACATAGTCAATGAGCCACTCAAATTCATGGGAAGAACGAGTGTCGTGCGCCCAGGTAAACTCCCCATACCAATATAGGAAGGAGTCGTCTGGCTTGTAGACGTTTCCAAGAGGGTCTTGAGGGATACGGATAGCTGTGTGCAGCGCAGCCCCTGCTTCGAACAGGCGTCTCTGCATATCTTCTGAGTCCTCGGTTTTATTGTCAGATATCGCTGAGCATTCGAGGAAGATTTCCTTGCAGCAAGCAAGGCCAGCTCGGAAAAACGAGCCGTCAAGGGGAATCGCGCCAGTCAGCTCAATAATGCGAAGGGCATGTGGGAGACATTTCTTGGCTCTGGAAGCGTAGTGTTGTGGGTGTGCTCCATCAACGCAGCCTTGTAGACAGGCTAGGAGTTTAGTGACAAGAACATCGATAGCAGCACTTTGGTCGTGGTCAGTTAGGCGATCTAACAGAATCAAAACAATTGCCATACCTTTTGTCCACCTTCACGAGCACCGTCTTGTCGGCATTCAGCCCGAGTAAGATGCCAGCAAGAAGTGTACAATTAGCGAGCACCTGAGCTGACGGAGCTTTGTTCGGTATTTTGGCCTCAAGGAGCATCGAGATGATGTTCAATGCTAGATCCTCCATCTGCGCGAGCTCGTCGATATCGTTATGGAGGAGGAAAACATATGGAAGGACTTGGGAGAGCCACAACAAGGTAGCATCAGACGCTGAAGAGAATGTTGGTGTATCCCGGAAGAAACGATAGGTGTAATCAGCTATCCACTTCTGCCCAAGATTGATCTTCAATGCATAATCAGCATCCAGGGATTCCCGGCTGAGGAGGTGCCAGAAGTGAAGATATCTAGGCTGAGAAGGGCATTGCGCAGCGGAATAATACTCCCCGTCCAGTCTAAGGTATTCCCTTCCACTGAGATGGACGAGGGCTGTTGCACAAGCTAATGCTCGTTCTTTTGCTGGTACTAACAGCCGGTCTTTGGTATCGAAACAGCTTCCAAGCCCGCGATGCAGGAGAGAAATTATACCGGAAACATCAAAATCGAATGGCCATTCAACTTCGGGGACCAGCTGGCAAGCTGCAATGAATACGTTGGGGTCTGTGGACGTTTCGAGCAACCATTTCACGGAAGGAGCATCCGAGAATGCGACGGAGACGGCTGGAAATTCGTACGACAAAGAAATTACGGGAAGGTATGACTCCGTTGCTTTAGAAGGAAGTTTGCCAAACTCGAGATCGCGGATAGCGGAATTGCGGGACTGCGCTGATAAATAGGATAGTAGAGCTCGGATGGCACGGAAACAAGAGCTGGTAACCGTTCGATGGAGAGCAGACAGCATGCTTCTAGCGCTAGCGAGTCCCGTAAGAAGCGACTTTCCGAGCGCCACGCCTAACCCAATGTATCGCGGAGCATATCGCAAATGGCATAGATCATAGAACTGAACTATGCGAATTCCTATGAGTTGCCAAGCAAGCCTGATGACGACAGACACAGGCGTTTGAAAGGGACAATCCGAGGACATGAGGGACGCGAAGACGGTAAATCCGTAAAGTGTAACGCCAAACAATGTGATACAGATGATGACACGAGCGATGGTCTGTTGTTGAGACCACATATTGATGCTGAGGGAGGCACCAAAAAGGAACAACGAAAGCTGCAACAACGCTGGAAATGACTGAACCACAGCATCAAAGTACCACGTCCTTAGTGCTTCCATCTTCTGTTGCCGTCTCCTTCCACGTTCCTCCATCGAACCATGACCGTGTCTGTTAGACTTGTAATAGCCCAACCACTGTTTGCCCAGTATGGCACCAAAGGCAGCAAAGAGGCTAAGTAAAAGACTGGCGTATGCTAGGCTTTGAGCCCAAACATTACTAGATGAGTATCCTGCTGGTTGCGGAAGCGTAATACTCTGGGGTGCTGAAGTACCATTTGCCGCGAGTAATATGAGTTGGGTCAGCAATGCGTTGGTGGTGTCTTCTGCATTAGGTTGTGACGCAATTATGAAGGAGGTGGTGACAGCTGAAAAGAGACCCGCCTGCGAGATTGCATTCAATGGGATGGTTCGCAAACTGTTCTAAGGAGGGAAACGCACGAAAGTAGGGATGATATCGATATCACCATTGTACCGCTCCAGGAACTCGCTGTCGACCTCCCCTGCTACCACCTCATATGTTTCCCAGAACTGTGATCGGATGTCCTTGTCCGCTTTCTCTAGTTCTGAGCGCTTAAGGATGTCAAGAATTTCGTTCTGCTTTTGGAGAAGACTGTATTGGGAAATATTCAGTTCGCAACGACTAACGTTCAATGGTCAACTGAGCTACTCACGAGCCAAGGACCTCCGATTGCTTATCGCATTCCATGACACCAGACGAGGTGCTCGTTCGGAGATAACCTGATTGACATCGCCAAGGCATCCAAGTCTAAAATTTCCACAGTAGTCAGGAACGACATCAGCACTGATTCAGCAGGAAGATAAGTATAAGTTGAAACTGTCACTGGGATCATCATGATTGTGTAAGAGTGCGTCGACGGCGTCAATCGCTACTGCTTGATGGACCGCGATTACAGCTATACATCTTAGTAGTAGATTCCCGGTGAAGTAGTACGTACTATGTGAACTTGAAAGCGCGCGGAACTCGGCCACTTTTAGTGACCCGGCCCGTCTGACGCCATATTCGGAAGATCGAGCTTCCCCACAGTGGTGTTGTTTCCTCTGGTCCACAATGTCGTTCGTCGCATTCTCCTGCTCAATATTCCACCATGTAAGCAGCAGCGCACGTTTCTTCTCCACTAGCTTGCGTGCCCAGCGCGAATACGCAAATGTCCTTGTCTCACGGCCCAGCCCAGGCGTGGCACTCATCACTCTGAACAGACCAAAGGCACTCAATGCACTCAATGCTGCACATTTTCAAGATATATCTGAAGCGATGAAGGAGGCTGATGAAGATGCCAGTGTGGGTGCTATGATTCTGACTGGGTCAGAACGCGCGTTTGCGGGTGTGTCTCTCAGTCAATTGGATCATGAACTCGACTAGATTTGTTTGTGCACAGCTGGTGCGGACATCAAGGAAATGAAAGACAAGTCTTGTGAGTATCTCTCCTGAGTCATTGAATACATTCGGATAAAGTTTCCCGAAGTCGCAGAAGCCTACACCACCAACTTCCTCGCTGATTGGGAGGTTATCACTAAACTTAAAAACCAGTTATTGCAGCCGTCAGCGGTTACGCCGTATGTTCTTAAACTCATTTGTCAGTTATTACGTTTTCATTCGGGTTATTTCCTTCAGCTTGGCGGTGGCTTGGAGCTTGCATTACAGGCTGATATTCTTCTTGCAGCGCCTTCAGCACAACTTGGACAGCCAGAAGTCAATCTCGGAGTCATCCCTGGTGGTGGGGGGACCCAACGTCTCGCTCGTCTCATTGGTAAATCGCGTGCTATGGAACTCGTCCTCACCGGGCGTATAATTGGTGCGGACGAGGCAGAACGCTGGGGCATCGTACGAGTTGTGCGAGAGGGCAGTGTCGTTGACGAGGCCGTAAAGGTGGCAAGCGATATTGCAAGCAAGGGACGTATCGCAGTGGGTGCAGGCAAGGAGGCTGTGAATGCAGCATTTGAAATGAGCCTCGCTGAGGGGCTGAGGTTTGAGAAACGGTTATTCCATGCCTTGTTTTCAACCAAGGATCAGAAGGAGGGTGGGTATATTTTCTGAGTTGTCTGACGAGGTTTTGCACTGATACCTTTTCACCTTGTCAGGCATGGCTGCTTTTGCTGAGAAACGCAAGGCAGAGTGGACGCACTCATAAGGGCGCTCTGTATATTATGAGGGAACCCCGCTCGTCAACACCCCCCGGGGGTGTTATCCTGTATTGACTCGCTTTAATTCCATCATCTAGGTCTGAGTTTTCGACATCAGAACCTAAATTTACATCACGAGACTATTACAAATGAGGTTAGGCAATGATATTCTGATTGTTGATTGATCGGCCTTAGCTTCAGCCATCTACATATCTCAGCGGTTTGTGTCTAGCCGCGCTAGCAATATGACGATTGTTGCAGGGTTTAATCGATAATCAATTGTAAAGCAGCCTGCACGACAAGGCAGTGGTCGTCTAATTTTGCAACGGCGGACTCGGGTAACTACGACATCTCTCCAATATCCTGACGTTCATCATTATGTGAACAGAAGTCACCCCTTTCACTAATAGGGTGCACATTCTTATGCTGCTGCACTATCAAAAACGTACCAAGGCGAGCAATCAATCGTAACGAGTGAACGAGCGAGACTCAAACCAACCTGCTCCGAGTCATATTCTAGTATCCTTTTATTGGAGAACAGGGCTAACTTCATCAAGAATACCAGCTATTCGTTAGAAATTGAATGTTACATCCGAGTCGGAGTGGGGCCTCGATATACATGTCTGTCAGTCAGTAAAATCACCATTCCTTTTCTATACATTTCACACTTGATTTAGGCTTCGTCTCAAACTTCTTCGACAATTGGCACTTTTCCTTTTCCTTTCGCTTCTAATATTCATCTAGCCCGATACTGAAGTGGGTGAATTCAAGGGAGGTTAGTCAAACCCTAACTATAAAAACCCTAACTGTACTAACTAACACTAACTAAACTGGGCTATCTGGTACTAGTTCTGTCCTCACGGATGTTATCGTGGAGTCAGGCTATGGCATCTATTGAGACCTGAAAGGTGACAAATAGCACCCAATCCAGTATTGCTGCAAGCTAATCTTCAACAGGGGTTTCCTTTGCACCGCTGAGAGCAATATCTTGCAGTTCGCTTGTCCAGAAGGGCCTGAAATAGAACACGGAAAAGCATTATTCACTCTACACACTCGGTTCCACATTCAAGTTGTATCTGAAATCTCCACAATAGAACATTTGCTGGAATTCGATCATCATTATCAAGGTCTGCAAGTGACGATTTCAGTAAGTGCGAAAAAAAAAGGCTGTGAAGAGATTCACTCCTCTCGGCACTTTCGCTAGTGTTGTCCATGTGCCATGCGGCTCAAATCAAGCTCTAGGCCTCCTCTAGATATCACTGATGCAGTCTCAGTGCTATAAAACAGGTGCTGAGAAGCGAGCGATAGCCAGAACAGGAGCCGGCGGTTTGGTCCCACTATCCAATCCAACCACTGTCACGATCCAGGAGAAAGGGAGTCGAACTGCGGTCATGGTGGGATGCCCTCTCCGTTAACTCAGCAGTGTCACACAGTGCATGGGCAGAGTTGAATGAGAAGCGAATGAAGTGATTGTTCTAAGTGTTGCTTGTCATGACAGTGGTGGCCTCGATGGGATGCGTAATGCGATGTTCATACGAGGATGCTGAATGATCTAACTTGGCGCACTGTTGCAATGGCTGCCTCGTCGCTGCATCCCACAGTCGAGCAGTGTTGTCCCATGGTCCAGCCACGATGCGAGCGCCATCCAACGAGAACGACACTGAGTGAACCCGACTACTTAGTGTTTCCCACAAAGGCTCACCGACTGACTGCTCCGTCGCGGCGTCACAGCCTGATGGTGGTGACGGAAGAACCGGTCACGATGTGAGTGCCATTCGGCGAGAACGAGACTGACAGTACATAATCAGTATACCACCGCAAGGACTGACCGAAGGACTGTTCCATCGCTGCATCCCACAGCCGGACAATATTATCGCACGAACCGATCACAATGTGAGTGCCATCCGGCGTTAATACAACTAGTATGCCCCCGCAAGGGCTCACCAACTGGCTGCCCCGTCACTGCCAGTGCATCCCACAGCTGGACAGTATTGTCGATAGAACCAGTCACGATGCGAGTATCATCCTGCGAGAACAAAACTGAGTTGACTAAACCAGTGTGTCCCTTGAGCACGGTCCGAGCAACTGGCAGCCAGTTCATACCAGTTCATATCACGGCCAGATGCCACACGAAGAGTATTCAGAAACCTCTCACAAAATGTTCTAGATAACGCAGAGTTGGTAGGCGAGAATGGCAGTGCTGATACATAAAGATGTGAAAAATGATGCCGCCGAAGACCTTGAATGAACCACTGCACGTCCCGTGCAGTCGGCGAGACATCTTTGGATGCGGAATGGCCCTGTGGTTGCACACGAGTACGATATCTGACACTCAGTAACCTATGCGCAAGTCAAGCTTTACAGACGAAAGATGCGAGGTTTATAATTGGCTATGGAGGAGAAACTCTCCAAATAATCTAAAGGATGTACTCATCATCTATCAATACAGTACTGCTTCAAGTCATTGTTGATATCAGAACAAGATCAACGATAGAACCGAAATACTCAAGGACATGCACCAATTGCTCTAGCAGCAGCAACACGAACGGTCACCTCCATGTTCCCCGGTGTCTACCTGCACTGCTGCTGGTTGCTGTTGCTGTTGTAAATGAGGGTCCGGTGAGGGAGGCCCATGATAGTTTTCATCACGTATCAAGGAGTCGTCGCTCCCAGGAGCACCCGCTGCAGCATTACGCTGTAGATTTATGCATGAGACACCCAAGATATAGCGATAAAAATCAACCGGTCGCACCTGTAGACCCTGCGCAAAAGGAACGTCGACAACGGGCGGCGTTGCATGATGGGGTGGCCGGGTGAATAGGTGTCGTAGATGAGTTTTGAAAGTAGTAGTAGCGGCGACTGGTGGTGAGGGAGTGGGTGGTACAAGTGGAGAGGCTGAACGAGCGGTTCTCGTCAGTGAGCCTGAGTCTTCTGAGGCGCCCAGGGCGCTGTTGAGGTCGTGGTCTCGAATTTTGAGAATACTGTAATGAACGATGTGAGAGAAAAGAAGAAGGATACGCAGTTGCACGCACTTGGTGCATTCCGTGGAAGAAATTTGGTTCTGCATCATAGCCATCCCGATCTTGCCCGGGAACCTCGCCTACGTGACGGTCAGTAGTGAAAGTGTTGAGGAAGGGAGTGCATACGCCAAGAATATGGTCATTGTGCGCAGCCAGAGCGCTGCATCGTTCCTTAAATTCTGAGTGAAATGAGGGTGAGTACAATAGTCTCGGGTGGCATTATTGAAGACTTGCCATTGGACCATTCGAAGCAGCTGGCCTTTGCAGATTCGTCAATGGCGTCCATCATGTATTGGTGTGCCTCGAGGGCCTCATCGGTTTTACCTGCAGAAAGGAATGCCTGGCACCGTTTCTGGTGTGTAGTGAGTAACAAGGACTTAATATCCCAGCCAAAGAGCTGGACAAAGCACTCAGTTATGAAAAGCATCATATATGCATCCCCTTGACGCACCGCGGTCAAGTCCTCGTATATCTCGTGGATGATTTTCGATGAGAAAGCCGTGGAGTTGACAGCAGCAGTGAAGTGCTCAGCAGCTTCGTCATGACGAGCACCATCCAAGGCTGTGGTTCCGAACTGAACGTGTAGATATGTCTAACATGAGAGTGATAAAGATCTGTGTTGATGATCGAGTGTGGCCGCATGATACTCACTTCCACGACACAACACCCGGGAGGATCAACATTCGGACGAGCAGCAGCCAGCTCTTTGATGAGCAGCATTGCTTCTTCGTGCTGATCTGCGTTGAAGAGTGCGATGGCCTGGAATATGGAATGAAGCAGGGAGTATGCAAGACAAGTTTGACCTACCTTGATCAAGAGAAGAAAATGGTTGGTTTCTGGATCTTGGTTAGTGAACATGGGATGCAACGTCGAATGCTATCCTTGCTTCACGGATGTGGCCTTTTCCGCAGAGGGCAATGCCTTTGGAGATGTAGCCTGTCAATGAAGGCCGAGTGCCGATGGACTATGTCACGAATGAAAGTTAGCCTTTTTGTAAGGGGGGTACAATGGGTCAGCACAACTGCATCATCAAGGGCGAGGTCCCAGGCGTGTCATAACGAATGAGCGATTGGCATATAAGGAAGCATAAGGGTTGACATCAGTGTGTATGTCTTGGGTGAGTAATTCTTCAGCGGTAGACGAGTCGCCGGCGATGCATGCATCACGGGCTGTCGTGATATCAAGGATCTGCATGAAGGGTGCTCGAATTGTGGTACATGAGTCAAGTATAGAAGTTCACCTTTGAATTAACGTCCTTTGGTACTGCCCACTCCGAGATCATGTTATCATAATCTCCGCTGAGGATGTGCTTGCCGTCCACAGAGAACGTGACACATGTCAGAATGGATGAGTGCTGGAAGATGGCAATGGTTCGTCGATCTGAGAGCCGCCAGAGACGGAGATGTTTGTCCTTAGATGCGGAAGCGACGAGGGTGCCAGCGAGATGAGTGACAATGGCGTAGATATGGTCAGTATGGCCTTCGCAGGGATGACCGACCTGCTGCCAGGTCAATGGATCGCACTCTCGTATGGCGCCTTTATCGTCTGCTGAAAGAAGGCGTGTGCCATTAGGCGTCCACGCGAGTGAGAAGGTGATTGATTCGTGACCCTTGAAAGACACGACGCGTTCCCTCGTGCCGGGATTATGAATTTCGATATTCTCGTCTGTTGCGATGGCAAGAAGTTCAGGGCCAGAAGGCGAATATCGAACACAGCGGACCCAATCACCACACTCGATTAGCTCTCCTTGCACCTGCCATGTTTTGACTCCCCTTGGTGCACCAAAACTTTATCGTTTTGTCCTTTGAACCGGTGGCCAGCACCGTACCATCTGGAGAAAAGTCCGCCGAGTAGATTCGATCGGAGTTGGCTTTGATGGGTTGGGCGAGGAATCCCCCAGTTTCACCGTACCAGGCGATGACCTCTCCGCTCCAATCACCGCTTGCTATTATTTGACCATCTCGTGATACCGCCAATGCCTGCACCTCATTGCGATGCCCCTCCATCTTCTTTAACACAACACCCGTTTTCAAGTCCCAAAGACGAAGCGTCTTGTCGTACGAGGTTGTAACTATTCGTCGCTTATCGGGGATAACTGCGACTGCGCTTACACCCTCCTCATGATCTTCAAAAGTTCGGAGGGGTGTGTTGCTTTGAATGAGCTGCGACATTGTACTGGAGGTTGATGGTATTGAGTACGGGCGTCTTTCTCTAAGCTGCAGAGGTGCGTGTATTATA